AGGGGTTATGTTTATTTTGCAAGTAAATATTAGCGAACAGCTGTTTAGACTATCACGTCTTATTCTTCCCGTTTTATATTCGTTTGGCACATCTGTGACCTAGTCGTAAGAAGCGTAAAACCTAATAATATATATTGCCAGTAAGGGACTTAGCAAGAAAGGTCTTCAAGGCAAAGCACTACTCACACCACACTCGGCACCTGTCACGGTTTCCGAAGTGTCCTGTGAGCGAGCAGCCTGATGTAAATAGGGTTTTTGGAAACGTCAGAGTACCTCCGGGAAGAACGACGATTCTCTCTCTCTCTCTAGGGGCCATTTTTCTGAAATGCCACGAAAATTTCGTGCTGTTGAACTTAAACAGAAAATTATGAAAATTTTGGTGATGAAGGCCGATTAACACCTTTAGGCAAGTATAATAACACTTCTGCAATAAAGTACACTGAAAATTATATATTGAACAATAACAAAATACATCGAAAAACACATGCATCATGATGACTTCTTTTCAGGCCTTCATGGTATGGGTATACCGCCATTTTGGTATAATAATTAATAGTCGTGTCGTTGTAATACACGACGCCATAATGATGGCGAACAAGGTTTAAAACCTTGTGATTTCAACCATAATTGCTACTGGTGCAATATTATGTTTATCCGTTGTTCCTGTTTCTAAAAGTTATTTTTCTGGACCCATGCTGATATGCCACTGAGAACAGTTCCTCCGAATTTGGTATATTCGTGATGGATGATGAGATCCGTTTGGTAAAAGCTACGTTACACTTATAGGGATGACCTACTGTAAGTAGATTTTTCACTTAATTTTGCCAACCTGATGAGAAGATGGACTGCACCATTTGATTTGGATTTAATACTATTACTTATTATTGTCTGCCTTTATATACCCTCTCCTTTGTGAGAAAGGGAGTATCAGCGCTGATAGTCCGTTTCATAGGACTTGGTTATATTTTCCAGAATTTATATCACACCTGTGGACCATTTATCCAGTTCTTAATGTTTCCTTTTAAAGCCACAGTGAGGCTAAGTTTAAGATTTAAGTAATGCTTATCTTAGTATATATTTGTACTAACGAATTCTGACTAATACAGTTTTGTATACTATTGAATCATAAAAGATAACAGAACTGTTGCAACTATTCATAAGATATACTAACAGATTATTCACTCTCAGTAATTTCTTAAGCTAATGTTAATTCTTAAATACTCCAGGTGTTGGGTCCAATTTAAATTTGAATATTACATATGATATTATTGTAACTTTGAGGTAATTCGGTCATTATAGCATGGATTTAGAAAAACTCCAGTACTGTTGATATTTTTGTTTTGTCTCACCCTATTCCTTCCCAGATAATACTGGGTGGCGCCCACATTTACCTATTTTTATGAAATTAAATCCACGACCATCTCTACCACTGAAGAGCAACCGTGTAGTGAGGCCATAATTTCATCTCTTGTTGAAATTACGTCACAAACCATATAGAATTCGATGTCTCGAAGAATGTACAGATCATTCAATGAAAATGATAACACCTCAAATGTGTTAATTATGTTATTTAATTGTTTTTGAAAAGTTGAATATTGTAAATATGGTTTTTCAATCTCACATGCAATTGGAAACATTTCAAAGAAATATAAGGATTTATTTTCTGAAATTGAACCTACCAATTCTGATATACAACTTACGATTTCTGAAATTGAATGGACTTTCTCTGAAATTCATCTCACCGATTCTGAAATTGAGTTTACCATTTCTGAAATCGAACTAACCAATTCTGAAATCAAGATTACTTTTTCCGAAATATAACTTACCAATTCCGAAATTGAAGTTGAAAAGGTATAGAACTCCATTTGGGAAGAACTGTTCTCATGTTTCGTGGAGGACAATGAAAGACGAAAAAAGCACTATTGTGTAATATACAGGATGATAAGAAAATATGACAAAATCTTATTTCAGTTGAAAAAAATCAAAAACGGTGACTAAAACCATGGCCCATTCGATTCAGTATATTCAGAAACGGCCTTCTCGATATCCATTATTTATATCAGACTATCAACTCGAGACATTTTCAAAAATTCACCTCTAACTGAATACAGGTTGAAAATTCTCAATTCAAACTTGTTTCCTGATATCGATGATTCTTATCAACTGATTTCCAATATTTAATGCCCAAGTATGAGACACAGAGTATTGTTGTTCAATATACTGAGTGTTTCACAACTTATCTGACAAACTCTAGACAACAATAATGTTAGAAGAATGTGGTGGCCAGCATTATCTCCAGATCTGAATCCGATTGAACATGTTTGGAGCCATGAAACCCAACCTATCGAGAAGGCGAGAGGTACCCCAAAATAATGACAACCTTATCCAAGTTATATCAGAAGAATGGGAGGCAATATCAATAGACTTCATCAACAACCTCATAGAATCTATGCCAAACCGATTTCATGAGGTTTTGTTAAATCGGGGAGGCCCTACTAAGTACTGAAATTTAGGATATAGGACTTTTTAGTTGGATCTTCATAATGCTGAAGAATTCACTAATGTCATTTCGCCAATAGAGCCCATTTCGAATAGTTTAAGTGGATATAAAGTGTAATAAATTTCATTTTCCATCTCGTTTTACTTCTATAAAATTTTTATGTGATTGACTTCTTACGTAATATTGTACAGTGTGTCCAGTTTTCGATGCTTTTGCGTGATATCTCAGTTATCTTTCGAGATAGAACCTTGCGGTTTTCGCGGTCCTGTACCACTTTTTTGTGAAACTCAAGATGGCCTAACCAGATTTTGCATAACTGTTTGCGTTTATGAGATACAGGGCGATTTTGAAAATTTATACTTTTTGGACCCCCTCTATATCTACGAAGTTTCCCAGCGAAAATGTCAAATTGGAATCTTATCTCATACAGAATTTTGCACAGAATTCAGTGGCGCACTCAAATTTTTTTTTCTGGGTATGGTTTCGGAGATACTACTCAAACTTATGATTTTTTAAATGGAACACCCTGTATTTTATAAGCTCATTAAATTCCTTATTTTTTCCCCATCAAATTGAAATATGATGAATAAGTATACAATTTTCAAAAATGCTCCAAAATCACTAAAACATTGAATTTCAATTATGGGCTATGAATTTTTCATTCAAAAAAAGTTCCAATTGAAGGGATAATTCATTTGATTCTTCCATGAAAAGGACAAAAACAATCCCAACACTAGTTAATTGAGATAACACAAAAATTAGGTACCTGATAACAACAAATGAATGGTAATAAAAAGTTCATATTCTAGAATAAGCACCTGATTTAATATTCACTAAGACAATTAAATAGTAACTTATTCATTGAATTGTTCAAATTGATGTCCACTTTCCCTCACACGCTTTCTCAATACGTCTTAATGCATTCAAAATCATTAAAGGATGTCTTTGTAATTCCTGGAAAACTGCCTCTGTTGTTGCACGAAGTTCTTCAAGATATTTGTGACTCTTACTGTATCAAGACGTATTGACAAACTGTGTCAATTGTGTGTTTGGAAAATGGACATCAATTTGAACAATTCAGTGAATAAGTTATTGAATAATTCCGAAATTCAATTGTATTTGTAAATATTTGATCTGGTGCTTATGAACTTTTGATTACTATTTATTTGTTGCTATCAGGTACATAATTTTTGTGTTTTCTCAATTAATTAGTGTTGGTATTGTTTTTGTCCTCTTTATAGAAAAATCAAAATGAATATTCCTTCAATTGGAACTTTTTCATAAGAAGAATCCATAGCCCACTATTAAAATTCAATGTTTCAGTGATTTCAGAGCATTTTTGAAAATTTCATATACATACATTATAAATCATTTTGAAGAGAAAAAAATGAGGAATTTTATGAGCTTATAAAATACAGGGTGTTCCATTTAAAAAATCATAAGTTTGAGTCGTATCTTCAAAACCATACCCCGAAAAATAAATTTGAGTGCGCCACTGGATTCTGCGTGAACTTTTATATGGGCTGAGATTTTAATTTGACATTTTTGCTGAGAAACTTCGTAGATAAAGAGGGGGTCCAAAAAGTATAAATTTTCAAAATCGCCCTGTATCTCATAAACGGAAACAGTTATGCAAAATCTGATTAGGCCATCTTGAGTTTCACAAAAAAGTGGCACACGACCGCGAAACCCGCAAGGTTCTATCTCCAAAGATAACTGAGATATCCCACAAAAGCATCGAAAACTGGACACACTGTACTTGTGGTTGAAATTTGTCAGATAAGTTGTGAATCACTCAGTATATTGAACAACAATACTGTGTCTCATACTTGGGCAATAAATATTGGAAATCAGTTGATAAGAATCATCGATATCAGGAAACAAGTTTGCATTGAGAATTTTCAACCTGTATTTCAATATTAGAGGTGAATTTTTGAAAATATCTCAAGTTAATAGTCTAATATGAATAATGGATATCGAGAAGGCCGTTTCTGAATATACTGAATCGAATGGGTCATGGTTATAGTCACCGTTTTTGATTTTTTTACCGAAATGAGATTTTGTCCTATTTTCTTATCACCCTGTGTATTCCACAATGGCGCTTTTTTCGTATTTCATTGTCCTCCACAAAACATGAGGATAGATCTTCCCAATATTCAGCTCAAGTGGAGTTCTAGAGAAGAAATTCAAGAAATGCAACACTTTCGAAAAAAAATCTAATTTTTGTTCCAATGGCCAATTGGAGAAATCACGAAAACGTCCCGAGATGAAGTCTCAGTGTATATATATTTGACTGACTTTTGATCAGAAAAAATTTCTCGAGTTCTGGCAGCATTGGAAATGTAGACCATAGTGTAATGGTTCCACGTTACACCCTGTGTAAGTTTTGTTATGCGGACTTTTTCAGAGTGTTCTAGCTCTCTTTGGGGCCGATGAAATATCACATCTGATATCGAAAATTTAGTGTGCTGAGAACTGTATTTTCTACTTATCGAGTTACCTCTTCGAATGCATTCTTATTTTCAATGGGTCCGCCGAAGATAAATGTCAGAGAATGTCCAACAATGATGAGACTCATCGATAAAAACTTTATTCCACAGATGCATTCCAAATTGAGTTCGTTGGGTTTAGTCTGTAAAAATTTGTCAACGGTGTGTATGATCGAAAAACATGAAACTATTTCTCTTAGGACATTATTTGATTGCGTCTCCTTCACTACTTCAACATTGTAAGGTGAACTATTTCTCGTTTTTCTCAAAAACCAATAGTGAATAGTTGTAGCTAGACATGTGAGTATCAAAAAACATCCAACTATGCACCTGCAACAATTAATGATAACAGTATACAGGGAATGTCACGACGAGCTTATCTTTATATCGAGACTCAGTCGGGAGAAATCCATGAAAATGTGCATGCTTATATTTTAGAACACTCTCTCTTCATTTAAAATATTTTCGACAATGCAATGTTGCCACTTCTACTAGAAAGTAGTAGTAACATCGATATTTAAAACGGTACACCCTGTATTTTATCGCATTTTTAGATTCCCCCTGAAGAGCTGATTTTATCGATGCATCACACTTGGGATCTATCGAGAAAGATTACAGAGATATAGGGTGTTGAAAATCGAGATTTTCGGATTTTTTGTGTCGTAACTATTTATTATTGGTCAGAACGGTCTGGAACGGTTCAAGATCCAGAATTCTGATCACCCTGTATCTGTTCCGATAAAATATCAGTGAATAGTAAATCAAAAGTTGAGATTGAGAGATGTTAGCCGTTTTGGCCGATACTGAATAGTTTCGACACAAATCCTAAAGTTGAAAAATCTCGATTTTGAACACCCTATATCTCTGTAATCATTTCCGATAGACCCCAAGTTTGATGTATCGATGAAATCAGCTCTTCAGGGATAATCTAAAAATGCAATGAAATACAGGGTATTCTATTTGAAATAACAAAGTTGTTGCTACTTTTTGATAGAAGCAGCAACACTGCATTGCTGAAATTATTTTAAATGAAGAGAGCGTATTGTAAAATATAAGCCTGCATATTTTCATGTATTTCTCCCGACTGATTCTCGATATAGAGATAGTGTAAGCTCGTCGTGACAAACCCTGTATAGATAATAAGAAAATGATGAATCGATGAAAAATATCTAAAAAAATAGCGTTAATTTGACTGAATTAAAAATGTAACTAGTTGATAGTATGTAGTACTCAGTACGGGTTGGTACTTATATAGATTATAAAAAGAAAATTAAAAATGTTGAATTTTGCATATCTCTTTTAGGACATTTGAGTGTGTATTTGAATAGACATCAGAATTAAATCAGTGACTGGAGTTTTAGGTAAAAGTTTAAAAAGTTATTATATTATACAACTTGAGTAAAGTTCTAAATCTCATGGATGTTGGTACACTCGTCTTCAGTGAACATGTCGCGGTTGGACGGTATGAGCGCTCTTATTGCAGTGGTGATTAAGAGAGCTGACACCGTCCATGTGCGACAAGTTCTCTGAAGACGACTGTACATGTACACCGGTATAATAGGTGGTGTACTGAATGTAGATATTGAAATTCGGTTGAGGTTGTATCCACCGATAACTATTTGGGTGTTGCATTTATACATTCTGGACATGAAAACGGGTACATTTTTTCTAAAATTGATTGCAGTACGATTTGAAAATCTTTTCATATTGTTACGATATGTTCGGGTTGGGTTAATATAGTAAGAAAAACACTTGAAATTTCAAAATCGATAAATTGTAGAATTGAAGATTATATAAGTATCTAAAAACTTACCCATATATGATTTCTGAATTCGTAAACGGAGATGATACTTTCGCAGTGCATTTATCTGCTTTTACAATAACCTCAACAACCTCAAAGTTTTCTGCAGCAGAAGCAAATATCTCTCTTGTAAAAATTTCAGCATCTTCAGTCAAACATGATGATGGTAGACAGATGCCCCAGTGTAGAATAGTATTGTTATAGGCGTACCTATCTTTCTGAAAATGCAAAAACTGCTAAGTTATCAATATTTGAAATTCGACATATTATGTAGGTATGTTTGCATAATCAATAACGATGGGACCACGTAGGTACATGTATAGATACCTACCCATAGAACTACGAGAACAGAATCCCATTTATTTTCTTATGAAGTCTCATTCTGGCCTCATTCTGATCGAAAGAATATCTCTTGGGTAGGTGGAAAATCGTGGCAGCTGATGGTAGGATATCTGAGAGGATATTGGACATAATTGCTTCCTTGACTTGAGGAGTGTGTATAACCTTAGAAGGATGGATCTATACGAGAGATCGCAGCTTTGTATCAAACAAGTAATCAATTGAATATTTTTTTCACTGATTTTGGTCTCGGAAGTGACTTGAGATGTACTACATGAACCAATGTATATGTAATTAGAATATTCAGTCGAGTACTATTTCAGTCATGCTTGCATGATGAATTAATATAGCTGTGATCGTTTGCAATGATCAATGTCATTTAAAGAACAAATTATAGACCTTCCTCGAGTAGATGTATCCTAAGTATATCCAGCATCCTCAAGAGCAATCTGATCAATGAGTTGTCCCGCCCACTTAGATTACGTTTCGTACCATCTGCTTCCAAGATTGTCTATCTGCCAAAGATATGTTAAGAGACCAGATTTAATCTTCATAATACACTCAGTTCCAAAAAAGTGACGCTCTTGATATTTAACCTATCATCTTAAAAAAAAAATAGTAGGCCGATTTTTTTTTATTTGTCTTTAAAAGAAAATGAAGAGGTGAACATTTTTTCAAAGCCTCTCCTTGATGGTGGTGGAATAACTCGAACCATGATTTATTCTTAATTTTTGACTCACTCTGTGTGTTGATTGAGTAATGGTATACGAAGTGCTTACACCCTATACGAAAGAGGCTTCTTTCGCGAGCATTTTGTTTTTTGTTCATTGATTTATTTCTAAAATTTTCCGAATTACAGCTTTTTTGCTGATACCTTACGCTTATCCCACAAATTAAATTTATTGAAGGATCAGAGTACTCAAAATTGATTGGGTTGTACTCTGGTAGGATCACATTGTCTTTAAGAAAAGAAGCCTCTTTCGTATAGGGTGTAAGCACTTTTATGCCATTACTCAATTAACACACAGGGTGAGTCAAAAATTAAGAATAAATCATGGTTCGAGTTATTCCACCACTATCAAGGATTCTTTGAAAAAATTTGCACCTCTTTATTTTTTTTAAGACAAATGCATTACCTACCAACAAATAAAAAAAAATCGGCCTACTATTTTTTTTTAAGATCAGATATCAGATCAGATATCAAGTACGTCACTTTTTTTGGAACTGAGTGTATAAGAAAATATAGGGGATTTTATCTACTGGTAGTTTTAAATCGCTGAAATAATCACTGTCCCTTACCTAGTTACGGTAGGGAGTTCATGACTGAGTTGACTAAGTGACTTTAACAGAGATGTTCAGCTCTATGAATTTTTTATGTCACTGAATTATATTAATTATTCCAAAAATTGATTATATTGGGTTATTTTGATGCAGCAAAGCTTAATTTTTCATTCATTTTTGAAGTGGTCGAAATAACTGAAAGAGTGATTTAACAAAGTAGTAATGTTAATATAAGCATTGTGCATTCTTACTATCACAGAGTTTCCTTTTTGCACCTGTCGAATGCTTCTACCTTCATTTCCACGTTTTGGCTTGAGATTGATCTCCGTTAGGCAGTATTGCCCCTGTATAGTGGATTCCAAAGAATTTCCTTCCTTTCTTGCTTCAACGCATTCGTCATAGTTACCCATCTGGTAGTAGTTCCCGTACAATATTCCCGTTGGAAATTTTGCAAATGAATCAAACACTGAAAGTAGTTGATATTTTTCATATTTTTTGTCGCTGGTTAATATGTACACTCGTCTTCAGTGAACATGTCGCGGTTGGACGTTATGAGCGCTCTTATTGCAGCGGTGATTAAGAGAGCTGACACCGTCCATGGGCGACATGTTATCTGAAGACGACTGTACAATCAGATGCAAATAACAAATCGCACATAGGCGGTAATATTACTCCTAGTCACATCTGAATGATCAATAACAAAATCCAACCCCGATATAATATGTTATTCGAATATGACTGTACCTACGTTTAATGTACAGGGTGTCTCACTTAAATTTTTCACCCCCCTTTTTTCCTATTAATTCTCAACATATTTGGGCCATTGAGAAATCTCTTCTGGAATAATCTTTCAAGAATTTTTTGAATATGTGCCCACTTTTTCCTTATATCAACAAAATAAAGGGTGGCTAAGAGAACAAAAATCTTTTCAAATGAAATGATATTAATTTCATTGGATAATATATTAATGATACGAATTTTATTCGATAATATATGAATGATATATATTTTTGAATCCAGATTGACGGGCTTCATCGAATAATGGAAAAATATAGATCATTTCATTTGAAAAACTTGTTTTCTCATTCAAAGAAAAAGTGAGCACATATTCAAAAAATTCGTAAAAAATTATTCCAGAAAATTTTTCCAAGAAGCAAAATTCAATTGAGAAATACGAGCATAAACAGGACTTATTGTTGTGTCATATTATTCATAAGTAAACGGGATGATTGATTCATTCCAGACAGCAGAAGTTGTGTGTTGAATATACAGGGTGATTCAGGTTTTAGAGCACAAACTGAACTAGGAGGTAGATCTCATCATTTTAATCAGAAAAGTTAATATATACATCAGTTCGATCTCGTTCAGTAGCAGAGCTACAGGGGGTCATAGTTAATTTTTTTTTATTAATTGAAATATCTCGATTACTTTTATTTACTATTTAGGATATCATCATTTCAAGCCATTTTAAGATTTTCAAAATCTACAGGGTGATATGGTTTTGGGGGTAGAGGCTTCTTTATCCCTCCCAAACTTTTTCGTAGTACGCCTCTGGCATCTTTTCTTGATCAAATTGTGTAGATCGTTCAATTTAAAGGCTTTTTTGTTCTTCAATTTTTTTTGAGAAACGAACTGTTTTTGAGATAATTGAGCATATACGTTCAGAAACATGTTAATTTTGCCTATGTTTCGCTTAAATTTCATTTAACTGAAAAAAAACTTCGACTTTCTACCCTCCGTATTCCCGTTACTAATCCAGATTGGACTAGTGATTGCAATTTTAGTGAGTACATTTCATTGTATTCTCAACGAATTGTCAAAGAAGAAAATTTAAGCGAAACATAGGCAAAATTAACATGTCTTAGAACGTATATGCTCATTTATCTCAAAAACGGTTCGTTTTCTCGAAAAGAATTAAGAAGCAAAGAAGCCTCTAAATTGAACGATCCACACATTCTGATCAGTGAAAGATGCCAGAGGCGTACGACGAAAAAGTTTGGGGGGGTATAAAGAAGCCTCTACCCACAAAAACCTATCACCCTGTAGATTTTGAAAATCTTCAAATAGCTTGAAATGATGATCTTCTAGGAAGTATTGACCACACCGAATTTCAAAATGAAATCTCAAGAAGTAGGCGAGAGATTTCAATTAATAGAACAAATTTATTGAACTTTGACCCCCTGTAGCTCCGCTTCTGGACGAGATCGGACTAATGTTTATATGAACTTATCCGATTGAAATGATGAGATCTATCTCCCATTACAGTTCGTGCCTCAAAACTTGAATCACCCTGTATAGCTATGTACCTACAGTGCTGCTCAATGAAGACTCTAGAGTCCGACCACGATAACTTTGGGACAGCACGTGGTCGCGTATGCATTGAATATGCATATGCGTTGCGTCACATGCTGTCCCAAAGTTAACGTGGTCGGACTCTACCTACCTATGGTCGTAAAGGTAGTTACAGTTGGTATGAGCTGATATTACGAAATTTTCTATACGAGTCGTTACTTATTTATTGAGCTGCTAGTTTTACCTACCAATAATTATTATTATTGAGTAAAATGTAAAATGCTTGTTATTCAAATTACTTCTCAACATGTTATTGTCGATCACACATTGAGATGATTCAGTGCGCTACTGTACAATAGCATTTCAGAATTTTGTTATCTACCTACTAGATGTTATATTGAAGCAGCTTTTCCACCTCACAAAGTACTTCCGAACAAATTATTCTCAACTGAATTTGGTACGTATGTCAATAAACCTTGAACCTAAGATGATCATTTCATTTTGTTTCAATTTTCTTCCAGTCATTGTATGGATATAATATTTTGTATTTCACTCGAGTAAATGTGTGACTAAGAGTACTTATTAGGAAACCAAATCCGTATAAGTTCTTTATTGCGATGTCTTGAGAAAATCGTATTTTTATGATAATTTCTAACGATATTGACATTGATTGCTCGGTGGTCTGACAATAAACAACATCTTCAATTACTCGGAAGGAGACGATCGGAATATTAACAAATAAATAGGTTACATATATTATATATTCATTTACGATTGGAAGTGAAATAATGTACCATTTCCTATATTGTTTTGAATCAAAACAAGCTATTACACACATGTTAAAAATGTTATTCAGGGTGTCCCGAAATCATATAACAAGATTTCAACCACAGATTCTAGGAATATAAATAGTGAAAAAGTTCATATAACCAGGGTCCAGAAACGGCCTGGGGAGTTATAGCCTTCTGAAGGAGAGCCGAAGATAATGGTTTCAAGTTGAAATATTTTCGAAATCTTCTGTGACAAAATAACCAAATTTTGTTCATGTACCTAACAGTTTATGCCCGATTTGGAAATGTAAGGATTCTCAGAAATTTCGACCAGGGTCGTGGAAAGTAGGTGGGACTAGGGGAACTTCTCCTCCCAACTTTTTTGTTTATGCAATTTTTGGCAGTTTGACCAGGAATTATGAAAATCTCAACAGTTCTACTTCAAAATGGTACTCTTGTTTCACCAGTTTCGAGATAAATCGATTTCAAAATTCTGTTGATGCATATTAAACATATCCTCATCATCTCATTAGGGTACCGAATGTTCCCAGAAATTATGGTTTGATCGAAAATACCCCTTCTTTCAACATCTACTTTTGAGGTTTGGTTTGAAATATGGAGAGTGCAATAAAAACACTGAATTGAAAAATGATATGGTAGGTAGGTAGGTAGGTACCCTATTAAGAAAAAGTACTATTTTCATCACGCAGCAGACTTTCAAAATCTATTTATCTCGAAAATGGTGTTATCGAAACTAAACCAGTGTACCATTTTTCAGTAGGAATGTTGGGACTTCCATATTATCTGGTCAAACTGTCAAACATTACATAAACAAAGAAAAACCATCTCCTCGGGCTCCCCTTCAGAAGGCTATAACTCCCTATATAGGGGGCCATCTATTTTGGACCCATGTTTATATGACTGTTTTTGATCCTGGAATCTGTGGTTGAAATCTTTCTTTGTGATTTCGGGACACCCTGTATAATGTAGAACAACTGGATATCTATAATTTAATGAATTTTCGATATTCGTTGTTTGAATAATTATAGGATTAAATTATTATATCCTCCATATATTTAGGTTGTGTTTGGAATTTTTCAGTGGAAGTAAAATCGCGATGGTAATTCTGGAAGCATTTTTCATCATCAATGATAAATGAATTCACCATCTCGTAAATGAGCTATTTCAGTGAAAAATCCTTTTTCCATCGCGACTTTCGTAAAATGTATTTTTCATTTGTTAAAAATGTGTTGAATGGCACCTCTTTTGAAAGGACTTTTATTAATTACATATCCAACCATATCTATGAGTTTGGACTCAGACCGCAAAATATCAATCAATTAATAATAAATGCACCATGAATAAGTTGAAGGAGAAGTTTGAAAAGATGTTTCTTCTAGTCTTCGTCAATTTCGAGCATTCTTGTTGATTTGAAATTTCGAATTAAACACCCTGTAACTCAGGCAGGAGATTCATTTGATTTTGGGAATTGGGTTGAATATTCATATTATGAGTTCAGGAGGATTCTATCTACAGCGTGTCTCACTTCAAACGGCCCCCCTCTATATCTCTGTTATTAGTCATGCGATTCCAACCAAATTTGGTGTGGTATGAATAACCATCAATATGATCAGTTTTACAGAGATGCACATTATTTTGGACAGTGCCGTGCGTTTTTATCTAACTAAAATGGGGTCGATTTTTCATAAGATCCTTTTGGGCATTTTTTTTAGAAGAAATCTAAGTCATATTATTGTTCCTCAGGCTTTCGAACCTCCATATGCAAAAAATCACCTGATTCCCAATTAACAGGATTGGCTCCATTCTTTTCATTTTCAGTCTCGAATAAATAGTGACTTCAAATCAACTACGAATTTTGGAACGTTCAATGGCTCCGGTAGGTGGAAAATCATGATTTGGAAGGAAAAACGAGTTATAATTCTTTATGTTAAACTCACCGTTTCCGAGTAAATGATTATTACTTTCGCAAAAATGCTGATTAGATCTGCCTGTTTTACTGAAACCCTTCATAGGCATCTTATGAAAATCCACATATTATGTGGGCTGAAGCCATGAAGAGCAATATTATGAGGTCAGTTTTCCTGTGAAAAAATGCCTAATATGATTTAATAAAAAAGTGACCCCTATTCATTTCAATAAATATGCACGGCACTGTCTAAAATGATGTTTGTCTTTGAAGAACTGGTCATATTGATGATTATTCATACCGATACTAATTTGGTAAAGATCGCACGGCTGATAGCTGAGATATAGAGGGGGGGGGGGGCGTTAGAAATGAGACACGCTGTATATAGTTGAGATATTTGCAATTAGTAATAGAACACCTTGTATATGGTACTTACTTTCCATAGCCCATTTTTCATGCCTGGTCATAGATTCCAAAACTCGAGTACTAGCTGCGACGCATTCTTTGTTCTGCAATTTTGTCAAAATGTCACTGACCACTTCAAGGTTGTGAGGAAAGTATAATTTTTGATTCCTTTGATCTGGTCCATCTTTATTACTCGTTTCATTGTTAGTACTTTGCGTGTCGTTGAGATCTTTCCTCTTATTCTTTTCTGTAACATTGTTTTTCAATAATTTAATGATGAAAATCATTCTCTCACAGTGAGGAGCAGGTATAATATTTCTTGTAATTTCGTTGTCAAATGATGATAATATGTTCACATTTTAAATATCAGTATGATAAGTCATAATATGAACACTATATGTATAGTATATTTTCATATTCTCATTAGTGTCAATATTGACGAAATTTTTTCTGTGACGGGAAAAAAGTTTGTAATTTCATCTCTGTTGACAGGTTATAAAATGTCACTTTTCATAAATAACTTTTTTCCCGCGGGAAAAAAGTGAGTACTTTTTTCCCGGATATATATCACATATATATATACACTGTTGATTGCTTTTGTTGTGCTATAGTTGGGATGCAGTCTGGACCAATGAATTAATTAGATTTCTTCGTTATTTGTCGAGCTTTCGATGTTTTCAGTTAGTCTTGATAAAGAAAATAAAAATTTTCGAAAGCTCGACAAATAACGAAGAAATTTAATTAATTCATTTGTCCAGACTGCATCCCACTAATATTTCCAAGAATGATATATATAGATATATGCGGTTTTCACTCATGAGTTTGTCATGAAAATCTATCTATAATTTGAAAATAGGGCTGCTGCTTCGAAATTATCGATTTATCCCGTACTTGAAATTTGGTAAAACTCCGTTTGTATTTGGGACATGAACAAATAAAGTTTCCACAGTTTTTGTTATAATTTTGATCATATCAGTAGGCCATGAAAAGATGAACACACTGCATAGATTGTGGGCACTTAACAATAGCAGAAAATCGATAGAAGAACTTATTTGACGAAGAAAGTTCCCGGTCGTGGAAAGCTTTGTTTTCGAGATACAGGGCGTTTAAATTGTAGATAAACGTCAATTTATATTTATAAAGACTCTTTGAGCTATCGTTATAGCAAAACTCAGTCTATTATATTACTGAAATAATGGTGCCAACATTTTAAAAATATGCTTATATCATGGTTAATCTATTCGGTTGTCGTGAATGAACTATTCGACACCTACACAAACATTTTTAGTCAAATTAGGTTTTCCGTTTTCACTTAAAAACGGTGCGTTCTAGCTAGATAACAAAAACTCATTCTTCGTAAACAAACATGCAGATACTTATTATGTCACCAGAATATCTCGTATTTTTGTTGTGTGGTTTGCAAGTAATTGGAGAAAAATCAATTTGTTCTATCTCGAAAATAAAGCCTCATGTCTGATATTCATAGCAACTTTTCAACTTAAGATGTCTTTCTATATCAGTTGACGATATTTTGTTACTACAAAATGGACCACCCTGTACGAATTTCCTTCCCGCTACGCGTCAGGCGAGGCGTCTGACAGCAAACTTCACACGCGGGAAAAAATGAATACCTTTGCTCCCTTGTTCTAGATAAAGCTATTATCACCACGCGGTGACAAATAACGTGAATATATGGGTGGCCCTCCTCGATGGATAACCACCCTGTACATCCATGAATTCAGAATAAGAACTCTTTCAGAAACATATCTGAAAAAACATTGATAGCATAGTTGTTGCAGTGGCGAAGTTATCCTTTCCATTTTCGAAGTCCGATCTGGAATGATTCAGAAGTTACAGCACTGGCCGCTTTTTGGGCACAGTTTTTTTCCTAAAGGGGTACACAAAAAGAGACATGGCCACCATCAGAAAAAAGTTCAAGGTCGATTGCATCTAAATTATCGGTTGGTTGGGTTTTTGACTGGTTTGGGCCGCTGCACGATTTAATGCATGTGGCGAAAAAAGACAATGATGGACTTGAACAACGAACAACTTTCAATACCTAATTATAAATATCGAGCCCAAACTAGTAAAGGGGCAAAAAAACCCAAACAGGTTAAACACAATCATGCTCAGAGAACTTCAAAACAATATTATATTCTTTGCTTTTGATCCAATCTTTCCATGGATGTACTCATATTTCAAGAAGGCGTTCGGCCTCCAAGGAAGGGTACTGCATGTCCCCCAGTACTTATCCTTATATTTGTTTTATCTTCTGAAGTACACGAAGAGGAATATCTATTACGTTCGAGGAACATCGTGAGTACCTATAGGGAAGATGGGAAGAGCAGTAAGATACTGTGAATTTTTGAGCTTTTGGGGGTTTTATATGTTCATTGACATCGTTTAACTGCCTTCGTCGTAAGTTCCTCGTTACCTGTGATGTCTTAAACAAAATGGAAATTCTGGAAGTGATTATAGATAGTAGTCTTCTGCAAAGCTGTGAATATGGCAATTGGTTATTCTCAACAGATCATTGAAATGGAGTAGGAGCAATGTTGATGCTGTTTCGTTATTGGTCAGCTAATCTTCCATTTCCACTCATGAAGCAAGGTTGACAAGTCACCAATTATAATCAAGTTATCAAAAAGATGTTTGAGTCCTCTCGTTGAATGAAACACTATACTTCATTCTCGACTTTTTCGAGCCACCAGCATGTGCAACTATTTCTTATTCATAACAAAATATCATGTCAATGTTGGAGACTTGGCAACATTGTGCTGAATGCTCAGAACTGACAAGACCACACCCACAAGTCGTGCGCGGGGTTGTCACGTTCACCGATTAAAATGTCCTCTAGTGTGAATTAATATAATTATTATTTACACAAATTCAGTATAATCAAATCAAAAGGGAACATTTTGAGACAACTGAATTTTTATTGCTGATTAGGAATATTACGAATACTCTATTGAGAATTTATGAATTATTGAATAACTTATATTTTTGGAGTTCGTGCTGTAAATTTCTAGCCGTTTGAAAATTACCGTGGCAATATAGATGATTTTAGCACCTGAAAATCGACCGAAAAATTTGAAAAAATATAGAGCAATCTGTCTAAATAAAAACTTGATTGAAAAAGTCATAGCTGAGCTGGTAAGCCATATAATGGTAGGTAGTTTGTGAAAAGTCGTTGCTACCATGTTTTTTATTGAAACTTGCCATATATGGGTAACGTAAGCAGGTATCCATATTGTCGATTAATCATGATTACTGAGCTTTCCAGATGTTTGATACATGCATATGGGTGAAACTGAAAATTTTTGCTCAAACCACCTCACTATATTTTCATTGGCGCCCTGTCACATGCCACTATTCAATGCGAAAGCCGAGGCGAAAGCATTAATCCTTGTTCATTCGTTTGTTCATTCCTGATGATGATCGATATTTTTGGGGGAGCAAAAGGATAATTTGGGGGGCTCTTACCCTTTCCAAAACCCCCCTAATTTTGCCAATGATGATAGCTGACCTCAATGTCAAAGTTGCAAAAAACTGGAATCAGTGCTTCTTGGCATATAGCTAGTCTTTAAGGAGACATTGACTCCTCATCAAAATTGGATAATAAAAATTAACAGCGTTATGGTCTGGCTGGAGCATTTTTTGTCAATTAACCTGTGTCAAAATTACCATAATTTTATTATTGAAGAACTTCCACAAGGTCCCTGAATATTTCCATCATTTTTTAAAAACAATTAATATTATACAGTGTGTTCCACTTGAGCAGTATTACCCTTGAATTCTTTTATTCGTTGAGTGATTTCAAATTTTGTTTTCCTTCTTCTGAACATATTGTACTCAATGCGATCTGAATTCCTGAGTATTGAATTTTCTCATTGCATCGTTTCACGGCCAACTATATGATCGATCAAAAACGCAAAAAGTCAGTTAAGTAGTAAAATGTAGGTAAAAATCTAATGTCAGCATGTTGAGAATTATATAAGACTGGTTGAAGATTCAGAATTCTGATCTGTTTCAATTTAATGTCAGTAGATGTAAATCAAAAGTTAAGATAGGGACATGAAAGCCGTTTTGACCGATAATGAATAGTTTCGACACAAACAAATCCTAAAGTTGAAAACTCTCGATTTTGAACACGATTTGAACACCCTATATCTCTGTAATCATTCCCGCTAGACTCCAAATGTGATACATATATGAAATCAGCTTTTTAGGGAGAATCTAAAAATGCAATGAAATACAGGGTGTTCCAATAACGAAGATAATGTCACTTCCGGTTCAACCGTACCTCCATCTTGAATATGTCATCAAATTTTCAAATCCGCCCTTCTCATAGTTTTTCATATATCGATCGATTCAGTGCCCGGAGGGAAACCCTGTATACAATGCGCCCATTACCGGTATGTATGAAATAATCATTTCATTCAGATACTCCTAGTTATCAAGATATACATCAGGTTGTTGTTTTTGCATTTCTTCGTAATAAACGAAACATATTTACCATGCATGATTGGATAGGAGTATTCATGAATTTCTTAATAATCGAACTTGAAAAATGATTTAATCTCTAAATGTATAGTTTGTATACTCCTGAATTTTTGAATTTAGGAATTTTGTCCATCATTATAGAAATCATCACCAAACTCGAGATTCTAACATTTTATTTCACGATCAATTATCACAGTTCTGTGATTAGACCTCAACAATAATTCACCGCTTTTGAATAACATTGTATAATGTTTTTTCTGTGACGGGAAAAAAGTTCGACATTTCATCTCTGTTGACAGGTTACAAAATGTCACATTTCAAAAAATTACTTTTTTGCCACGGGAAAAAAGTGAGTACTTTGTTCACGGATATATCGGGTGTCAACAAATATTCTGTGTATCAAAATGAAATTTGATATGGGTACTTAGTATGTGAAGAGGACATTTTCGCATATTTTTCACTTCCTGGTCACTTCCGGTTTCACCCAAAATGGCTCCGGATTTGACTTTTTAAATGGAACACCCAGTATATTATAATGTCTGACATTCTCAGAAGTTTTTATTTCTACTTCATTTTTTTTACGGTCACTCTTAATATTGCAACTAGGTGGCAATGATCGGAAGTAAACTTATCTATAAGTACCTCAGGTAATGACAGAAAATTATAATCACAAAGTTTTAGTGACTAGTATGATATAGGAGGAAGACAAGTTGACAAAATCACATTTCCCTGTCTAACTATTATTTTTCAAATGGCTGGCAGGCATCTTCTGACAAGCACTTTTTGAAAAACGGTCTAACGATACTAATTCATTTGCGATTGGATTGAAAATAAGAACATATAAATTCAATATTACTTAGGGTAATTTTATTCATTCACATTTGTCAAGTATGCCATGGATAGCCATGATGCATAATATTTTGCAGCTATTTTTTACGAGATGGTTACGAGTCTTCTTTGGAAAACAAAACACGAGACAAAACACTCAGGTAATTAATAAGCCTTATGAGCAAACAGTAAACGTTTCTTCATTTTCATTAAATTTCAGTTCAATTTTCTGTCAAAAGAATGTATAATCAAAGTGAAAAGTGGATACCTGAGTGTTTTGTTTTCCAAAGAAGACTCGAAATAAATATCCGCAAAATATTATGCACCATGGCTATCCATGACACACTTGAGACCTCGACACGTGTTTCGCTAACTATGTTAGCATCTTCAGGAGAAGATTAAAACCGAGTTTTGATTGAAAATTGTGTGAGTGAAAGAAACGACAATAGATATGAGGATAGAGGCCACAGGGGCCCCAAGAATTATTAACCTTAGGCCCAAAAAATCATATATCCGCCATTGCGTTGCCAAGCAACACCACAAATCCGTCAGGACGAGTGGTATTGCTGTACTTGCTGCAATTGGTCTATCAGCGTTGATGTTTTCAACGATGTAACCATGGAAAGCGAAGCAAAGTCTGGATGTTATCAGTATTGAAAGCGAAGCAAAGTCTGTCAGTTTGGCGTGACGTGAAATAGTCTAGCAAAATGAATATCTGAACGTCTTCTCATAATTCTGTCTTTCATTGTTAACTCAATTGTGTTGCCGTACAGCAATATCACTCGACCTGTCGGATTCGTGGTGTTGCTCGGCAACAGAATTTCGTACTATAGGATCGGCCCTAATTATACTTTTCTTACCTTTCATATCTATATTATATCGGCTGATCATCATCCTGGGGTGTACGTTTTCCACATCTTTCCTGATTTTCATCACCACCGTGTCATTTTCCTGTTGGCAACACGCCAAACCGCACAAAATCCCCAAGAAACCCAAAATGAATTTCTTCCGAACGCGAGCAATCATCCTGAAGAGACGGTAATTCGAGCGAGGTAACGTTTTGAATGTTTTCGCGCTACTACTTGTTGTAATGCACCTTCACGTGTCGTGCTATAACGTTTTTGTTTATTCTTGTACTCCAACAACTATCAGCCATCAGTGAAGAAGTGGTCATGGACAGGGAAAGGTGTCGGCCCATAGGGTATAATGTATACACATTCGGGTCCAAAACATCATTAATTATAGGTACCTACTTACTTAATTTTAGTTTAAACAAATATTTATAGAGAATTTACATGTAATTGTTACAATGATATTTTCGCATATCAACCTATAGGGTAACAGATTATAACAATATAACTTCAATAAAAATGTCTCCTATAAGTACCTTTGTACTGGTATCCAGAGTGATATCGTACATTATTAATATAATGACTATTATCATTATTCCTTATTATCATCATTAAAGAAGCAAAAAAAAAAATTCACAATAGAAATAGAGACTGAAAATTCAATCAATTTCTTGGATTTGACAATAAGTGAAATTAACGATAAACATGATTTTTCAATTTTCCATAAATCTTCCCACACTGATATCACTATTCATAATAATTCAACACACCCTTATCAACATAAAATTGCAGCATATAATAGTATGATACATAGGCTAGTGAATGTCCCTCTTTCGGAAGTAAATTTCAATAAAGAACTCAATATCATAAAACAGATTGCAGTCAACAACGGATACAACGTTAATTTTATAGACAGTATTCTTTCTAAAAAACTTCAAAGCTATTCAAGAAGTTTATCCTACCATCAAGAATAATAATCAAAATTATAGAACTTAAACCTATTTCGGATCATCAACTGAGAAATTAGCTTCATTTCTACATAAACAGGACTCGAAAGTGGCATATAGAACAAATAACACGTTGGGACGGTTTATCAAGAATAATAAAGACAAAACTTCTAAATTCGAAAAATCAGGGGTATACAAACTCAAATGTGGATCTTGTCCTAAGGTATATATCGGTCAGACAGGTCGTACGTTTAATCAGAGCATTCATGAACATAAGATGAATTTTATGAAAAAGAAAACAAATTCAACATACGCCAACCATATATTAGAAGAAAACCATAGTTTTGATGATAATTTCGAAATTGTGCACGTAGAAAATAAAGGACTGAAACTCAATCATTTTGAATCATTAGAAATCAACAAACTCAAAAATTTTGACATTTTACTTAATGATCAATTAGACCTCAATAGTTCACCACTGTTGAATTTGTTTTCTTAGTAAGTAATAATATGTATTTCCTATCAAGTCTTTCAAGTTAATCCGGTATACCGTAATTTAATGTAGATATTGTGCCTAATTTCCGATAATGGCGGTTTATCGTACCTGTCCACAGGTAACTAATCCTTCAGGTTGGGAAAGTAAGATATATGAAAGTCGAGCAAGCCAACGTTAGTTTAAGTTCATTGTACCAGTATATTACCTGACGAAGCTACTGTGTTAGCGAAACATGTCGTGTGATAAAGAATTTTGTGAAAATCTTATCGTTTGTGAAGTTCTTACATTTAACAATGATGAGGTTCAAAAACCTCAATTTAATTTCATTCAATACAGGGATTCTTAATGAAATCTACAGTTTTTTCGTAAAGTAGTCAATAAATTTATTTTCAGCGAAACTATCCTTTTCTGAATTAGGTCGATTTTTATCTTCAATTTAGCCCATTTATGAGAAAATATTAAGGTGGATTTATGTTGATTAACCGTCATTAAATTCATTTTTATTTAAGGACTTTGATGCCTTTATGCACTTCCTTTTCTTTAACTTCAAACTCTTCTTCATGATCCAAACATAGTCCTCAGCGTCCTTAGCCCGATGAAAATATTGGCGTTCTTACCTCCACTGCTCTCATTATTAAAATAAGGCTAATTTGTTTGTATTGTTTTCAAAGTCTAATTTGAACGGGCAACTAGAATTCTGTGAATTTTCAGCCATATTGAAAAAATGAATCGCGCCTGCGCAAGTCACACTTTTACTATAAAAGTTGGCCATCTTTTAGCGAATAGTTAATGAAAGATAAACATTAATTTGGGTGCATGAATGATTGAACGGAAATACCAAGTTTCAACTCATTACTGAAATCGTTAATGATTGTGAAACTACAGATTAATGAAAAAGCGGCGTGCATAAATCAGGCTTTAAATATACAGGGTGGTCCACGTTGAAGTAGTGACTACCGGAACTATTTTTGTGAATGAAACACCCTATATTTTATTCAATTCTTGAAATCTCCATGGATACTTGAATACGAAATGGTATTATACGTAGAGTTTGTATACAGTGTGTCCGTAAAATTGAAGTGCTCTTATGAAGTAGTGGGGGTAAATTCATTTTTATCCATACTATCATATTCTGAGAAGTCTCCGGAAACAGGTCGATTTTTATTTTCGATTTGCAACATTTATGAGGAAAAATAAAATATACTGGGTGATCTACGTTTCAGTTGTGGTGTCCGCGAATTTTTTTCAAATAAAACACCTTATATTATATATATTATTCTTTATTTGAAGTGTAGTTTTGATTTGCAACATTCATGAGGAAAAATTAAACACACACAGGGTGATCTACATTTGAGTTGTGATATCCGCGACAATTTTTTCATATAGAACACCCATATATATTATTCCATTTTTGAAGTGTCCATGAAAAGCTGCATTCAAAAATATATCACATAGAGGGTTTGTAAAGTAGTGGATACATTCGTAAAAAATTAAAGGGAACATTTTTGGAAAGAACGCTCAGTGCCGTCAAATTTCAAATTCGATTACAGAAAAAATCGTGTAGGAGAAATTACGTAATCGGTATGTCTTTAATATGGCAGCATCAATTCATGATAGCACTGAATAAAACGGGAGCACTGTATACAAACCCAATTATTTGAATTTGGTGTTCCATGAAGATTCAAATAATTCAATAATATATAGGGTGATTCAAAATTCGATGTAAAAGTTTTAAGGACATATTGTTGGGATCAAAATAAAACTTTTTCTTCATATGAACATGTGCCCCCCTCCAAGCTACAGCCACTGTAATGGTTAGGTGAAGAAAAAAGATATTCTGAAACTGTGACTAAAATAACGGATCAAATCTTCTGCAAATTGGCAGGCCCCGATCCTCTTAGACACTTTATTTCATTCTTTCTTCAAAAATTATGTAAACCCAGTTTTGGGGTGGGTTGGAGGGGGGTACTCACTTTTTATTGGCCGAAATGGGGTGCATTTTAGGACATATTATGTTCATATGAAAAAAAGTCTTATTTTGATCCCAATAATAAGTCCTTGTAATATTTACATCGAATTTTGAATCGCCCTATATACTTTGGGTGTTCTTTTTTCAAAAAATTTTAGAGGACGTCATTACTCATGTATGAAAAGTACCGACCTGTTTCAGAAAAAGTCATCAGAAATAGACAGTTTATTGGCTACAAACGAATTTATTCGATACTTTAACGAACGCACTTAATTTAACAGACTCACTGCATAGAAATCCTCCACACGTGGTAGCTCTGTGTCCCAGCAGTTTTGGGACACCCTGTATATGCTGGGTGGTAAGTTCTGAAATGAAAGCCCTGTATATATTGTATGAGCACATAATATAGCTTCGTGTTGAGCTACAAATATAAATGGTGCTCTATTCTGAAATGATTTCTTCATATCATCCAGTTGATTTTCATTCAGCGGTAGGTACGCCTATGATAAATGCGTTTAATCAGCAGATTTATACTTTAGCTACCACCGCAATATAATTGACCTCTAATCAGAATTTTAAATAATAAACAGAAGGTATAGTAACTGAGGTAGTACATCTCTTCCTCCTATGATGTTTTGATGTATTCAATATTCACCTTGGATACTATTTCCCGTGAATTATTATTTTTCTTGCCAGAGGTAGGTAGGTTATAAAACATAGACAACGAGTAAACATTTATATTTATTTCACAAGTGTATATCTGTTTGTAATTTATTTTTTATATTTTGACTAGCAACCCTAGTTCTGTCTATTTTATGGATATGTCTATTCATAACTTTAAATATATATCGTATTGTTCATTCATTTTCACTTGTAGATCTACATCTTCCAATAATTGATGGCCACTAGACTTCTTCTTGCCATCTATAACAAAATAAATTTGAACATGTCAGAATTAGGTTAGTATCTAAATAACACCGAAAAAATTTAAGGAGTGATTCTGTGATGAAAATGAAGGTGGGTAATTGGTATACAATTTTTTGATAAATCCCCCCGGAAAAGTTACACCCCTCCAAATTTGGTGAATATTATTTGTAAATATTTTGAATTTTTTTCAACCCTGAAGTATGCTTAGAAGGGGTAAAAATATTCATCCCCTAAGATATTTTTTCTTGCAACTTTTTTTTAATGAAAAAATCCTTTTTTAAAACACGTGACTGAAAAGTCCAATTTATTTACTAACTTTTATACCTCTAGAAGTTCTTTCGAAAACTCAAGCATTTGCCATGTTTTTTAAAATAAACTTTCTTGTCCAAAAAGAGTTGTAAGACATAATATCTTAGGGGTTGAATATCTCAACCCCTTTCAAGCATATTTCAGGGTTGAAAACATTACAAAATGTGTAATTTTATTAGCAAATAATATTTATCAAGTTTCGTGTCTTTGGCTTGATGAACAGGGGAAATAAAAAAGAAAGATTTATTTTTATTTTCAGAAGGGTGTAACTTTTTCGGAAAGAGGTTTTTCAAAAAATTTTATATCCAACTTTAGTTTTTATCACAGAATCACCCCTTGAAGTTTTTTGATGTTATTCAGATATATGATATCTTATATTATTTTGTACAAGGTGATTCACCATAAATGCCCCCCCCCTCTAGCTCAGTTATTTTTGAACCGATTGCAAAATTTTAAATATCATCTAAAATGGTTTTCGATAGATAGAAAATACAAGGTGCTCGTTACAAACGATCTACAGGGTACTATTTTATTTTTTCAAATGGAATACACTATTTTTCATTGTATTTTTAGATTCTCCCTGAAGAGCTGATTTCATCAATGTAGCACACTTGGGGTCTAGCGAAAATGATTACAGAGATATAGGGTGTTCAAAATCGAGATTTTTCAACTTGGAACAGATACAGGGTGATCAGGATTCTGAATCTTGAACCACACTGTATATGTTCCAATTAAATATCAGTAGATAGTAAATCGAAAGTTTAGATAGGGACATTGAAGCCGTTTTGACCAATAATGAATAGATTCGACACAAAAAAATCCTGAATTTGAAAAATCTCGATTTTGAACACCCTATATCTCTGTAATCATTCCCGCTAGACCCCAAGTGTGATATATTGATGAAATCAGCTCTTCAGGGAGAATCTATAAATACAATGGAACACAGGGGGTTCCATTTGAAAAAATCAAGTAGTACTCTGTAGATCGTTTGTCCGAGCACCCTGTATTTTCTGATGCAACGGGAAAATGATTATTCAAATTTTTAAATCGGTTCAAAAATAAGTGAACTAGAGGGGGGATATTTATGGTGAATCACCCTGTACTATACAGTTGATATATTATGATGAAAGCACTATCAACGAAAAGTATGAACTATGGCGGTGCGTCACTTTGGGGGGCCTAGGGGGTAATCGCCCAACAACCATATACGTATTAATAATCAATACGGATAATCTCTATCTGTTTCCATAGCGAAACATGAAGCCGATTTTTGAAGACAAATGACTATCCATAAGGAAAAGTTTTGGAACGATCAGACACATACTGCTTTGATTGAAAGGCTAGTAAACGTCATTGTCCACCGAAACGCATGTCTTTGATGACTACTATAATAGCGCATGGCGCATGCGTATCATGCCACCAAATCCTTATGGATATTCATTTGTTTCATATTTTTGGCTTCATCCTGGCACCCGTTATGATCAGTATTGTTTATTAATACGTATATGCCAACAACTACACAATATATTTATACATTAGTAAGTACAATTTATCATTTCATTTTGATATTTTCGCCCCCCTGGGGTTTTGAAGTTCCGGCGCGTATGCATAGGAACATATAGTTGCTTTGTCACCTGCTCCATGTAATTTTGATGAGTTTCTAATGTTTTTAATCGGTTATTCATCAGTCATCATAATAATACCGGGTGACCAGTTATATATTCTGACTCATTTCAAATGCTCATATCTCTGAAACCATTCAAGTTATCGTTGTGCGGTTTGGACTAGTCTATTTGGATGTTTTTCAAGTTTTTTTTGACGTGTTCATCTTCTCACTTGAACTTCCGGTTCTACCGGAAACGAACAAGCAATAATCCAGGTATAGGGCAACTTTTTTATTTCATTGAATCACCCTGTCTATTTTTGCACATTCAGAAAGACTGGTCTTCTCTCTATCTAACAATGTATTACAAGTTATGTTCTCCTAGAAAACTATTAGAGTTATAACTCTTTGAAACAACTACTGCTTGTGGAATGGTTTAATGAGATTATGCAATGTTATCAAAGTTGCCCTATACCTGAATAATGGCTTGTTTGTTTCCAGTAGAACCGGAAGTTCAGGTGAGAAGGTGAACCAGTCAAAAAACTTGAAGAATATCAAAATAGAGAAGTCCAAACCACACAACGATAATTTGAATAGTTTCGTAGATATGAGCAGTTGAAATGGGTCAGAATATAACTGGTCACCCGGTATAATGAAGTGAGATTGCAATCGGAAACGAACTTAGAAACTTGCTGTGCGGGGTTGGGAAGAGCCACCATGATCGGCCGAAAACCGGATTCGATCAGACAGCAATTATGGCATTGTCAGTGGCGGGTCCAGGGTACTGTTTAGAGGAAGCTAATGCACGTAAAAAGTGAAATACGAATATACAGGGTGTTTCAGTTTTTTGTAGCAGGACTTTAACAGCTTGAAGAAGACATTTTTCTGGGATGAAACTCTCATACAAACATATATGCGTGGAAGCTTCGTTTCCGATCTACAGGGTGTCAAAGTTTCAGATTTTTTTATGTTTTTTCAATTTTCTCCTACAATTTTCGGAATAATTGATTGACATTTGGTACACCCAATACACTTCAAAAACTTAACATTTGAGGCAATAGAGCGTTTTTGAATACCTACAGGGTGATAGACTTTCAGGGGTCGTACCCAATTCAACCCTGTAGAACTTTTTTGCGTGCCGTCTCTGCTTTCAATGGGACATAAATTCAGATCGTCCTTTCAATGTGGAAACTTTTTGCCTCTATGTAAATTTTTCGATAACTGTATGGATCTCGAGATAAGTGCCAAAAATAAATTACTTGTAATAAAATCGTTATTTCTCAAACACACTTATTTGACATTTCTCGAATATTTTATTGGAAAATAGAATGACCGAAAGCTTCCATACCGAATGAAATTCAGTTGCAAAATTAGATTGAATTTTTTGAACACCATTATAATTAAAACCAGGAAAAACAAAGAAATAATGTTTTTATTAAAAAAAAAAACGTCTCTAACTGGATTGCAAAATCTGAAAATGTATTGTAGAAAATTCTAGGACACCCTGTATAACTGAAACTGGTTAAAATTTCGATATCAGGGACTGTATGACACACGGTGGGGCGCTATACATCGCTAGACTGTCGTTTCTGACGGTTGAGGTGTTGTGAGTTTCAATAATTTAATCTCGTGAACGACAGTTCTAATTTTATCAGTAGGTACCCTTTGAAGTGGTTCGGATTCCACATTTATTTATCTCGAAATCCATATTGTTTTCGAAAAACATACATGGGGGCAAAAAGTTTCCAAATTGCAGAGACAATCTGAATCTATGTCCCATTGAAAGCAGAGGCGGCACGCAAAAAAGTTCTACAGGGTTAAATTGGGTACGACCCCTGAAAGTCTATCACCCTGTAGATATTCAAAAACACTCTATAGCCTCAAATATTAACTTTTTGAAGTGTATTAGGTGTACCTACCAAATGTCAATCAATTATTCCGAAAATTGTAGGAGAAAATTAAAAAAAACATAAAAAAATCTGAAACTTTGACACCCTGTAAATCGGAAACGAAGCTTCCACGCATATATGTTTGTATGAGATTTTCATCTCAAAAAAATGTCTTCTTCAAGCTGTTGAAGTCCTGCTACAAAAAACTGAAACACCCTGTATTTTCAATAGCATATGAAATAACACAAATGGTGACTACTTATCAATGTTTCGTCGTAGCTATTACTGAAGGAGATGATTACCACCGGTACCCTTCTTCGATCCGCAACTGAGTCAATGTGTATACAGGATATGTCACGACGAGCTTACACTATATCTCTATAACGAGAATGAGTCGGGAGAAATCCATGAAAATATGCATGCTCAAATTTTAGAATACGCTCTCTTTATTTAAAATATTCTCAGCAATGCAGTGTTGCCGCTTCTATCAAAAAGTAGCAACAACTTTGTTATTTCATGCAGGGTGATCAGAATTCTAAATCTTGAACCACCCTGTATCTGTTCAAATATCAGCAAATAGTGAATCATAAGTTGAGATAGGGATATGTGAGCCGTTTTGACCGATAATGAATAGTTTCGACACAAAAAATCCTGAAAAAGTTGAAAAATCTCGATTTTGAACATCCTATATCTTTGTAATCATTTTCGATAGACCTCAAATGGAATATATCGATGAAATCAGCTTTTCAGGGAGAATATAAAAATGCGATAAAATACAGGGTGTTCCATTTGAAATATCAATGTTGCTACCACTTTCTACTAGAAGCGGCAACACTGCTTTGTCAAAAATATTTTAAATGAAGAGAGCGTATTCTGAAATACAAGCATGCACATTTTCATGGATTTCTCCCGACTGATTCTCGATATAAAGATAGTTTAAGCTCGTCGTGACATACCCTGTATAACCACTCCTTTCCTTATATTTCAACTAATCACCTGTGGTGAAATCAATGTGGAGAAATGTTTGATCTTAATTTTTTGAGATTCTTTTACCCGCATTTTCCCAGTTGCTTCCCATCTAATATTCAGTGAGCACGTGAGGGTTGGAACAAATTCATTAAAATTTTGATATGGAGATTGGAAAAAAACTATAGAAATCATATTATATATACTCTATGGAGAAAACACGTCGATTGTCTTTTTCAGATGGGCATTATTTGTTGGTTTACTTATATTTTTGATGACGTAATTATCATAAATTACATTATAATGGATGAAATCTCTTTCATTTCTCGAAAATAGGATTATGATTGTAACATGAGAAAAAACAAAGAGAAAATATGACGTCCATATAAAGAAAAATGCGTTCTTTTTGAAGGTATTATCAGAATAGGGTATTGCCATTAAAAAAACTATAATGACGTCATAACCCGAACTTTTGGGGTGTTTCGGTTTTTTGACAACACGACATCGAGCTGTAACCTACTACTTTTTTCCCTTGTATAATAAATAACTATTATTTGTTAATGTGAGTTATTACCTGAACTTGGCCTGTGTATAATAATTTGCTTGATATCGATTTGGAATCCCCTGGCATCACCATCAATTTTGCTGAAAATAACACCAAACACAATATATTTTATGCACTACCGGGCGTAAAGTAGCACTTTACCGCTCGGTTTGCGACCGTAAAGTGGCACTTTACCGCCCGCGGAATATTTTACCGCCCGGCGTATACGTAACTCGTAATAGGCATTCCTGTACAATTCAAGATATTTATGTTTCAGTTGTGATTGGTTCCTTATATAATATAACAGTTCTCTTTATATTCCCTGAGATGCACAATGATATGATCGAACCCAAATTAGTTGTTTGTGATGACATTAATTTACAGCAAATATAATAGTCTACTCCTAATTCAAAAATTGACGTTACCACGGTAACGTCGATTACATCAATGATATTCCTTACTGGAGCCATGATGTATTTCTCTCGTTCTCGGGAGGAGGAGGGGTATTCACAATGAAAAATCGAATATACCGGTCGTGCATAAAATATTGTATGTATTTCGGACGTAATTTGCTTTTATGGACCTAGCCGTGTTATACTTACACGCTACAGTCCATAAAAGCCTATTTTACGACCTTGATACATGAATAACTATTTTCATATTCGCTTCGAGGTGACTGGTTGTTATTTCCCAGCGAGCACAAAAACATCTCAGAGATGTTAAAAGTACGAGATTTCGAGACATTGAACCTCCACTGCGATGTTCTGTTCATACATGAATAGAACTATTATAGAACAGCCAATGTCTGCCGCAGGCGGCAATTATCGAGATGTCCTTGATATGTCACAAAACTACCTACTCCCTAGTTCTTTTCAAAGCCTTTTCATGGACACAACAAAACATTTCCAACGCGTCTTGCGCACATTGAATCGCTGTAAAAAAACATTTTCGAGGTACTTTTCTGAAGCCTTTTGTCAAAATGAATTTCTGCAATAGGATTCCATTTCCCTTGAATGAAAAAATGCATTAAAAATAGATTGAATATAAAAATATTTTTTTGATATGAAATTACCTTCTTAATCGGTTTCTGAATAGTGCTTACTACACACAGACATATAATTGGAAATAGGTTTCCCAATTTTTGAAATGTTCTCCACAATGCATAATTTTGCAACTGCGGAGAAGCTGTGTATTGATAAATTCGTACTTTTATATATTGATTACACTGAGGCACCGAACAACACATCTTGCATCTGATGGTCATTATTACAAACTAAATAAGTCTTCTAGCACAATAAACTTCACCAAATGCCTTTCTGTTCGTTAGCAGCGTGATGTAAGCATGACACGCTGCAAACGCGAATGCCAATTGCGAACAAGAAGAACAAAATCGAAAACAAATCAGAATTCATCGTATTGTGACGTAAGCATCTGACGTTGTGGTGGGGCAAACAAAGAAAGGGCACAAAAGAACAAAAACAATACTTTCAATATCCTTCTAAGACCTCTTTGGGAAGTGCATATCACGCCTCAAAAAAACATCCTCATGCCTACATTTCTAAAACTTCCCAAACCATCCCAGGGATACCTCTCAGTAGGCAAACAAAGAAATGCCACAGAAGAGCAAAAACAATACTTCAATATCCTTCAATGACCTCTTTGGTCAGTGCATATTACGTCTCAAAATAACATCTTCATGCCAAAATTTTCAAAACATCCCAAAACATCTCAGGGATGTTTGTGCTCGCTGGGTTGAGTCATAATACTTACTGAATGTGTAATTCCTTTGTGCTGTCGATATAACTAAATTTCAAATAGAAGAAACTCCTTTGATTCAAATATTCGAAGCTGGTATAATCATCCACGTACACTGTACCCTCGGCAGTACCGTTCTGAAAAAGTGTGGTTATCATGTTGGAATATCTAACTTTGAAGTCTATTCAATTTACTTGATCCAGATTGAGATAAAGCGTCACGGGATCGGTCTGCATGTCTGTTGTAGATGGCCGGGCGATGTCTTTCCTGAATATGATGCTGCCTCCTCGATAATAAAACGGTGCCTATATTAATTAAACCGCAGAAAATATACATGAATGTCAAGTTCTTCATAGAGAGACTTTGATTGACTGTCTATTTGAAACACTGATATTCTAGAAGTTATGACTTGATGCCTATTAGATTCGTTGACACCCGGTATGAAATAGTGCCAATGGACATCAGCTGCTATATGGTTATTGATTTATCGAAGGAAAATCAATCTTGTTCATATTCATATCCGTAAACGAAGAGTATTGAGACCTATCCTTATAGAAACGTTTCTTCTTGAACTGAGATATTGTATCAATTAGGACTAACATGTACTGAATACTGATTATAGCATGGAAGAAATATATTTAACCCTCAACTACTAACGTTCCAAATATATAACGTTGTCACTAATCATACGTCTCACAGACGGGACTATTAAAATGTCCATATAAATCCAATTTTTTTTTTATTTTTGTGAGCTATTCAAAAACGTTCTCTACATATTTGGCGAAGAGAAAATGATGTTCAAAATTGAAATAGAAATACAAATTTCAGTGGCGATCAAAATTTCATAGAGGAGTACCTAATGTTCAACATTTTGACATTGATCTATAGAAATACTAAAATAAAATTGAAATACTAAAATTATCGAATATGGCACAGAACTAAGTCATAAACATGCAAATTCAAAAAGATGACAATGCCTGTATATCTAGATATAGACGCAATCATATATATTATAGGCGGAATTGAACTTTTATTGTTACGTAATAACTAACTATACGTCCACGAGACGGCAATCTATCTTTCACTCAAGATATTTCTAAAACTGAACCTCATACATAGATCAACTTCAGGGTACTGAATGAGTGCTGGGTGGACATAAATTACGTGGTAGGACAATGGCCGATATTGAAAAGCAGGGGTAATCCAACAAATCGGATGCATATGCCGTCTCTGAGACGTATGATCAGTAGTTAAGGGTTAAGCATCTTTAAAAGTGGTACAAAACATGTTAAACAAATATATGTTCATACATACAGGTACCTACTTCATTAGACTAGTCATGAGAAATGATTCTATCACTATAACTATAATTAAGACTTGAAAAAATAAAATTATATCATTGTTACTTTTAAATTACATTGAATTTACATTGAACACCGAATTGAAGTCCATGTATAATAGATTAAAACATATTTTTCTACAAACGTCAAAAAATGACAAGGTTCGCGCATTGATAACAAATTGCGAAGTGACACATTTTTTCAGTTTCCTACGTTACCATGATATCTTGCAAAAAACAATGCGCGAATTAAAACAGTGCGCGAAGTACCTATTTCGCGCATTGTTATGTAAAATATATGAGATATTTATATTTCAACTTTATGGTCCCCAATCTAGCAAAAATCCACGAAATCATTTATTCCTGAATGTTCAACAATAACTTTGTTTTATCTCTTGGAGTGCACGAAAGGAAATTTCTATTTTATTCGTGGAACATCGTGCGTACCTATAGGGAGGATAGGGGGAGGCCTTTTAAGCCAGTTCAACACTATTTTTCATATCAAGCTGAGCATATTTTCACTTTAGAACTATATTTTCTGACGTTTGTAGAAAAAATTTTGTTTGCAACTCGAGCGCGAAATACTTTGGTCATCTCGACTATTTTTTTGACTCGGCTACGCCTCGTTAAAAAAATCAGATCTCGATCACCAAAGTAGCATTTCGCGCTCTAGATACAAAAATAACTATTTAACACTGAAAAAATTATTCTACAGAATAAAATGTCTTACCAAAAACCTGTGCAAGAGAGATTTGAAGTATTTAAAATTATTAAAATGTTGTTCATTACCGAAATTGCTTTCGAAATGGTTATAAAGTGAAATACCTTTATACAAATGAGAATTTTGACCAATGGTAAGTCTTGAGTTGTTTGCTCCTCCAAAATTATAATTATGCTGAGAACTGTATACAATGATGGTACTGTTAATATAGATAATTCGATAAAAATATGTTTAAAATATTGTATTCTGAGTATTTTTTTTGCATCATAATTATTTTGTCAATGTGACTTGAGTTCCCCCAGAAAATCAAACCATAGTATATTCGACTGCACCAGACCATGTAATATGTCAAGAGATACTGTTTTTTTTTGTTGCCTTATTACAAAACAGTTTCTACTTATTTTATTATTCAATATGTTTATATGGTTCTTTCAGCTCATTTTGTGATCAAGAGTGACGCCTAAGAATGACATCACAATCACCCTTTATATTAGTTTTTCAAAATATTATGCCATGAATTGGTTTCTCATACCGTAGTAATGTTCACCGGCACAGTTTCAGTATCACCTCCTCTGTGTATTGACCAAGAGTAGTCATCGACTCTGTACCACAGGGTGTTATCATTACCAGGAAAATGAACGTCGATAGTTTCTACTCCAGATTCCATTACAGGTCTTGCCAAAATATTTGATCCTAAAAAATTTGGAATTAAGAACATTTCGGAGTTACAAGGTGTCTTTCGAAAATGGTCATTTTTGAACAGTGGCTACAGATATTTTTTGGGCAAAAATTGTCTGTTATCATGAAAATAACTGCGAAGCATTGAGTGTGTGATGAAAATTGTTCTCGAGGCACTGAAATCGGCTTTCCTATATCTGGTTCAAGAATATAACTTGTTCTTCTTAAAGGAAAAGTTCTATTTCGTAACTAGGTATACACTGAGAAAAACTGGTTAATTAAAACGTCTAGTTGGTATTTTTTTAGTACCGATAATTAAAAATATTTGGAATTTTATTAACAATGACAATGTATCCATATTTCCTACAAATGACTTTTCTATTTTGCGCCAATTATTTGTCATCAATAAAAATACAATTTGTGACAGAATTATCACAGTGTTATCTATTCAGTCAAATAAAATTTCATATTGGGATTAAAAAACCTCATTCTGGGGTTACTAACAACAGCTGACTATTTGCCACAACTGATGACACATTTATCGTAAAAGGTTTATTATTATTCATAGCAGAAATTGTTCAGCCATAACTAATAATTTTAGTTGTACTGCGTCGTTCGGGACCGCCTCGCGTCTCTTCGGGACCCACCGGCAAAAATTGCATCTTGCATCTGTTTGTCTTTCTGTTTCAAGTGTTTCATCATTATTTGAACTTGTATCCTAATAGTGGATAAATCGCACGGTCGTCGAGCTTAGACAAAATAAAAAAAAATAATTGTCTAGTGTAGCCGGGAGCGTCGTGTTCTTGCTGGTTCACTGCTCTGTGTGTTTTCAAATCACTATTTTGTGTTTTTTTTGCACTTCGCGCTGAGCCATTTGGCATTTGGTTGGCAAAATGATAATTCGCAGTTTACCATCGTTATCTGTGCGTCACTAGTTATCAGCTTTAGGTACCTATTCACAATTCAGTTCAGTTTACGACCACAGAACTCAAAGACCGAGAAACGTCCAACCGACGTCACGTGTACACGGTGTATATTTATAATTCCCTCTCTTTTTGCTGAGCTGTGGCCTGTGGCACTTACGGTGTGTGGTGTATTCCTGTTCACGATTCCATTGGAAATTGGAAGGAAAATGGCATACAAACTGTTATTATTAGAATGGGGCCTTGATTTTAATTGATATAAAGCTATTAAGTTGCCAGAATAACTAAATTATATTTCAAACGTTACTAAATCACTTTTAATAGTAACTAGATTCCATTTCAGTCACAATTAAATATTTAATTTGCAACAACACACTCACTATTAACGTCAGAAGAAATGAGTAATTGCCCCAACTGGGATAATTTGTTGTGATAACAAACAAGTATTGAAACAGTACTAACAATCTAGTTGTCATAACTATGTATCTTGATTGTGGCAAATAAAACTTGGTATTATTCCTTAAAAAGGCTTATTAATTACGACAACAACGTCGTAGATGACTCAACTAAACTTTTCATTAGAGGCAAATAGGCGTTTCCAGAAAAACAGAATTAGTTATGGCAACAACGAATGCTTGCTGTCCCCTATCGTACTAAAAAAATTTCTGGAGTTACTAATTTTTTAGTAACCGCTACAAATTTTTCCCCTCAGTGTACTGTGACTGATTTCAGTGCCTGAGGATCAATTTTGATAACAAACACAATGCTTTGAAAATGTTTTCATGAAAACGAAGAATATTTGCAGAAAAAAGAGTTTTAGCCACTTCAAATTCACATTTTCGAAAAACACCTTGTAACTTTGAAATAAAGACAGAAATCGATATGCGGTTTCCACCTTTCCCTCTAAAAGTGCCCAATTTGGCCCACCCTGTGAATATAAACTGCTCAACACATGAAACGAGAAATCGCATTTTTTCGATCAAATTTGAGCCATCATAACTTTCGATTTCCTCAACCGATTTTCAATTATTTTTCAGTTTCTGAAAGCTCGTTTCATTGACTATCGAACCTATGACTATTTCATCTCAAAGCTATGCATTTTTCCAAAAATTTCAAACGCCTCCCGTTTGAAAGAAACATTTTTCTATTATTTTTTGGGGTCAAAAACATATTGCTTCACATGTTTTCTCGATACTGTAGAAACATATTCATGGAATTTTCACACGCGTTACTGAAATTTGAATGTTTTATTAAGTTAATGCATAATTTGATGCTCTAATTTCTATTGGCTTTGTGTTCCTGTCAATGTGGTTCGAACGATGGTCAAAAATCTTGAAATGATGCATGATCAACCTATTCTTATATACACGGTGGTCCAACTGCTTGTTAAGAATTTGTGTGTTTTTGAATTTTCATACTTTTCATGTTCACTTCAATGTTAAATTCAATTTAACGTAAAAGTGATGTGATTTGAACCGGTGTTATTGATGAAAAATCATAAAACTGGAACATTGTGACTGTGATGGAATTCAATATGGAAAATTCATGTTTTTTTTCTGAGTCAGGACATTATACATATCCATATGTGACTCACATCTGCTATTCTTTTGAATTTCGACAAATATTTAATATAAGTCATTCGTGAAGACGTTCACCGCAAATGAAATCACATCCTGATACTCGTTAATCTACTGCAATTGTGATGAATTCTGTCAGTTGCATGGTATGTCTCGGCAGCAACTATTCTTATTTAGACGAAATCCTGTATATTCCTTCAGTCTATCTCATTTTCCTTGAAATAATTTCCTAAAAATCTATCACAAAGTGAGAACGACGCTCTGAAAATCCGGTTTTTCTGACAATCCCAGTGGTTTGATCTTGCCATAGATTCTGTAGCAACTTGACATGGTGATGACAACCTCTCCTACACGCTTTGATCGCCAGAAAACTTCTCAATCGGTTTCCTGCTTCGAAATTTTCTTGCTCGTCAAACAATTTATATTTATTACTTGATGTCATAATTTTTGTTTGAGGACCACCCTGTATATAAGAATAGGGTGATCATGCATCATTTCAAGATTTTTGATCACCATTCGAACCAGATTGAAAAGAACACAAAACCAATAGAAATTAGAGCATCAAATTATGCATTCATCCATATTTCAGTAACGCGTGTGGCAATTCCGAAATTTTTTTTACAGTATCGATAAAACATATAAAGCAATATGTTTTCGCCCCCAATAAATAATAGACAAATTTTTCTATCAAACGGGAGGCGTTTGAAATTTTTGGAAAAATGCACAGCTGTGATTATCATCCTGTAGAATCTCATCCGGAAAAGATGAAATAGTCATATCCATTGGTTCGATAGTCAATGAAACGAGCTTTCAGAAACTGAAAAATAATTGGAAATCGGTTGAGGAAATCGAAAGTTATGATGATTCAAATTTGTTGAGCAGTTTATATAAGCACATAAGAAATTATGTCTCACCTATCAAAATGTGATCATCTCTATCCACAGTTCCGGGGTAGTCGTAAAATAACGGCCTCACCACAGGGTCTCCTCTGATAGTGTGTTCATAGAAAAGGGTGTACCAAACCGGTATATGCTTGTAACGAAGTTTGATGGCGGCCCTGATGACATCTTGAACGTCTTTGGAGAATAAGTATGGTTCACGTCTCAAGGTGGTTTCTTCTGCGTGGCCTCTGTAGAATGGCAACCAAACACCAGCCTAAAAAGAGTAAAAAAACACGTCAAAACTGTTGTAGGTTAATCGAGGAGGAGGAACATTCTCCTCGCGTTTCTATGAATAAAAATATGATTTTTATTTCAATGTAATATATGTGTAGTGAGGATAAATCAGCTGATTTGCTCACAAAGGTAACTGCGTTTAAAAATTTCAGAAGAGAATACTCCTCCATTCAGTGAATCTATTTGAATAACTGATGAATATCGAAAAAAAGATTTTTGCTGCAAGGAACAACCAACTTGCTAATTGCGGAATATACGACTATGGAAGTTCTGGATCAAATCTCACTTTTCCAGTAAATGTCTTATTATCGTATAAATGAACCACGCACATTTCATTGAAATCGTCTTAGCGGTTTTTGAGCTGTTTTTTAAAAACCCAAACATTCTGTATCCCGGAAACGAAGCATGCTAATATGAACTTCTTTCCATATTTTGCTGAGCGGAATCTTAACTAGGCTTTCGTGACTACAACTCTAAATGGGGCCGGTTGCATAAAGCTACTCTCCTAACTCGTCAGCTAAGGCATAGGTTGCCATGGATATAAATAATTTGAAGTCTAATCGATTTGTTTTGTTACAAAATATACCTGCAATGTTAATGGCGTTTATTTATTTTATATATTATTATTCATAGTCTGACATTGATGTGATATCTAATATACCTAAGAAATGTATTACTCTTTACAATTAATTTCAACTGTACCCACAATTTGATGATCCTAATGTAATATTATGGATGAGCAGCAATTCCAAGACAATTCGATGACAATCTCTGATATATGTATGTGCATACAGTGTCATTCATAAAGTCGGCATTTTATGGAGAAAACTTGTATCAATAATTTATTTTGAAATACGACATGTAGCGAAAGTCACGTGAATAAAAGATGTTCCCAAATTATTCTGACTTTACACTGTACATACATATATCAGAGATTCCCATCGAATTGTCATGAAATTGCTGCTCATCCATAATATTAGGTACGTTAGGATTATCAAATTGTGGGTATAGTTGATATTAATTGTAAAGAGTAATAAATTTCTCAGGTATATTTGATATCACATCAATGTCAGACTATCAATAATAATAATATATAAAATGAATAAGCACAATTAACATTGTAGGTATATTTCATAGCAAAACAAATTGATTATACTTCAAAATACGTGAACGTGACAAGAATATACTGATGAACAAATGAAGTGGTCCATCTAAATGTTGCATCATCTTCAAATTCTATAAAGTTTAGAAATATACTTAGATACTAAGTCAGATTCTCAAAAGGTTCAGTTCCAGTATATTTTCACTTGCACAGGGTGTTTAATAAGGGCCGGTTGCATAAAGCATTTAAGAGACGATTAAATATTTAATTCGTTTATAGCTGACGAGTTAGGAGGGTTGATTCCTCGTTAATGAATGACACTGTAAATGAAAAAAAGCTGACAGAGTAGCTAGGTACCTCTATATTGAAGAATCTCAACGACAAATTCAGTGCATGAAATCGACTAAGAGGCCCATTCTTTCAGAGAACTCATCACTATATTTCCTATGGAAATAGAATCACTTGAAGGATAGTGTGCTGAATTTTATATGCAAGAATCGATATTTGGGAAAAACTCGCAAGAGTTCAACATTTGGGAAACGTTGAAATTTTCATTAAAAATGTTCTCTTTTATTCTCAAGACATTAATGAGTGATGAAATATAACTAAACAGTGGAAAAACTCAAACTCCATTTTGTGAATAAGGGGCTTGATGTTCGTTGGACAAGGAACAAGGAACAAATGACAGCAAAATATATGCGGTGAAATGCTAGCTGTTTCAGAGTAAAATGCGATCAAGTCAACACGCAGATTATAGTGTTGAAAAGGAATATTCTCAGATAAATTATGAACATACAAAAATGGATATATATTTATATAAAGCAATACATTGAGAATTCGCATTCTCTATGTGATGAGAATATTTACTCTTTTTCAGTTAATTCAATAGAAAACAACTACTTTCCTGGCTATATGCCACGACGAACATTGAATTATATCTATTGAACACACACGATAAGAGTTTGAAAATAAAATATAAAAATTTCTGAAATTGAGAATTTGCATTCTCCTTCAGACAAAAATATGTATATACACACATCATTCTGAATATTCAACAGAAAACAACTAATTTCCTGGCTATTTGCCACGTCGAACATTGAATTATATCTGATGAACATTCAAAAGGGGAACATGAAAAATAAAGAATAAAATCCTCCGAAATTGAGAATTGACATTCTTCTTCAATAGATATAATTCAATGTTCGTCGTGGCATATAGCCAGGAAAGTAGTTGTTTTCTATTGAATTAACTGAAAAAGAGTAAATATTCTCATCACATAGAGAATGCGAATTCTCAATGTATTGCTTTATATAAATATATATCCATTTTTGTATGTTCATAATTTATCTGAGAATATTCCTTTTCAACACTTTCATACCCAATCAGGGGGTTCAAACTTGAACGATGGAAACTTGTGATTTTTATAGACCTCTAATCGCAGATTCGTGATAGAGTCTCAATTCAGAATTCATTTTCACGCCCTGTATGATGAATGTCAATTTATCATACACCCAAACGCAGATTATAATTTCAAAAAGCAAAATGTTTGAAATTCTTCAGTCGGCTCTGTAGTCTGATGCCTTCAACATGGACTATAATGTTGACAGTTAAATGTGAACCAAAAGAGATATTTTTTGACAATTCTCTGATTGACAGTAACTTCCGGGTGCATTTACTAATATTGAAATTACAGTATATGGTGTTGTTGGTGAGTAATCTATCAAAAATAGGCTGGCGTACAACAATGGTGCAAAAGGTCTAGCATATCTGTCATTACTGAGTATACAGAGTGATGTGTCATTCACTTAAATCAACTGAATATATTAATCGACTCAATGTATTATAGATCTAAAAAAATTTTCATAAAAAAAAGTATATGCGAGGTGTTTTTGAAATAAGAACATATTCAGCACATCGATATGATACAGTCTAACGAATATTGCCATGATATAAAATTTTTTCTAATTAACGAGAAATTGCATCCCGAAAATTGAACAAAAAACGGAAAAAGAATCAGGTACGCCACTTTAAAACAATCTATGATTTTGTCTTCCGCAAGGAAATTTGAACAAAGGTGACGTTTGAACTGCTATAGTGTAGAACTTTGGGTGAAAAAAGGGGTCTCTCCCCAAATTTTATTTTGATTCATATATTTTTTGTTGCCATTCTATAGTATACGTGGAGCTTTCCCAGGGTTTGTAATATTTGCACTTATTTCAATTCCACCCTGTATAATGTAATAGTAATTATAGTAGGTATAATATGTAATAATGGAAATTCGTAAAAATCTACTTTTTCATTACCAGGTTCAGACACCTCTTCATCCGGCCCTGTATGTCCCATGATATAATTTTATCAGAAGTGCAAAATATGGTTTAATGTTGCTGAAACTATAATTCAAACTCACGGAACAACTTCCCAAAGAAATAAATTCAGAAAAGTGTATATATTGGAATATTAGTATTGGTTAAGATAATTCAAATTATTTTATTTCCATATTTTTCACATAACTCTTTCATTAAATCTTATCAAGCAGCAGATGAGGAAAGGTGATCAAACTATTTAGTCAAACTTTTAGACATAATGAATGATTCAACATCTGGACAACATGTGAACGAGATGGTATCTGATAAGTAATTATGACCTATCTTGATTACTTATTTATCAACACGTCTTAAAACCACCTAATTTTATATTTTCAAATATCTAACATAGTAGGTATACTTCTTGCCGTTTGGGACATGTCGGCACTCTCATAACCCGAATAAACTGAAGAATCAATTTTCATTAGGATCGGAATGAGTTTTCTGAATTCTGTTAAGATCCTGTATAAGAATAACTAGAAAATAGTTTACATTCATACGACACACAAAAAGTGCAAATACTTGAATAGGGTGATAAATGTATGTAATAATATATAAATATGAGTTGATATACCTTCCGGTTTCACAGCGGTTGTAAGTAAAGAGCTGAAAATGTTCCTTCACTTGTCTCAAAAATTAATATTAGCCAAATGAAGAATAGTTATTTAACCAACTAGTGTATTAATGAGGGCGATTAATGATCGAGATATTTCAACGTGCGAGCGAAGCGAGCGCGTTAATGGTCGAGATCATTAATAGCCTTTTAATATACAATTTGGTTACAAAATTTGTCCGTCGACTATATTTCTCATTTCTCCTGCAATGAAGAAAACTTGGTTCGCGAATTCATCATTCATCCGGAAACTGCTAAGAATCACCCAGTAGCCTTGTTACTGACATTAGTGACATTTGACATTTGTCGAAATGATCAACATAGAAAATAAATTCCTCGTGTAAGAAAACAGAGATCAAAATCGTGTCATAAACTTGGAAAGGCGAACCCGTTAACGGAAAATCTTCGATGAAATCCATATTTTCGATTTAAATGCAGATTCCGTAAGTTATAGCATAAACAATGAATGCACGCGGTGTATGTTTGGTTGCCTATAAAACAATCGTGCATTTAGAAGATCGTTCATCAATAGTGGTCATTAATGAACGATTTCATATACATTAACCCTAGTCGTTAATACGAGGTCGACGGAAAAATATCTAAATGGTCGTGATGGAAGGTTTATTCCTTACACTTACTTGATACCACCTTTGGAGTAACTCCACATCGGGATTGTTGAAGAATCCTCCAACGTCAGCTCCGCAGAACACCAATCCCATCAAATTGGATAGAATACATTCGGAATAACTGACTTGTAAGTACGGCCAATCGGCGGTATTATCGCCAGTCCACATGGCAGCGTATCTTTGGGAACCGGCAAAATGGGAACGAGTCAGGACGAACGGCCTTTTCGTCCCATTGTCTCTCAGCATCAGACCTTGGTGTGTAGCCATAGTCTGGAAGAAGAAGAAATACATATTACATAACAGATAAAACTTCACAAAAGATGATGTTCACCAAATGCTCGACATTCTCGCATAACTACAGTATAATACAGCCTCATTTAGCTATAAACTTAGAATGTGGGTCTGAAATTGAATTCTAAGCAACACTTCCGTTTATACAGGGTGTTAGTGAATAAGTGAGACAAACTTCAGGGTGTGATTCCTTGTGTTATTTAAGGAAATAAAGTTCATATAAACATGTTTCCTCACTTGCTTCGTTTTTGATATACAGGGTGTTGAAGTTGAAATAATAATTGTTTTTATTTATAACGCCCCTGTGAAATTCAGTATGGCTGGAGACTGGAAAAGTCCCAATATCCCAAAATGATTCTTATTGAGGTTACATTTGGAGTTAAATCAAATTTTTATTGTTTCCTCAAATACTAAGCGAGATACAAAAAAAAAACACGAAGTATAAGAAAATTGATATTTCAATTTTTCAGTCTCATAAAAATATGGAGGTCAAAAAAACCAGTGGCGTACAATGATACTAACCGTAAATATCGATAAATTAGCCCACTGTGACGCCACTGAGAATATTTTTTCTAATTTGATCACATCAATATGTTACATTCAACAAAACCACCAAGTTGCATTAAAATTAGTAAAACGACATCTAAGATTGTTATCAAGCAAGGGATACTGACTCAATTTTGCGAAATTATTCAGAGATTCTCTAATTCATTTCAATATTCTCATATCAGTCTGTTATCCGTGGAAGTACTCAAACTAGATAGAAAAAAATCTGTTAATATCGCACTTTGGTTAATATCAAATGGTCGAAGGCGCCATATTATACTGCCTGACATATCGAACATTTTAAAATGATAGATATTTTCCAATTTGAAGTACTGATCTGTTTTGTTTTGTGTCATTTATACAGAAAGATTCATTGTAAAATTATTTTTCGTACAAAACCAGGGTGGGGGGGGGGGCAATTGCATTGTACTTCACTGGTTTTCCTAAGTTTCAATTGGACGGCGTTATGCACAAAGCTTACAACCCAAAATATACCAGATATGTAAAAACCTAACAAGCCTTATTCAATTATACAACTATAAACTATAAAATTCTAACCCACATAATTATTGATTTTGTCCAAACTTTTGATCTGCAGAAACCTACCAATCCACTTGGTATTATACTGATACTTTTGCCAAAAATCATACACACTCTATGATCTTAACTTTTGCTTTCATTACCCGCTTTGCAAAATGCAGGAACCTATCAACCCACTTGGTATTATTATCATACTGACTTATACTTTTGCTTTAATTATAGCCTCTTTATTGCAAAAGTCGCCATTTTCATATTTGAAATATCAAAACATAGAAGAGATATCAAGAAACCCAAATTATTTTGTGACACTGGCAACAGCGTACTGCCTAGAGTTCCCAGAAATACATGAAGGGAAGAAGAGGACGAACTACATTGTCAATCTTCAACTTCTTAACGTCACCTTCATCTTTAAATTCTTGTTTCATCTAGTCGAGATGCAAATATTCAAATATATTCCTCGTATTATCTGATTCTTCAGTTGTGTGTTGTATGTTATCTGAAGTAAGTATCCAGTCCAGAAAATTCACTAAAGTTCAGGTCGAGCACCTTCTGAGGAGGCAAACTTTTTCATATTTTTATTGAAATATTCTTGCACTTGTCTTACAGAAATAGAGAATATGTCACGCGTTTTTCCGCGTTTTTTATGTTACGAAATATCATGAATTTGAATGATTATTCAAAAATTGTACTGGGGGGAAACTGTTTGCGACAGTGAACTAGTTAGGGTTGGTACTTCGAAATATTGAAATAGAATTTTTCATTGAAACAGGCCCATTCAGGTCAAATCCCATCGTTTGTGTGAAGTTTTTTTCAGTAACAAAGATCTAGACAATGACACGAACTCATTCCAAACGATCAAAGTAGAAAGTATCTATGAAAAACTCACCTGGAGAAATCCGTAAATGTTGTGGATGTCTCTATGAAGGACACCTCCATGGTGTATGGTTTCAAATGGCAGTGTTTTCTCTAGAGAGTCGTCGAACACTGAAGGTTCGTTCATGTCATTCCAAATTCCGGCTAGAGTTTCTGTACTTCCCTTGAATTTATCATAAGCATACCAACTCGAGTAGTAGTCTCTTGCTGCTGGATCCAGAAAATCGATGTAGCTGGATAAACCAGGCCAGCAAACACCTGAAAACAATCAACCCAAGTGCTATTGGACCAAAGATGGCATGTCTCACCTTGAAAGTCGCTTCCATTCGCCCATTTAACGAAATGTTTTCCTTTTGCTTGGGCGTACACTGAATAGTTCTCATCCACTTTGATATGCGGATCCAAAATCGTCACTAGTTTTCTGTTGCTCGATGACAGATTCCTTTGCAGCTCTATGGGGTCACTGTAATTATCCGGTTGCCACGTGAAATATCTCTTTCCATCTGTGTAGTCGATGTCGAGCCAGATCGCGTCCATAGGAAAATCGTTTGCGTCCATAGTGGCTACGACTTTCTTGACGTCTTCTTGAGTGTAGTAGGACCAACGACATTGGTGGTATCCCAGGGTCCACAACTTCAGAATTCACAGAATACCAGTTATCGTTAAAAATGAATTGAAGTTACAACTATACCTACTTGTGGCATGTGGGCGACACCCGTAAGATTAGTGAACTGTCTCACGACTGACTTTGGAGTTGGTCCTAATAGGATGAATAGATCCAGAGTACCACTTTCTACCATGAAATATGCCGAGGGGTTTCTTGTTTTATAAGATATATCCACCCATTGCTCTGCAGCGTTGTGCAAGAATATTCCAGTAGTAGAATTATGCCTACAAAAGAGGTTCGAAGTTGAGAAATGAATTTTGAAAAAAAAAATTGATGAGTCTTACACTAAATAGGTACAAAATTGCTAATACATAACCTCTTCATGCTTCCAGAGTATCAATAGTTAATCATGAACAAGAGATCTAACAACTCTCTTCTGATTTGAAATTCATCAACAACTCTATGCTAATTTGTTCATAGAAGGGCGAACCTTCGTATACCTATACCTTCCTGCCCCTGTTGTGAGGCACGATATTCCATAGAGATAATAGAGATTCCCGTCCGTGCGATCCACGAGATAAATAAATACTTCAGATGGAAACTGGAATACAACTTGGAAATGCGTTATCAATGAGTGTGATTGACTGATATATGTTTCAGTTTCCAAGATCCAAGTAAATTGGTGAGTCTTACACTATAAATAGGTACAAAATTGCTAATACATAACCTCTCCATGCTTCCAGAGTATCAATAATTAATCATGAACAAGAGATCTAAACAATTCTCTTCTGAGTTGAAATTGATCAACAACTCTATACTAATTTGTTCATAGAAGGGCAAACCTTCTTATACGACCTATACCTTCCCACCCCAGTTGTGAGGCACGATATTCCATAGAGATAATAGAGATTCCCTTCCGTGCGATCCACGAGATAATTAAATACTTCAGATGGAAACTGGAATACAACTTGGAAATGCGTTATCAATGAGTGTGATTGACTGATATTTATATGTTTCAGTTTCCAAGATCCAAGTAAATTGGTGAGTCTTACACTATAAATAGGTACAATATTGCTAATACACAACCTCTCCATGCTTCCAGAGTATCAATAATTAATCATGAACAAGAGATCTAACAACTCTCTTCTGAGTTGAAATTGATCAACAACTCTATACTAATTTGTTCATAGAAGGGCGAACTTTCTTATATACGACCTATACCTTCCCACCCCAGTTGTGAGGCACGATATTCCATAGAGATAATAGAGATTCCCTTCCGTGCGATCCACGAGATAAATAAATACTTAAGATGGAAACTGGAATACAACTTGGAAATGCGTTATCAATGAGTGTGATTGACTGATATATGTTTCAGTTTCCAAGATCCAAGTAGATTGAAATAATTATCAAACGACATCAAACATCCGATGGGAAGCCATGTTGTAAAGTGAATAGGCAATAGATTCATGGGTATTTGATAAAGAGGGAAGCAAAGCGACATTGCCATATATAGGTATACTTGAGTGAGGTTCGAATAGCAAACAGTATAATCTCGAGTGCTCGAAATAATTTCTTAGATCTCTCTCTTATAGACGAACGAGTATTGGTAGAGAATATTGTTCGACATATTCCGAGGTTGCTCACCAAAGTATGTTGATGACTGAGTTTATCGAGTTAAACTGACTGATATTCAACTAGGAACAAAACCAAATGACTGGTATTGCTGGCGATGGAATTTTTTAATGAAAATATCCCATGGGAGTCAATGTATGGACAAGTGAAAGGTCGCCAACTTTCTCGCGGTGTTTTGAAGATGCAAAGGAACTTTCAAAAGGTAGCAGCATCAAACAAAAGAGATCTTGGAGCTAATCGGTTTGATGAGTGCATGTGGAAATATTATGCCAAGTCGGGCCAGATCTCTATGTTTTGTAGTTTATGAAAAGCTGTTGAGGTGTAAAGTAGCCAAGCATAGATATTGTGGAACTGGTATAAATTGTAGTAGGTACCAGATATTGTGATTCAGACGAGCTAAAGTTAAATTCAACCAGGTCGTTAGTTCCCCAGCCTAAAATTTCAGCAAGATCCTCATTGATGGTGTCAATCTGCCCTCGAATAACGAACTCTTTACATTTACCATATAATATTTGGAAGTCATCTATCATATTGATAAAACCATGAATCCCAGCTAACCGAACGATTTGAGTATATTCTTCCTTTGTTTTTTGTATTATCAAATTGTACTTACGAATGTCCGTATACCACTGGTACGGATCCATATAAAGCCATTGGAGAGCCAACTTCATAATTAGCATTATCTGAATTCCTCAATCTGAAAGGATCCGTCGATTGGTCTGCTGTTTCTGGTAATTCCAAATTGGTGGGATGATGGTGGAGTCCATAAAGTCTTTTAGCACCCTCAAATTCCACTGCCAACGTGAAAATTTGGCTTTCATTGGTCTATAATGAATGTTTCAGTCATTAAATAGGGTACAATATTTTATTTGAAAATGAGTTCGCTTACATTTTTTATTTGGATTCTCTCTCCATCCAATATCACTTCCTTCCGGTCATGGTTTTTGAACACTATGCTGAATGGCGGACCGGCCAGAATAGTAACACTGATATGATATGAAGGATCGTTTGGAGTCAGAAATAGTTCTTTGTTGTCTTGATTTATAGAAGAAAATCTGAAAAGAATATGAGATCGCAATTCAGGCAACATAAAATGAATACATACGGTTTCGCTGAATGATTTATAAGTATCAAGCAGAATATTCAGGATTGTCCTTCTTATAGCTGACAAGTTGACATAGATACACTTTTATACTTACGGTATACTTATCGGTTCTTCCACTAGTACATCAGATAGTTCATATCGAGAATGGTTTGCCTCCAGAATTTTTGCTCTCACTTTATTTCCGGGTAACAATGATATTTGTAAATTCAGTTCCTGGTGGTTGGAGTTGGTAAGAGGTATGTTGGCAACATTATTGATATTTGTCAATCGATGAATTTGTGCTTGTAAGAGAGAATTACTTGGTATGGTATGATTGCGAAGTTCTCTAAAAAATATTCACATTCTTTCAATATATACTAGTATTTTTAGGAGGAAATATTTATTGATTGTTCGTTTATGTGAATTGAACCAACTAAGCAAAGTTGAAAGCTATGTTGATGCAATGTTGTCGCAATTACTGAAAAGGACGTTCATCAATATTGCAAAGGTGAACTTTGAAAATGTAGCGTTGCAGCAATATTACTTGTTGCTGTGTGACATTGCTGGAACGTTACATTTACAAATTTACATTTGCAATATTCCTGAACGTCTGTTTCAGTAATTGCTACAACCTTGTATCAACATTGCTTCCAAATTTGCTTAGTGGGAATAGGCTCCGAAACTACTGGACCGATTTGAAAAATTCTTTTTTCCACCACTAGCTGAACCTACCATTATTAATTTACTCCTTTCGAAGGCCTAAAAAGTGTGTTTTTACTACCAAAGTACTAGTACTAGTCAATAAAGACATAGCCACCTCTTTTATAATTAACCCAAATTCACTGGTCTGATGAGATATTCACAGGAATGGCACTCGAAACTAGTAGGTATTTATCAATAATAACTTGTCATATGCTCTCATGGTGACTAGATTTTAATTAGAATTGAAAAGAAGTGCTTTAATAGTGACATAGGTCCACATTTCAGTTTCACAGAACTATAATGATTGAAATATATTACTATATATGATAGATGATAGAATAACTGATTAATAAACACTTGGAAGTAAAGAATGTTATCATATATATTCTAGAGTAGTAAGCTACACTTCACATTATCATTTTGTTATTCATTGTTGATTTCGCTGCGTTTTTTTTTTTATTTCAATTTCATAGGTGCCTATAGCTATTTATTTTATTCTCAAGAGTTCTGAACAAACGCGAGATGTACTTAGAACATTATAGGGATATCCATTCGTGCGCTCCAAGAGATAAACAAAACACTCACTTGCAGAATGATATTCTTGAACAGTTTTTGAACAAATTGTGATCTGCACCTAGCGTACTCGCCGCCAAGAATGCAACGAAGACCGTTAGCCTGGAACAGAAAATAAATACGGGCAGACTGACCAAAAACTGTGTAGGTATAATGAACAATACAGGGTGTTGCGATTTTCAATCGACAACGCTTCACATAGTTTGGGGTCCTCAAGTGCTCAGCTATCGAGATATCGAAAAAGTTATGGAACTTTGATTATTGCCAGCATATGTTTGATAGGAGAATTTTTTACTAATAGAAATGAAAAAAGTTTATGCAAGATTTGACACAGTAGATGAAAATCTCTTACTGAAGAAAATGGATAGGATGTGAATAAGTGGAAAGCCTTATATGATTGAGCACAGTCCTATCTATTCAACAAAAAAAAACAAATTCAATGGAACAAAAGTTACTGTAATCAATCTTCTTGAATAATCTGTAATTTTGATTTCACATATTTTTTATAAAATGGTGTAATACGTCTAAATACGACTTTTTTCTCTCGTCAATGAAAATCATTATATTGGTCATCATTCCAGAAACATTTCTCGAAAAAGTTTTGAATACTATGAACTAAAAAAGTAATTAATCACTCACCTGATCATGACTGCACACAAGTGTGAATATTGCTAGGGTTCAACTTTTATATATATCTGTCAATTTCCCTCCCCTTTTATAATAATCAAGAAATGCATAAAAAGGTTTGGCCTTTCTTGCGAGTAGATTTCTAAGTACTTAAACGTTTCAACACTTCTAACCTATGTTGTTCTGGAAGTTCAATAGGTTTTTTCATTTATTAAGGCGACTAAGTATATACCTAGTATTTATATGCAATAGTGATCCTGAAACATGAAACTATCAATAATTTCATCTTATCTTTTGAAGTGGCTATCTCGTCAAAACAGAGTTGTCTTGGTATAAAAATTTAATGACATTGTAATGATAATATAATTCCATTATTGATTAGGAATGATACAAATGAAAATAATCAACTATGGTCGAATCTAAATCAATCGTTTAATATTTGTGTAGGTTTAAACATAATATAGGTGATTTTCAGATCGCCTCATCATGTGTAGTTTTTTTTTTGGCAAAGTGTAGAATTTGCAGTTTCAAGATGATACCGCAGGATGAAACAAGTCATATTTTCTCTAGTGGGATGATCATGAATTGGGGAATTCGTTATTGATATGCACAGTCAAATGTTCTTTAAACCTCTAATTTCAAATTTTTTTCACACGCTTTTTAATCATACATTTCGGCTCATAATAATCTGTATTTTTCCTCCTACATGCATATCGTTATTTCGACTCATTTATCATGCTGACTTATGGAATATGTATCCCAGTTGACCAAAACATGTCGCAGCTTTATCCCTGCTGCATTTCAAATGTTCCATGTTTCATCACAGAGATGTTCCCATCAGAGATATAGCATAGATGAATGTCCGCCTCAAATGAAATCACAGACTTATATCAGTGATGCAACATCAGACTTGAATCAGATATGCTCCTGTGAGATCACAGTGATGACTATGTATCTACATAGCTCTCTCCATGAGCATGCCAGAGACGTTTCTGATAAATCTGTGCTCTGCATTAGCTCCATCTCAAATCATCCATAAATTTATACTGGTTCCACCAGTATTTGAATCAGTTTCTAATGCAACACCATAATTTTTAGGATATATTCTTAGATTTTCAAATGTTGAAATCAAAAAATCCATGAATATACCCCTAAACACATGGAGTGGCATTCAAAACAGTGAAACAAAAGGAGTAAAAATGTGAACTTTATTCCAATCCATTGACAAATTACTAAACAAACCTCAAAATATATGTAAAATAAAAATATGAAATAGAATATACAGGGCGTTCCCAGTTATCATGATGATCACAGCATGGTTTTCTTCCATAACTCCTTCATTTATTCCTTTTTACCTGCAGTTTCCATCTCTTGGAAGTGATGCATAGAAAAGTTATCATTCATTTTCATGGGAGATCAATGTTTTGTTTTTACTGTTCTCTCCAATAACCATTTTTCCATCAAAATCGAGATCGAAATCTTTAGTTGAGCTCACTACAACTAGAATAAATAATATTTCAGTGCAAATAAAAGTATACAAAACAAGTGTTCACCTGTCATTATTGCGAAAACTCTCAGATTGGCCTAACCAGCTGGTCTTCGCTACACGGGAATCAATACCTGGTCTCTTCAGTATATTTTTGTCCCTAGTATGCTTTTGAAATCAAAATTGATGATTTTCCTCTCTTGAAGTCCAGCTGGAATAAAAATTCAATTTCAAACTACAAACTAGTAGCATACCTATATTAATAATAAAAATATGACACAAAACACAAGATACATTTACAAATATTGTCACTAAAATTGCAGAGTTGAATTTCCTTGTTGGATACAAAGAATCACAAGTACTTAAAAAACTGAAAAATAGCCTCAAACCTAGCTAGAATAAAGAACCAAAACATTATCATCTATTTGCAGATATCTATTTCATGTGGTCAATGATTTATGAATGATTATTCAATGATTATAAATTTAATTGGTATACAATTGAAATGAATTCCACCTAGACATGATGGTGTGCAAACTGCAAGGGTAGGCAAATCATATCTAAAACTTACTTACCTTGGAAGGTACTGACACCGTATAGAAGTATATACGGTGGTTCGGTGGTACTGATGACTACATCAGCAGAGGGGTTCGAATCACACAAGTGGCTTACTTGGAATGAAATTCATTTCAATGTCCCAATGATTCCAATGAAACAAGAGTCATCTTGGTGATTCTGGTGAATGGCAGATCATTGTTGTTCTGGTCATTTAGTGAAATAACAAATACATTAGTTTTGTTTTGTAAACAACGAGGTATCCTTTTGTGCTGCTAATTTCGTTTCGTTACCGAATTTGTTGAAAATCCACGATAAAGTGAGGTTAGGAAAGCCCAGTAAACACAAAGCACATTCTTCGTCTTCGTGATTGTTAAACCACATTAACCACAATCACAGTGAATTTCACGTACTCAAATGATCACTATTAAACCTACAATAATACAAGCAAGAATTATATTTTGGATGCAATTTGCATCAGTTCAATTTCAGAACGTTGTGGAATGTGATGCCAAAAATTTCTTTAATTGATCTTTATTGTGATGACGCCTGGGATGCCTCAATTTTATCACGTTGATAGAACGTGTGATGAAACAAAGTTCTTTAATTGATCTCCTTTGTGATGACGCCTGAGATGTCTCAATTTTATCACGTTGATAGAACGCGTGATGAAACAAAGTTCTTCGATTGATCTCCTTTGTGATGACGCCTGAGATGCCTAAATTTCATCACGTTGATAGAACGTGTGATGAAACAAAGTTCTTCAATTGATCTGCTTTGTGATGACGCCTGGGATGTCTCAATTTTATCACGTTGATAAAACGTGTGATGAAACAAAGTTCTTTAATTGATCTGCTTTGTGATGACGCCTGGGATGCCTCAATTTTATCACGTTGATAGAACGTGTGATGAAACAAAGTTCTTTAATTGATCTCCTTTGTGATGACGCCTGAGATGCCTCAATTTTATCACGTTGATAGAACGTGTGATGAAACAAAGTTCTTTAATTGATCTGCTTTGTGATGACGCCTGGAATGCCTCAATTTTATCACGTTGATAGAACGTGTGATGAAACAAAGTTCTTCGATTGATCTCTTGTGTGATGACGCCTAGGGTGTCTCAATTTTATCACATTGATAGAACGTGTGATGAAACACTGATTTGTAGCAGTAGCATGTTATATTTTAGATGCAAGTTGCATATGTTTCAGAACGGTGTGATGAAACAAAGTTCTTTGACTGATCTCTCTTGTGATAGAGCTGAGACATGTGTGGTTAACTGGGATGTTACTTATTTCTTCTTGATTTAATAGTACCTTGTATAATTTGTCGAGGGATTCATAAACACTTTAGTCCCGAGGTGTATATACTATATTATGCACTTCAGGATAGGTAAAACGTTGAAGAAAAAATATCGAAAAAAATTTGTAATGCTACTAAACGGTAGTTACAACGACCTCAGTAACTATGGTGATCCAGATCATGATTTTCATCGGCAACTGAAAATCTTGGTGTGTTATGACTAAGTTAGTTAGTAACTAAGTAAAACATAAATAAATGAATATTAGTCAAACATGCCACACCGATTGAAAGACGTTGATCGCGATGAACAAAACGATGAATAAAAAACAGTAATCTGAGGTTATCATACGGTGGTGCAAAGAAGAAAAATGTACAGAAGAAAAGGTACTGCTAGCATTTCTTGGAAAAGTCAAAGAAGCTTAAAGCATCGTCATTGTGGATTTGATGATGAAAGCCACAGTTGCAATAAACATTTTCAAAATACATTTCTAAATTTAGCTTTTATTGCAAAGAAATTTACTTTGAATCTCTAGGGACTTTAGGTACCACTTTTTTTTCCCGGATATAGGCAATGAAGGTACCCTTTGAATCCCTTCTAGAATTATTTTTTTATCCAAACATCTCTTTATAATGATTCATTCAAGTCGTCACAAGTTATGTGGCAAGGATTAACACTTGTTAGTTATATTACCAACTCACAAGTGGGCTATGATGTATAATGCAGATGTCAATGACCCATAGCCATTATTGATGTTTTTGTCCCAGGGGTTGTGGAAAGAATATTTCTCATTATGTGTTATATTCTTCTGGAATTTAGCATTAGGAAACTCTTTGTCCGTGGCTTGGAGCAGATGCTCAAAAATGAAACAAAGTAAAAAAATTGAAATGTTTAATGTTTTCCATGATTAATTATCCCTCAAAGTTGCATGTCATTTTTTCTCGAGCGGTATAAAAAGACTAGATCCTTCAAGTAGGGTCAATTCCTTGGCAATATCAATCGATTCTAGAGGCACTCCATCGGCAGTTTTCGTGTATATGGTCTCTACAACTTCAGTATCTCCTACAAAAAAATAGATTGAGACAATTGAAAAAATCCAGATCATTCAACAACACAATAGATTATGAAGTTTTAAAAACAGAGTACAGTGTAAGAATGCGAAAAAAGTGGTGCATCATTGAACCATTAGAAAAAGTTCCTGCAAAGTTTAAGGGCAATTTATTTTTATTCAGACTATTACTTGCGATGAAACCATCATGAAACCCATTGATTTCGCAGGGTATAACATGAAGTTATAGTCATGTTGTAGCCATCTAGTGGCAAAGCTCTAAGGTAGGATCAAGAGATCGCGACACACACTGTATGGCGCTGCCTTCTATAGTCACACGTACAGACCCTTACGTCTATACGCTACAGAGTGGTACTACTAGTAAACCACTCTGCTGACAGATGGCACTATCTAAAATCTACTTGAGTGGATTTTTCCACGGACCTATTCAACTGCTAGATCTCATAACTAAGAGATCCAGAATGAACAGAGTTGCCCCAATTGTCAGCAGGAGCGTGACAGTACTGTTTCGACCCTCCAGGACTCATCAGCCGCTCTCGGTCTGTTGACAACTGGGACAGCTCTACGCTTCGGGTATATCACCCATTTCGAAGACGCAGGGTATAACATGAAGTTCTAGTCATGTTGTAGGCATCTAGTGGCAAAGCTCTAAGGTAGGATCAAGAGATCGCGACACACACTGTATGGCGCTGCCATCTATAGTCACACGTACAGACCCTTACGTCTATACGCTACAGAGTGGTACTACAAGTAAACCACTCTGTTGACAGATGGCATTGATTTCTCTGGTCTAGTACTTCGGTGTGGGATTTCGCACATCGCAGTGTTGCCACATGCATCAGAATTCACAGTAAGATGCTATGAACCCGCTAAACCATATAAGACATATAAAAAGAGGGGATACATAACATTTCATTCATGAAGCACTACTTGTTTATGATCATACATACTTCCTAAGTTTCAAATAAGCAAGAAAAAGATGGCTTTAAAAAAATGGCAACGCTGTAAACTGTGCGTCAATGTTCACACTTCACCAAACGTTACATAAAGATGTTAAATACACCGTGACACAAAATGCTAAATCATTTAAAAGAGATTTAATGTACCGTAAGTGGTGACATCTACAGGTGACATCCAAACTAAGAACGGATTTAAATTTCTTATCTCAGAAAACCTCCAAATGCCAAATTTCGTGACGTTTTGTCACCCTGTTGATGAATTAATATCAATATTTTCAATAAAGGAATCTGCAGTTTTGCTGTGTACCATTAGTTAGCGATCACCCTGTATAAGTTGCCTTCTACATGAAAGAGAGAGAGAGGTACTCACCATTCTCTCCATTCTCCGATGTAGAATGTAATATCAATGAGCTGAAAGTGAAATTAATTCCTTCTGGAGCTCCATCAATTTTTCTAAAAAACAAAATTTCATATTGTAGCCAGCCATGTGGGTTTGATGTGAACTCTCATATTCAATGCCTCACCTAAACTCAATTCCACTATAGATGGAATCATATATCAAATCAAAATACAAGTAGTTGGAATTTGTGTAGTTGAAACTAACGAAGTCATCTTTATAGAATCTGCCAGCTGCCTTTCCATCCTGTAAAAATAGGAATAAAAATGAAATCAGAAGTCTATCTCTCCAAATGAAGTTAACATTTTTTGTGAGGTTCCTAAAAATAGCAGTATATACCGGGTGAGTGAAGTTTGAGTAGATGCATGGGGATTTCGGAAACGGTAAGAGCTACAGTGAGGGTTAAATGAAGGCAAAGTTGCGCAATAATTTCATGACAAACAAAATGCCGTTCAGAAATGTGATAATACTTCCAATGATTTTTGGAAAAAACCGAATATTCACGACTCCATTTTCACTTTTTTCTGACTCTATTTGAATAGTTGTAACAAAACAAATTACACATTCTCATTACTACTTTTTCTGTTCTACAAGATAGTGTTATCAGAATTTCAAACCGACGTGTTGTCTCTCAGCTACCATCATCAACTTTGTTTTTTTTTTAATGCGGCCCTAGATTTTTCATTATGGATTTTAAGAGATTTGGATTTCCTTAAATCAATGGTGTATCGCACTTTCTTTCGAATGAGTGCTGATAAGATCAAAATCTCTTAAAATCCATAATAATCCAGGGCCGTATTTGAATAAACAAAGCTAACGGTGGCAGCTCAAAGACGAAACGTCGATTTGAAAATCTAACACCATCTTGCATCTACTTGAATTTCACCCACCCGGTAAAATTAAAATAATCCAGTTCTGCCAAACTACCCCTGAAAAGCGACTCCCAACTTCAATTATTCAAATTACACCCTATAATTTTTTTTCTTGATATTTTGACAAACGTTATACTACCAAAATTACAAAATTCGAAGAAGACAGTAGTAGATCATTTCTTTTGTTATGGTTGTTTGACAGTTGTTCGAGCACGTGTCTTCAAGTCAGTTTGTAGGTTTATCTGGGGTCCCTTGATGCAAACTGACGCATTTGTCATTTAACAGGGTAGGGACAGATCATAGCTCCTTTCTCTTTTAATCATCTAGTGACTTTGGTTTCGTGTATTGGCGTCCCTGACATGACATTGCTGTCAGAGATCTTACAAAATTTTAATTTCATACTTGATCTTAATACATTATTCAATTCTGTTTTGGGAAGGATGGTAAAATGTGCTGCGTTAGGCTGTATCAATCAGTTGGATGGTAAATTTGAATTTATCAGCTTTCCATCAAATGCAAATGAACTTAGAACATGGAAAGTGATCAGCAATATATTCGAGGTGAAACTAATAGAAAATTACATATTATACTTTCTCATTGTGCCTATAATTATCCACTCCAAAAGTTTTTGAATGCATTTTAGTAGAAACAGTTTTGATTGAAACGGAGGATTAAAAAAAGAGGCATATGGCCTACCATTTAAAAAAATTATACCTATATTCAGGAAATAATAAGTATTCGTGAAACACTGCAAAAAATGATTCCCAACATGAATATATTCAGCACACATATGAGCACATTAGTTTAAATCTCCGAACAACGAACCCTTTATGATCGAAGGTTTAAATACCTACATAACATTATTCACAATTTCTCAAGCATAAGGCTTAGTCTGAAATCAAAATTCATTTATTGATAGGTACTGCCTAAATTGAGTCCCATTTTTAAACGTATTAAACATTAAACTTTCAGAAAATTTTGCTCACTGCCACACAAAGATTATGCTGGAGTTGAAAAATCACAAACTCGAAAATTATCATCATCATTTGGATATAATATGTAGAGTTGAATGAGAAATTACATGTGGAAATTACGTATGATAAGCCAATGTCCTCCATATAACCTAAAAAACAATAAATGTCAGAAATCTAGTGTTTATCCCCTGAAATGAATAAAGATGGAACTATATAACTGTTTCACTAAGACTTTGGAGTGAGAGGAGACAATAAGGATCTGTCCGTACCCTGTTAAGATGAGAAATACGTCAATTTACATCAATGGACCCTAGGTACATTCATCTAAGACAATGCCTTTTATGTTTACCTCAAATGAGTTTTCTGTCAATTGGACGTCAGATAACTTATCAAGTGTGATACATCGTAGAAGTTAGAATTGATTGTACTTCACATATCAATAAAAATGTACAGGGTGTAACTCAAAAAATTGAGTTGAGGGTGGGTTTTCAAGGGTAGTTTGACAAAAGTTGACTTTGATACAATGGCTTCAAAGTCATTTGAATTTGACAAAAGTGTATTTTTTTTAAACAGCATAACTGAGATATTGGCTGTTTGCAGAGATCTGGGACACCCGGTATAATTTTTCCAAATCAATGTAGAATTTCAATATTATCAGGTAGACACTCACTTGGTTTCGATTAACATAAATAGTGTAGGCTGTATGCACTGCTTCAGTGGTTGATCTAACTTTCATATCGTTTCTAACGATGATACTGCCTGCTCTGTAGTAAACAGGAGACTGAAAACCAAAATGTACAAGAATTAGGTGCACATTATTTGATGAAAACGATCAGTTGAACAGTAAACTTGGATTTGAACATATTTCAAGGTAATATATTGTTGTTGTTCTTTATTAGCCCAAGAAACATCTTTGTTTATAATAGGGAAGATTCAATACAAAGGTAAATTCGACGTAAATATTTGAAATACACCTGTTCGTTTATATGAACTATATGAACATTTTTGTATATAAATAAATTGGGTCCAATCAACTTATTTTCACCTCTGTAACATGTGGTAGCTCTGTGTCCCAGCAATTTTGGGACACCCTGTATATACAGAACTAATATTTTGTGTTTCATCATAAAAAAGCATTCCTCTTTGCGTATTACTGAGGCCTAAGCCATTGAAATATAAGCGACAAATTAAAAAAACAATCCAAGTGTGCTTTCCCATAATTATTATGAGAGATATTTACTTACACTATTAATATCGACTTCAACATTTTCAACTTCGCCCGCAAGAGACAAGGTCCATGTTTTGTTTCTATCAATCCTGTACCAGCTATCAACTCCACGTTTTCCAGGAATGTAGACTTCAACTGAAGTAACATTTTCCTTAGTTACCGCAACAGACATAATATCAGTACCTAAAGAAACAGAAATAAATAGCACATTTTTATGTGAAATCATGAATGTTCATACTTGAAACAGTAATTTCCGTGTTATCAAGATGATTTTTGGTCACCCTAATTTTTACAGCATACAACCAAATTTTTCAATTGCTCAATACATACAATAAAGATTTTAACAAAAAAGAGAGAAGTACATTTTCTTGATATGGAGTTTTGTATATTGCACTGGAAATATTATTTATATTTGACCAATTATCACACCAACATCAAGAAAAAAAAATTCTTGGAAGTAGATTAAAATAATCAGTGGCAATATACATAGTGTTTAATTGAATATAGTGAAGTTTTGAATATATTTTAAAATTTATTAGAAAACTGCACACCTAACATTTTCGACCAATAGAAAGCCTGTATTTTGTATCGTTACCATAGCAACTAAACAAATTTCTGGAAATTTTTTCCTCCTCCACTGGGGAAAGAGCATGAAATATAACACTGGAAATTTTTGATGTTTATAGGTAATAATATAACCTGAGCAAATTTCATTGATACTGAATAGTACGTCGCGTTTTTTGTGAGAAAAAATATATTTCTACCAACTTTAGTAAAATGAATTTGCTAAAATGAGAAATTGGGCTACTATCGTCTTATTTTTTATTATTTTGTGTAACTGAAATAAGTTGATCATGTTTTACATAACCCATAGATAAATTAATCTATGCTTACCCTAACAATTTATGAATATTAATTATAGCAATACTACATACTGTGGGGTTCCTTGTAACACAATATATTTCCACCAACTTTAGTGGAATAAAGTTATTAAAGAATCATAGTTTTAACTAGCACCAGCTGCCTTATTACTTTTTTGCGTAACTAATGACGGTATTTTGTATTTTATTCATCGAAATCTTATCCCAGTAGGTATTTTTTAAAATTTCGGTGTGAAATTTTCTCACCAAATCCCTACCACTCTAGCTTCAAATCAAAAACCGGAATCCTTTCTCGAACACGAATTTTTAAAAAAATTTCAAAATATGCGGGTTCTCTAAAAAATTTCCGGTGATAATTGAAGCTCATCTTGTGTGTATATCTGATTGAATAACTTTCCCATCAACAGATAAGAAGGTATCCTAAAGTAGAGGTCAAATGAAACCTAAGAAGAAGTATTTACAAGACCTCACGTCTCAGTAAAGCGATCTGGTGGACGGTCAAAACATTTTAGCCTTCATTGATTTTCACCATACATTTGAGAAACTGCAATTGAAAGATCCAATCACCAACTGGAAATATGAAAAAACTTATTGGTTGGCAATGTATGTTCTTGAATATAATATATGATTTTTTCTGAATAATACGACGCAAACTATTGAACTGGTATATTAGTAATTTCGAACTATGATGGTTTTATAAACATAAATTTAATCAATTGATCCGTTGATATTGAGCTATGAAAACTAACCAAGGACCTCTCATGAGAAATGTGCAAGTCTAATAAAATGAAGTAAATGAATATTGGATGTGAGAGTTACGAAGTTAGTCTGGTCTGGGGCTGGAGCTACTCTTGACTTGACAAGAACTCGTCCTAATGATAATTATAATGTAAGTTGTTATTTGGTCTTTATATCCATTGTTATTATTTTATATTCATCACTTTACCCATAATGTTTCGTGATATAATAAATATTGTTATCTTTGAATATATAGTCTCGTACTTTCAGTTACCCGTAAACTATTAGTGCCTATTCGAATATTACCTCTCGCAAACTATTAAGCCACGCTAACCCCTTAGAAATCGATATGGGTGGAATTACCATCCCCATGTTGTGATATAGTGGAAGTCCTACCGCTATATCATAACATGGTGGAAAAAACCCTTTCATCGTGACATGGATGGACTAACCATCTATTTTATCGCGACAATACCAGAATATTTGTCTTACCAATCAACATCTGGGTATCTCTTTCATAAATTTCTGGATATTGGTAGAATAGTGGTCTGATGATTGGATCTCCAGTTCTGGTGTGCTCGAAGAATAACGTATAGAAGACCGGAATGTGTTGATAGCGGAGCCTCAAGGCATTTCTGATGACCGTTTGGACTTCAGAGGAGAAGAGGTACGGCTCACGCCTTTTAGATTCTCTACTGGAGTGTCCTCGGAAAAATGGAGTCCAAACAGCTCCCTAAAGATAGAAATTGGGATTGTATACCACAATGGTGAAAATTCACTGTGAGCATAATATTTTGAAATGATCCTTTTATGTTTGAATATAATTTCCTTCTTTCATTAGACATTATAAGCTAACCTTCATTAGCAAGAATGTTAGATTTATTTTAGATCCTTCAGTTCAGCGGTCCATAACTTTTTGCGTAATGTACCTCAAAATCCTTTCCATAATTTCGAGTACCACCTAACTAAAATACCTATCTAGGTAATTCAATCAATTGTAATTCACTTTCTACATTATTCTACAAGACTACCAGTGTTGCGAATGCTCCCGTATTTTAATTTTTGGAAGAAGTCTATGGTGACTCAAAGTGGAGTGGTATATTTCATAGATGAACACCCAAAGTCATGTCCACAACATTATGGTGTTTTTCCAATTTTTGTCGAAAACGTAGCGTTCTATCGAGTATCAACAAGACAATCTTTTTTGTACAGAATTGAATGGCCTTTTATAGGATTGTATAAAATTTGGAAATTTTCCTTCGTTGCTCACTTTTAATATCCCCCAAACGGCGCCACTGGTAGAGAAATTGAAAATTTGTGTACATCAGAAACTGCATCTTGATGCATAGAAGACATGTACCAAATTGGGTGAAGATGTCTACAATATTATCTCAGTCATCATTGAAAAACTTTTTTTTTTCAAAACTTTATCGCCCTGTATCTCAAAAGTTAAGACTTTTAAGACATTCGTTCACAGGAAGTTTTTATCTCATAATAAGTCAAAGAATCACCCCCATGAATATTATTGTTATTAGGGAACACCCTGTATAAAGGGTATTTCGCTGCAACACTTAGATTAGATTAGATTTAGAATGGGGCCTTCGGGCTATCTGCCTCCACACCGCGACCTTTTCAGATCTATTGTGTCTGCCCTCAAAATCGATTAGAGTTCTTCGACTAGCCCCGTCTTCTCTATGAGACTCCATAGGCTAGCTTTCAGATCCCCTGTGTATCTCTGGGCTTCTGGTTTTTCCTCACCCAGCGTAAGGAACCTTAGTCTTGACAAGCCCTCACAGTGGCAAAGTATGTGTACTGCTGTTTCCTCCTCTTCCTGACAGAACCTGCACAGCAGTTCTTCAGTCAGACCTATCGTACTCATGTGTTTGTTGAGCCTACAATGCCCTGTGAGAAGTCCCACTAGTATTCTAGTTGAACTTTGTTTCTGGCTTAGTAGATATTCTGTGAATGTTGGCGATGGTTTTTTAATAAACTCTTTTGCCTGTCTCATTCCTGGCGATTTGTTCCACCATTCTTGAGATTTGGTTTGCATCCATGATTTGATACTAGTCTTTTGTATAGCTTTCGCAATACCACAGAAGGGTTCTGGGCCATTCAGAGCTTTGTTTGCTCCTGCTCGGGCAAGTGAGTCTGCCTCTTCATTGCCCTCGTACCCTGTATGTGCTGGTACCCATGCTAGAGTCAGTCTGTTCTGACTGCCCAGTGCATTTAGGGTTTCTAAGCAGTCCCATACTAGTTTTGAGTTAACTTGCATAGAGTTGACTGCTTTGATTGCCGCCTGGCTATCTGAATAGATTGCAATGGTTTTGCCTTTAAACTCTTGCCTTATCAATTCTTTCACGCAATGATGTATTGCAATAATTTCTGCCTGAAACACCGTCGCGTATTTACCTAAGCTCAGTGAGATTCTTGTCTTTGGCTTGGCCCCATAAATACCAGCTCCTGATCCAAACTCAGTTTTGGAGCCGTCCGTATAGACAGCAATGTCTGCATTGATAGGAGGTCCTTCCTTCCATGCCTCTCTGTCCGTTATACTTATTTTAAAAGTTTTTTCAAAGCTATATTTTGGAATTATGCCATCCGTTGGCATTCCCATGATGGGGTCGCTTTCCAACTCTTCATATAGCTTTCTATAGTCTTTACCGTGCGCGTTGCTTATGGGTGCTTGACCCCTTGACAATCTACTCACGACTGCTCTGGCTTCGCCTTGAATATATATTTGTAGTGGTGGTAGGTTCAAGAGGACCTCTAAAGCGGCTGTTGGAGTGGTTTTCATTGCACCAGTGGCACTCAGGCAAGCTTGCCTTTGAATAGCACTGAGCCTTCGAATCACTCCAGCCTGTTGTGTCTTTGGCCACCAAACTACTGACCCATATGCTATCATAGGCCTGATGACGCTGGCATAGAGCCATGTGGTCATTTTTGGTTGCAGTCCCCAATTTTTCCCGCACATTCGTCTGCACAGATTGAAGGCTACTGTACTTTTTTGAACAATTTTTTGTAGGTGTTGATTCCATGTTAACTTATGGTCAAAGATGACGCCTAAGTATTTTGCCTCTAGGGCGAACGGAATTTCTACCCCGTTGAGTACTGGTGACTTTAATCCTTCCAGTACTCTCTTTTTCGTGAAATTCACTATAGTGGTTTTATGAGGGTTCACGGTGAGTTCCTCCTCTTTACACCAATTGTCAATTATGTTTAGAGCGATTTGTGTGAGCTCCGAGACCGTACTTGCGAATCTACCTCTAGCGATAACCGCCAGGTCGTCGGCATATCCTAAGCAATAATATCCTTTGGATGTTAGCCTTTTGATCAGTTCGTCCATTAGAATGGCCCATAGTAGGGGCGATAATACTCCTCCCTGTGGGCATCCCCCGCTGCAACACTTACCTGATACCATCTCTGCAAGAGCTGGTCGTCTGGATCTCTCAGGAATCCCCCGATATCGGCCCCGCAGAACACCATGCCCAAGATATTCGAGGTCATGCACTCCGAGTACGAGTTCGCGAAGTGCTCCCAGGTGGCGGAGTTGTCGCCTGTCCACATGGCGGCGTACCGCTGGGAGCCGGCGAAGGTGGACCGGGTGAGGATGAAAGGCCGTTTTTGGTGCTGGTCGCGGTTGAGCAGACCCTTATGGGTTGCCTTGACCTGTAACCAGGGTCGCGACGATTTGAATAAACTGATTTTTTCAACTTTCATCGTGATTTAAATCAAATTATAAATTGCAATGCAAACAAGTCGCCGAAGCAGATAACTCATCAGGAAATTCAAGAAAAAGAAGGTAGGTTATTTAAAACTAAGTGGAAAGTAGTACATTACACACCGAGGTGAGAAGTGATTCATTCCTGTCGTGAGATTAGTTATTTATTTATTTATTTATTTATTTAGAAAACAAGGTTATCCAACAGAGGAAATATATAAATAGTCCTTCCAATGACAGGATAACACAGTGATACAAAATTATTGTCTTCATATGGGTTGCACCTACATACTATCATTTAAAAACTAAGTACCTACCTATTCCATAACTTTCATTCAAAAATAACAATCTGAAGAGAATACAGTAACGTCGGTATATACAATATCAGCATATATGAAATATATATGGGTATAGTATTTTGACACACTAGAAAATTACAATTTCGATATGACTTAAGTATCATAAATGAATGAATACCAGCACTATTTCTATATTTTTATATTCAAGGAATACTATAAAAATTTAACGAGAATTCTCTCAGTTGTTTCTTGAATCTTTTGATATCAAGGTGAAATATAACAATATTAGAGTGGCAAATTGTATTGTATGAGTTCATACATCTTATTAGAGGTGAATTACTATAATAATTAGTTGAGAACGAAAGTGGGTAGAAAGTGAGTCTATTCCTAACCATTCTAGGATTACAATTCAAGCTGAGGAATCCAGTGCATGCTGTTGAATCAATATGATTGTTGAAGATCTTGTAAATGAATAATATGTCAACGAAGTCTCTTCAAATGAAAAGATTCTCTATTCTATAGAAACGCAAGTTGCTCTCATAGCTCATATAGTGACGGAAGCGGAAGAATCTATAGTTCAAATTGTTGACCAATTTTTTTTGAACATGTTCAATTTGATTCACATATTTGTCATACATAGGATTCCAAATGGTAGAGCAGTATTCAAGGATAGGCCTGACTAATGATTTATATAAAGTGGTAACTGATGAATAATTTTGAAATTCTTTAGTATTTCTCAGAATAAATCCCAGAGTGCGGAGTGCTTTTTTAACAACAGCTCTAATATGTGATTCAAAAGTTAATTTTTTATCTAGTATCACTCCTAGATCTCGAACTTCTTCAGTTGTTGATATTATCTGATTATTGATAAATAGGTTTTCAGTGATAGGGTCTTGAGATCTAGAGAATAGAACATTGTAACATTTGCTCGCATTGATAAATAATCTATTTGTATTGCAGAAGATTTGCAGTCTTTCAAGATCTTCCTGGATACCCACGTAATCTGATCTCTGTTCAATTCTACTATAAATTTTCAAGTCGTCGGCGTATATAGCAAAATTTGAGAAATGAAAGCATTGTTCAACATCACTAACAAATATACTAAATAGAATGGGACCCAAGTGTGAGCCCTGCGGTTATATAGCTATAATAATTCCGAGACAGGAATGAAACTTCCTACCGAGGTTTGTATACTATTTTATTTACAACCATCATATTTCGATCAAAAATAATAAATCTATGTTTCGTTCTGAACATACCTGAATTATTACATGAGTGAGGGCGGGAAGTAGAGGTGTGTAATGCGACACTTCCCAACCTTCAATGACGTTAGTAATGACAACATTACATATATGGTTGTAAATAGACGAGTTTTCTTGTTTCGACTAGTGTTGCCTAAACATCGATTGCAACTATTCTATATCCGATAGTTTTGACCATCGAAAACCATCGATAGTGTGTAGCGATAGTATCGATAGCGTAAAACCGAAGTAGATGTAATTGGAAACTGTATTATTTCTTTGAACCTGTAGAATTTTGTAGACCTAAGGAAGATATGCTGATTCGAAACCCTCAACCTAAATTTATTCGGACCATACTCAGTGATACTAAGCTTGAACCTGAAAAAGGGAAGTAGAAGAGTTGGCTCATTTGTTTGCAACATTCTCAAACAATTTTATTTTAGATCCAACAAATTATACAGAATTGTACTTATATATTAATAATTCTTTTGAACACTATCGGAAACTATCGATAGGCAAAACATTCGATGTTTAGTCAACACTAGTTTCGACAGAGAAGTTTTTTTTGTTTGTCGTCGTGGAGTTTTTTGAACTCTCAATCTAAACAAGAAATATTTTTGGGCGAATAGAGAAAAATTAAGGAAATCAGTCATTTTATCTACTCACTGCATCGAAAGTAAGCGTTTGCTCCCTCATTAAGGATCCAAACCTGTCAATTTACTCCCACGGGGGGAAAAATATAACACCTTCCGTGGGAGGAAAATAAATTGGCTTTGGCTTGCTTCCTTAGTAGAAATATGTACCCAGTACCTAATTAGTGTCTCCATCACTATTATAAAACAAATAACAATTTGATTTTTTAAATCAGATTTTTTTATTTTATCAAAAAAATCGTGATTTTTTGCAACGCTGCCTGTAACAAGATCAATATTATTCTGGATGATCAAATAGTTCTAATGACGGGTACTTCATGATTGAAAGATTGTCAACGAGTTTTTTTTTCAATCGAAATCCTCTATATAATTGTCTATGATATTATAGTGACATAGTGATGCATTCGTACATTAATTTCATGAAAATTTTCAGTTGACAATATACTCAAGTTAATTTTGTTGTATCTCTGCAAGTTTTTTTCGAAAACTCCTGTAATTTTCACTTAGTTCTGATAGGAAACACTTTATTAATGTATTCGTTTCCAATAAAATGTTTATTTGGAACCCATATATGAAGTGGTATTTTCCATATATGTAATAATTCGAAAATATTTTACTCATTTGATGACTCACGCTGATTGGCTTCTGAGCCCACCATATGTACAGTCGCATTAAAAAAAAGCGTACAAGTATATTACAGAGATAAATTAACGTCATCCTATTCTGCATAAAACGGGCTATCGGGAATGATTGTTCACCAAATGTTGACAGTAAAGTTGTCATAGGTTCTCGAAAACACAAAGCATTGGTTGAGCCTGTACATTGTACATTTGAAACAATAACTACGGCTCAATATTATATAGTGGGGGAGCCGCCTGCAAATTTCGACGGTCATCTGATAACGAAATAATGTATATCCCAAAGGCATGTGAAAACATTGTTATTTATCGAACGGCACCTGTGCCAATCACTATCCTTAGCAAAATGATTAAAAAATGGCACTTTCCTGTGCGGTAATTTGCACTCAATTTCGTGATTTGATAACGAGATAAGAATCATGCCATCCGATACTAATTGAATGGTAGATCTCAAAAACCTGCATGTGCCACTCCTCAGTCTGAGCCGAATCCAAGACACAGCAATTTCTTTGCTGCTATCATTTCGGACATGTAATAATTACCTGTAATAATCCATAAATATTATGGATATCTCCATGCTTAACCGATCCGTTATGTAGGGTTTCAAAGGGTAGTGTTTTTTCGATACTGTCATCAAACACAGCTGGTTCGTTCATGTCATTCCATATTCCAGCCAGAGTTTCTGTACTTCCATTGAATTTATCAAAAGCATACCAACTGGCGTAGTAGTCAGCAGCATCAGGCTTCAAAAAATCGATCCAGCTGGAAAGCCCCGGCCAACAGTCCGCTTCGAAATGAAATTCATGATTTTTATACAGTATGACTAAGATAAGGGGATCTCAGAATCGGGAGGAGATATGAATCCGGTTAAATGGGAAAAAAGTTGCACATTCAGAGGTTCATACCAACGGCCTTCGAAAAATTCCAAAAGTGTTTCTAGTTTTCTTGGAAAATCTATTAATTTTTTTTCTACGTTATTATAAGAGATGCAGAAAAACTGACAATACTTTTACATAGCAACTTTTGATGAAGTTTTGAAACTGAAATAGATCAATTTAAAGTATTTAAGAGGTATGAAAGACCTCAACTTGTATAAAACATGTACCAACAATGGGAGGGAGATTTTTTTCTAAGCATTTGAATATGCGATGACCATGATTTGATTGTTTGTTTGTTTGTATGTATTGAATAGGCTCCGAAACTACTGAATCGATTTGGCTGAAAGTTGGTGGGGAGGTACCTTAGAACCAGGAGAAGGTTATAGGATACTTTTTTTCCCGGTACCATTAGGAAATTCAAGATGGCGGATCTAATATATCGGACGAGTTTTGTAATTATGGTCTGATTCAAAATTGGTATCTGAGGGTTTCCGGGGTCGGAGATTATGATTCTTTCGTCAGAATTTGAAAATTCGGGCGGAATTTGGAAATTCAAGATGGCGGAACTTATATGGCGGACGAGTTTTGTAATTATAATCCGATTCTTTTCAAAAGTGGTACCTAGGGGTTTTCGTGATCGGAGGTTATGATTCCTTAGTTGAAATCGAGAAATTCAAGATGGCGGACCCAATATGGCGGACGAGTATTGTAACTATGATCCGACTCTCTTCAAAATTGTTATCTGGGTGTTTCCGTGGTCGGAGATTATGATTCTTTTGTCAAAATTTGGAAAGGGCGGGATTTGGAAATTCAAGACGGTGGAAACAAAATATATCGTACGAGTTTTGTGATTATATACCGATTCTATTCAACATTTGTAAGTGGGCGTTCACGGGATAAAAAATTATGATTCCTCCGTAAAAGTTTGGGAATTCAAGATGGTAGATTCAATATATTGCGGACGAGTTTTGTAATTATGTTCCGATTCTATTCAAAATTTTCATCTGGGGTTTTAAGAGTCGGATATTATAATTCTTTCGTCAAAATTGGGAAATTCAAGTGAACTAATAAGAAGCTGAAATAAATGGTAGTTTGGAAAACTAAAGAAACACGCTTTTATAGATAGCGAAACTAAAAAGAAGTAGAAAATAAAATAATAATAGTGTCTTGATGAATATTGAACTGAAAAAATATATTATAGATATAATGTATACCGGGTGGCTACGGAAGTATTGCCTACGGAATATCTCAGTTATTGTATAAAGTAGGTTTGTGAAATTTGGAGCGTCGATGAAATGACATAAGAGCTAGAATTTGAGCATATTGACATGTCGAAGTTAACTTCCGGTCTGACCGGAAGTAACATCAACTTTCTTATTTTGAATGGAAACCCTATTTTTTTTTCTTTTCGCTTCATTCAGCATTCAATTCCCTTTCTAATGACATATCACAAGTTGGTATCTAACAAGAAACTAGATCAGAAAAAAATTATTATTGAAATTCACCGAGTAGGCCGTGGAAGCAAAATTGTAGCAGGACAAGAGTGGCGATACTCTTTGCTTTTCATGTGCTAGTAATCTTTCTATTCAAACTATTTGCCTATTCGTCCAATAAATAGATGTCGCCTGCATCCACATTCTAGTCCTAAATTTTTTGCGTGTTTATCAGTCCGGTACCCACGAGAGTTTTTCTTGTTGAGCATTCGTGTTGGTGTTGAAGAAATTGCGAGAAAGAGAAATTGGACGAAATGTCAATCTTTGCGTAATCCGATGCTGTTTTCTTAGTTCGAAATAGCGTATATGAGTAGTCAAGAAGCGAACCTTCTGGTTTTGACAATAATATTATCCTAAGATTATTGGTGCCAGGTCCTTTTTAGGTATGTAAATTTCGTATTTTAATTTGTAGTGAATGTTATCATTGGAAACGATTCCCAGGTTCTTGGTTAGGAACATTTTTATGTAAGTCATGTATGTTCTTTTTAGATGAAAATATAATCCAAAACATCAGAAGCAATCACTGATTGTTCCTCCCTCAGTTTTGACACCCTACACCTGAGATTTTATTACGTAACCAGCATATCACTTGCCGGTTTTGTAACAAAATGAAAGCCAAAAATTGAAAAGTTGGCTATGGAAACCATACGTCACTTGATAACAGTTGCTACTACTGTGATATTTTATTTTCATTCGTCGGCGTTATAAAAAGCCCCAAAAAAAATATTGGAAAAATTGGGAAAAAAACAATACTCTGTAGGTCCATAACTTAAATAGGAACATACAACTTTTTCTTGCCTGTACTATTCAGCATAACCATTTCTTTCTAATGATATAATAGGAAGTCATTTTTTGAAATGAAATACCAAAAAATCCAATTATTATTATTCTTCAAATAACAATAAAATAGATTTATCGAAAAAAAAATTGAATTTTTTGGTATTTCATTTCAAAAAATGACTTTTTATTATTTCATTGGAAAGGAATGGTTATGATGAATAGAACAGGCAAGAAAAAGTTGTATGTTCCTAGTTAAGTTATGGACCTACAGAGTATTGTTTTTTTACCAATTTTTCCAATACTTTTTTTGGCGGCTTTTTATAACGCCGACGAAGAAAATAAAATATCACAGTAGTAGCAACTGTTATCAAGTGACGTATGGTTTCCATAGCCAACTTTTCAATTTTTGGCTTTCATTTTGCTTCCACGCGGCCTACTCGGTGAATTTCAATAATAATTTTTTTCTGATTTAGTTTCTTGTTAAATACCAACTTGTGATATGTCATTAGAAAGGGAATTGAATGCTGAATGAAGCGAAAAGAAAAAAAAATTGGGTTTCTATTTAAAATAAGAAAGTTGATGTTACTTCCGGTCAGACCGGAAGTTAACTTCGACATGTCAATATGCTCAAATTCTAGCTCTTATGTCATTATATCGACGCTCCAAATTTCACAAACCTACTTTATACAATAACTGAGATATTCCGTAGGCAATACTTCCGTAGCCACCCGGTATAGCAAAACAACGTTTGCGAGGTCTGCTAGTAGTTTATAAAATAAGAAAATATTATTCACCTTCATAGTTACTACCGTTAGCCCATTTGACAAAGTAGTCTTTCTTCCCACCAGCATACACTGCATATTTGTCATCGACTTTGATATGTGGATCAGAAATAGACACACACTTTCGCCCAGTAGCAGAAATATTCCTCTGCATTTCGATTGGATCAGTGAATGTGGTATGATTCCACATGAACCATTTGTTGTCGTCACTATGGTCTCCATCTAGCCAGATGGCATCGAACGGGAAGTCATTGGCGTCCATGAGAGCGACCACTGTTTTGATGTCTTCTTGGGATTTGTAAGAGAATCTGCATTGGTGGTAACCCAGAGTCCAGAGCTACATATTATCGAATAATTGAGATATCAATGAATACTGTCAAAATTCATTCATAACATGGATACTAAATAATTTAGTAAAGTTTCATAAAAGGCAGATATGGACCACTAGGATATACCCAAGTATTTGTTTCGTCCTTGATAATTTGCTTGATACACCTTCTGTAGAAAACTAGGATATGTTGGTTGAATCTAAAGACCTATTGGAGTTTTCACAATAAAAAATATACAGGATGTTTGGTTCACCGAACATATTCAACTATACTGGTTGGGTGAAAGAGCAAATTCCTGTCTTCACAGGTAAGTTGAACTCTGCGATTTGGCAGGCATTTATTAAGTATTGTACTTGTACCTATTAGTTGATTTATTGAATAATAATAATAATGAATTGTCTTTATTCATCATTTGCAGAAAAAATATTGCACAAAAAAATCAAACAAAGATAGTTTGCCAAACCTTATACCTATCTGCAATGGTGAATAGACGGAGTATCAGCAAAAAGTTGTGTTTCAACTCAACCCCATTATTATGCAGGATGATTCAAAATTCGATGTACATATTTTAATGACGTATTGTTGGGATAAAAATTAGACTTTGTCTTCATATAAACTTGTGTCCTAAAATGCACTCCCTCCTATTGTGGTCATAATAACGAATCAAGTGCAAGTATTCCAGATTCCAGTACTGCACGCCTCTGAAATAGCATTCTCAAATGCGTTCCGACAAACGATCACCTCCGTATGCAAGCTTTTAATCCATTGCGTTCGAAAACGATGTCGTGACTTCCCCTTCCGTTTATTACGATTTTCTGGCAAACGGTTTAGTTGTATAAAAAATGCAAGAGACCGTTTCCTTACATTTTTTTTTTGGCCCACAACATCATGCTAGCCAAAGTCAGAGATTCTATTTTTGAACATGAAATTTGGGCCCATAAAAGTGTGGACCCCTTCTTCAACTCTCCCAAAACTGGGTTTACATCATGTTTGAAGCATGACGGAAATAAGTTGTCTAAAAAGACAGAGAAAAGACAATTTTCAGAAGATTTGGACCGTTATTTCAGTCACAATTTTAGATAATCTTGTTTTTTTTTTAATTAACTCACAGTGGCTGTAGCTCGGAAGAAGTGTATTTTAAGACACATGTTAATAATAAAAAAAAGTCTCATTTTTATTCACAAGATGTCCTTAAAATATTTACATCGAATTTTGAATCATCCTGTACATGGTTATTAAATATGTACGAAATGGTCTTACCCCTTTAGATATACGTCGGTGAACCAAACACCCTGTATATTTCACAGGATGTCACTAAAAGTTCTATACAAAATCTCAGCACATATTCCTGTTAGAATATCCAGGGTGAAGTTCAAAGAGTGCGGCAGCGCGGCCCGACATTCATTTGCTGATCTGTTCAACTGACTTTGCATAAACTATATAAATAATCCGGTACTGAAAAACGCTCCAGAGCTATATTTCACTACTTTTTCAATCAGTTCAACCCACCTGGGGCATATGTGCTCTTCCAGTCATAGTTGTCATCTGTCTAGTGAGATCTTTAGGGGTCGGCCCAAGTAAGACAAACAGATCAAAAGCAGCACCTTCGACCATAAAGTATGCAGAGGGACTTCTAGTTTTGTAGGTTATATCAATCCACTGTTCAGCTGCATTGTGCAAGAATATTCCAGAAGAACGATCATGGCTAAAAATTCGAGTTTTGAAGAACTATGAAGATATTCTTCCTACCGCGTTTTGATTCGGAAAATATAGGGACGTTCTTTCATTCAACGGTGCCTCCATCAATCCACCAACTGCGTTCATGTATTCTTTGGTGGATTCCAGTTTGATGCAACCACGCGTTTATTTATTACTATTGTGTCAACCAAAATTGCAAACCATTCCACCGATGTACATAGATGGTGGACGAATTTTGGTGGCTTTCGAAATGACAGCCACAGAATAACCTCAGAATAGTTATTTGTTTAACTAGGCAGCAAAGTAGTAGTTTGAATGCCGAGGCTGAATTCATAGTCGAGCGTAGCGAGGCTAGGATTTCAGCTAAGGCAGTCAATCTACTTTGCTGCCGAGTTGAACATATAATTTTTTCTCCGATTGTTCATAGCGATATAGGAGGATATTGTATTTGCAAATTATTACAATTCTCACAATCTCTTTATTTTTCCTGTAGTGTTCAATTAAAATAAAATTTGATAGAAATCGCAGTTGTTGGAATGGTTGGTTGCTATGGAGATGTCCATAATAATTATAGTTCGACAATTCATGAAATTTCTGACAGTTGTGCGAAAAAACATGGGTATATTTAAATTATTATATAATGGACAGTGATAGCGACCTGGAAGTACTTACTCCTCCAGAAATAAGGGAGGTGGCAAAAAATATAGAGTTGAATTTGTTGCCGGAGAAGTCTCGGATGAAATATAAAGGAAATTATAAACGATTTATGGATTATTAATTTTGCTGACACATATCAATCAGCAAAGTAACCATTTTGCTGCCTAGGCAGCAAAGTGCCCACTTTGCTGCCTAGGCAGGAAAAGTAATAATTTGCTGATTGATATGTGTCAGCAAAATTAATATTTGCTGCCAATCGGAGAAAAAACTAATAACAAAATATTGTATTTGAAAGTTGTTTGCTATTTGCCTAAGAAAAAATATGGATGAATTAACCGAAATCAGCCTAGAATATGAAAATAAAAGAATACCTGCATTATTGACACCAACAGAAATTAAAGAAATTTTGAGTGGAAGAAACTTTTCTCTTTCCCATCCTGAATTTCTAGAAATGAGTGCAAACATTCAGGAAACTTGACTACCTACCAACAGAGAATTCTTATTAATGACTTTATCCATATCATCACAATTTAATGCAATGTTTCGTATATAGGTTGTTGAGAATTTTCAACTTATCTTGTCTAGTCCCCAACAAATACAATATTTCATCCTCGAAACTATCAGAAGAACTGCTAGGATACTTTTAATACTTCATTTTCCATTTAACATTAGTTTTCGCCAATTAATTGAAAACAATCTGTCCCTATCAAATCACGAAAAGAAAAATAAATAAAGGAAAAAACAGTTGTGGTTGTCATGCCAAATAACTACGTTTTTTTCAACACTGATGACTCCAACAATTCGATGCATCAGAGAGTGACGTCACTTTCATCAATGATGAAAATGTGGTGTAAAAAAGAACATGCCTTATACAGGGTGAGTCATGACTAACCAGCCATAGCCCAATGGCGGATAGAGGAGGTCAAGGTGGGTTGATATATATATAATAAAATATTTTTTGCCCATCCTTCACAGAAATACAGGGCATTATTTGAATTCGGGGCAAAACTCCAATGAACGATATTTCAGGAACGTCTCGATGTAATCGGCTGAAATTCACTAGCAACTTACCTCTAATGACACTCCACAAGATGACGTACTATGAATGGAAAATTCCAGATCCGGACTTGGAGAACTCATTTTTTCTTCAGATGTCAAAATTTTGACCTCCTGGATCGGATTTTTCGAAAACTTTTATCAGAATCAGAAAGATCAGGAGAAATACTACAAGTATGGCTTTTCAATTCGTACGGCACACTTCGATCGTTTTGGTAAAAAAATATCAAACAAAATACCGATGAATTTTTCTTCGGTTTCGTCCGGGCATATCACTTTCTACATTCGACTAAAAGTAATTAAATCAAATTTTTCCCTGGAAAGATTCAACAGCACACTTGAGAAAAGGTATAATTCAATAAAAAATTCAGGACCGGACTTGATTTCGGAAAATAACAATCATAATTTCCGAAAAAGATTTGTCAGAATCTTAATATTACTCAAGATTCTCAAAATGTCCTCCTCCAATTTCTAAACATTTTCTGCATCTCTTCGGGAGACCTCTTATGGCTTCTCCAATAATTAGCCTATTATTTCTGATTATATCTGCAGCTGTAACTATCCTCTCCCTCAGTTCGTCTCTGGTGTTGACTTCAGTCTGATAGACCAATTGTTTCATATGCCCCCAAAGAAAATAGTTCGAAACTGTGAGATCAGGGGTTCTTCGGTATTCTCTCAATGCAGCTCTTGAATTGCCATCACAAAAACCGTTTACAAAAATAATATCTGCATATTCAACGTTAGTGAAATGCAGTGGCATTTTGAAGATATGAAATGCAATATGAAATTATAAAATTAGTAACAGTATGTATTTGAAATTATCAACAATGTACTAGATGTCATCTGACAGTTTCAACAACCGTCAAAAATCGAGTCAGCCTTCTGTTCATCTGTATTCAGAGTCGATGAATTACTAAACTCACAATTTGATTTGCTGATTGGGAGAGTTCACAAGAAATGAGATTATATTCAGTATTACTTCAAATCAAAATCCCTCCATGTAGTATAAGTTGGCACGTATATCTGATTCGAAAAAAAATCTGCTACCAAAGCAACAATTATTGTTCTTATTGAATACAATGTTTTCACATTATCATCACAAGTAGAGGTTAGATTTCAATTGAAAATTGGGAGAGGATAGTTACAGCTGCAGATATAATCAAAAATAATAGGCTAATTATTGGAGAAGCCATTAGAGATCTCCCGAAAAGATGCAGAAAATCTATAGAAATTGGAGGAGGACATTTCGAGAATATTGATTAATATTAAGATCCACACAAATCTTTTTCGGAAATTATAATTGTTATTATCCAAAATCAAGTCCGGTCCTGGATTTTTTGTTGAATTATACCTTTTCTCAAGTCTGCTGTTGAATCATTCCAGGAAAATATTTGATTTAATTACTTTTAGTCGAATTTAGAGAGTGATATGCCCGGACGAAATCGAAGAAAAATTCATCGGTATTTTGTTTGATATTTTTTTACCAAAACGATCGAAGTGTGCCGTACGAATTGAGAAGCCATACTTGTAGTATTTTTCCTGATCTTTCTGATTCTGATGAAAGTTTCCGAAAAATCCGATCCAGAAGGTCCAAATTCTGACATCTAAAGAGAAAATGAGTTTTCCAAGTCCGGATCTGGAATTTTTATTCATAGTACGTCATCTTGTGGAGTGTCAGTAGAGGTAAGTTGCTAGTGAATTTCAGCCGATAACATCGAGACGTTCCTGAAATATCGTTCATTGAAGTTTTGCCCCGAATTCAAATAATGCCCTGTATTTCTGTAAAGAATAGGCAAAAAATATTTTTTCACATATATATCAACTCACCTTGACCTCCGCTATCCGCCATTAGGCTATGGCTGGTTAGTCATGACTCACCCTGTATATATGGCAATAATATAATACCTCTCACTCGCTTGTTGAGAAGGTAACAGGATGTCGAAGTGAACTAAAATTTTAACGAAATCTGTTATGAAAACCCAACTTGAGGAGTGAGATAACAACCGCGGTCTTTAAATCCTCCTACAACTGAGAAAAACAATGACTACAAAATTTGAATAAATGTCGTAGTCCCAGAGGTATTCAATAAATCAAGTTGATATCTGCATATGGTACATTGGCATAGCTTCATGGGGCGATGAAACCCATATCATAATTATGAAAATCATGAACATAGAACTCGATTTCTTAAGTAAAGAAAAGGGTTTGAGTAAGAAGCTTGGATTGGGTAACTCATTGAAAACAAAAATGGTACCCTTGATAGAATTCAATCATTACTCTCATGGTTTTGATGAAATCTGAATTTGAGTAATTCAGAACATGAGTTAACGCTAAAACGATAAAGATATTTTATGGAAATTGATCAAACTGTTCAACAAATTTCATGTTAACTGAGATTTTTGAAAACAGTCAGCTATTTTCAGTTATCTAGCGCACAGACGTAGTAACTTTGTACTAAGGTAAGTTTTTTTTGTTACGAATTGATTAGATCTGAGAAATGTGGTAGGTTTTTGTGAAGACATTTTGGAGGCACCGTGTATATTTTGCGAATTAGAACGATGAATAGAAAATATTCAAAGTTAAAACTGAACCACCCTGCAAGTTATCAAAATGTTAAATGAATAGACAGACAACAAATCCAGTAGATTGTCTCCCAGCTATCCAACAATGAGAAATAATATCTGACTCACGAGTGTCCATAGATTGCTGGTATAGCTCCGTACAGAGCCATTGTCGAGTCAGCTTCGTAAGCCCACGAATCAGAGTTCCTGAGTCTGAAAGGGTCAGTAGAATTGTCCATGGTTTCACCTAAAGCGAGCTTGTAAGCATGGTTGAATAGTCCGTACAAACGGCTTGCTTCCTCGAATTCAACACCAAATGTGAACACTTGACTTGTGTTGAGCTGCAATGTGAAAAATAAAGATATTCTGGATACTACTATTACTACTTATATTACTGGTAGCAATAAATCTATGTACTTTTTTCATTGAATACTTACACTTTCCATGAGCAATCTCTCAGCATTCAGAACTACTCGAAGACTATCTTTATAGTAGACATTCACGGTGAATGGTGGTCCAGGTTTTATCACAACTCTTTGGTGGTGGGCATTATTTTTTGATTTGATATTTATGCTGCTATTTTTCAGCTTGGTGGTGATACTGAAAACCAGATATATGTACTGAATTTGAATTCCATAATCAAAATTGCTGACTACACTTCATAAAGGAGAATTATACAATATTTTCGAGTGGCTAATACTAAAAAGTCACTCAGCCTGATATTCCCAGCAGAACTTTTCAAATCATTTTTATTTATTTTTATTATAGTGCATGTTTGTTGATACATCCAACTCGTTTTATTACCTGTTGAATTGTTGCAATTTCAACATCACAAGAGAAGCTGCTATATATTTGGTTTCTTATTTAGGTAAACAAAATAAAAATTAAGGTTATTAAATCAATTGATTAATTCGAGACAGAAGTAAATTATAAATTAAAATGTATTGTTTTTCATTCAATCATTGGGTATAAGAACAATTCAGTACTGTTTCAAATTTCGTATAAATATATATTAAATGTTAACGAGAGACGCAAATAAACTCCTTGAAGAGGCTAATTTCCAGTTTTTTATTTTAGTTTTGTAGCAATAAATGGATTTGACTTCTTTAATATCACGCGGAATTTCATCATACAAATGAGGAATCAAATATTTGTTCTTTATGATAATGTGTAATCTTCTGAAACCTGAAATCAATCAATCATATTTTCAGCTAATAATACACAAACAGCTATTTATTGAAAATGAAAAATGAAATGCATCTTCTGTGATATACTTCTGGATATACTTACGGCAATACTTGCAGATCTTCAACGATAACCAGATCGCCCAATTCGTATCTGGTGCTGTTAATTTCTTCAACTTTCACACGAGCTTTGTTGCCATCTAATAGTGATATTTTGAGATGCAACGTATTGTCAGCGTTTTTGATAGGAATAGTTACGACATGATTATCCACTGTGTAAGAGTCGATTACGGCTGCATATTGGTCAGCTTGGTCCAAAATGTGATGTCGAAGATTTCTATAAAATTGTTGCGAGTCCAGTGAACCGCTCAGTATTGTTAACAATGATTATGCCCAATCATAGTTACAAAACTAGTGAGGTATTAAAAAATTGAAATAGTAGAAAATCATTTTGACAAGGCATATACAGGATGTTTCTCGAAAAATTGCTCATCCCTACAACTTTTTTATTTTCTACAGATACATGAAATTTGGTATGTTGGTAAATTGAAGTACATGAATGTGAATTTTTTGACGAATTCATGTATTTATTGTCACTTCATGTTTTACCGGAAATGACCCTTACTTCCTTATTCTGAATGGGACTAGGTATATTTTCAAATATTTTACTAGAAAATCACATTTTTAGTACAATGACACCCCATTTTCCACTTTTTGGCATTTATTATCCTGACATTTTCTATTTTTAATTTTCAGCCTATAGTGCGCCATAAATTAGTTAACGGTTAACGTTTGATAACATATCTTGAAATTTAATAAGTATCTATCAAACCAATAACCAATGAAACAATTGAATACGTCAAAAAATTTATTTTTATGTACTATTTCTACACACCAAATTTCATTTCTTTATCTGTAGAAACAAAGAGGTATGGGGGAGAATCACTTTTGAGAAAGAGTCGGTCTATTAAATAATTTCTTATTCATCATATCAAGTAGTTTTTAATAATACACTTTGAAGAAAGAGGCAAGTTCAGAGGGAATTTAAACATTTTATAAAATAAATATTTATATCTATTGTTGAAAAAAACCCAAAAAGGTGAAAATATATCCCAGAAAATCGGCAAAACTATAATTCATTATGAAATGTTCATTGAATAATTTTGATGTCAATAGTTTAAATAATTGAAATTTGTTAGTATTAGATAAGCAGGTACCTGTTAAAATGAAATTCCCTAGTTCCAGAAAAAGCTTCAACTTCAACAAAGCATTCTAGAGCATATTTTTTTAGATGACAGATATGGTTACTGCTACTGGATATAATGTCAAATAAGTAGGTAGTATTCGGTACTTACGAACAAAAAGAAATTCTTGAGCAATTTTTGAAAACATTTTTGTCTATCACTGGAACCCATTGTGAGTAACATGAGTTTAAAGTTGTTGCCAAAATAGCAAGGTAGATGAAATATCTGCAAAGAAATGTGAATATTAATTTTTCGTTTTAACTTCAAAGGAATTTAACTTGCCTGGCCATTTTCGATCAGTTCATTACATCTACGTGAACTAACCTAATTACTGTATCTCTTAGCAGTTTTATCAGGTTTATTGAAAATTATATCTTGTTATCTTGTTACCTACCCATCGAAAACACTTGAATAAAGTTTAGTATTTGAAAGATCAAGTAATTCATAAAGAACTGATAAACGTGTTTTTCCTAATAACGTATGATAAGATCTGTAACGTGCATGATTGAGTATCTAAATACCTACTTCACCGGTATCTTCCAGAAGATTTAGCCAAAAAGCCATAAATAACAGATATTTTGAACACCACTCTGTATAAAAAACGTCAATCAAAATGAAAGTTAAGATAATCGTGATACAAATATTGATTTTATTGATTCTGCATATCACCGATGCTCTTTTCGGAAAATCTTTAAAGAAACTAAGAGAAAAAGCAACAGGCATCTATAGAAAGAAAAATAAAGGCAAACCTTTGAACTACCTCGGGTACGATCAAACAGAATATCCGGGTACCAACCCCAAAAAGATACAAATCCACCAGCAAAAATGGAACGATTATTACACTTGTTTGAAGGCTCAAAACGAAAGTTTGGGTAAATACCAAGCTGTTACTCCAGAAGCCATATTGGCATTCGACGGAAATAACATAAAACTAGCTTGTAAAATTTGTCTCAGTCCCGAAGAAATATCAACCATTGACTCGGTCACTTGGGAATGGGCTCCAGTGCATGGAAAACACCTGGAATTGATAGAGTTCACAGAAAATATCTTCGAATCCCCGGAAGACAAAATATTACACATTTACAACCTTCAAATTGAACATTCAGGACAATACATTTGTAGGCTTGGTGAATCATTAACGGCACCATATTTTTTAACAGTTGTTGATATGAATGATACAGAAATCATCGAAGTACACAGCCCTCAAGCCCCATTGGGACCTTATCCGAAAGATCCAGAGGTCATCCAAAGCTATAACCTGATTTTGGATACTGAATGGAGCGATTGGTCTAGATGCAGCACTTGCGACAAAATTGGAAAGAGACATAAGCTAGGGTATTGTTCTATCTACTCCAAAGAAAATAAAGAATTATCCTTCAATGATATGGATAATGATACTGACACAACTACTGATGAAATAACGAACGTTGACTTAGAACTGTTCAGTATTTTTCAGTTTGGTATACCGTGCAATTCCCATATCCTTCCTGCTGCTATAAAAGAGTTGCCGCAAGTGAAGACAAGGCATAATGAAATAATGATAGGATATTGTAAAGTAAACTGTCCCAAAAACGAAATTTTCGAAGTGAAAGATAAAAACGGTAAGGTTATAGAGAAAGCTAATAATACGGCAGGTATTTATTCACTTTTGCAACCATTGCCGCCATTAGAACCACCCATAGAACGAAGAACGACCTATGGAGTCAAGGGAAAAACGATAGTTTTGACATGTCCTGGTAATATGAACTCTGATGCTCCAATCCAGTGGCAAATCGGCAATAAAAATTTGATTCCAGAGATAGTATCGCAGGAATCGAAGGGGAGGATTTTCATCAGTATAACTGACAGAATACACATAAAAAATGCGAAAATAGCTGATAGTAATATTTACAGTTGTTGGCAGGAAAAAGAATTAGCTGGGACGATTAGGCTCATAGTAGAAAAAAAGTTTGAATTCAATTTCAATCACCATGTGATGCTTTTAGGTATTGTAGTTATTTTGGCAGTTTTTCTGCATGTTTTTGTGAAAGCTTTTGCTGGAAGAAAGTATGCAAAAACTTAATTAAACCGATAAGTGAACATTCACACATGTTTTTTGATGAATTCGAAACCTTATCAGATACATTTTGATCCCTAGTCACCAAGTGCAATTGGGTCCTGTGAGGTAAAAACAGTCAGACTTGCATCAGCCGACAATCGATTCATGAAAATCTCATATAATTTCTGTCCCAGATTTCAGGACAGACTGTATATAAAATAACTAATTTCAACCTGTATATCCAGTAATTTGTTAAATGCTGGCGAATTAGTCATTACACAGTTGAAAGGTTGTTGTGTAATTTCAAATAATTTGATAGCCAAATTCTTTCAAATTATCAATTTTTGTAACCATTTCTTTACTACATTTTAATTTTTTTTTCATGTCTTCAAGGGCACTGGATCATTTAAAAGAAAAATGAACTTGAACTTTAAAAAAAAGAACATTTACTTGATACAAACTTCAATTCCACTTCAAAATCAAATTACAACTGAAACTTAATCAACCTAATAAACGTACTTTCTACAAGGAATTAGCTCGATATTTTGTATTAGCACCTCTACGTCGGTTCATACTGTCAATAAGGTAACGCGAATAGCATCCTGAGGATTATTGTGCCATTTCTCCTGAAGGGCGCTATACGAAGTTCATTTACTGGAACCAGAGCTACTTCGCGATCCCTGACTCGTCTACCAAGCATCTTCCATACATGCTCTATTAGGTTGAGATCAGGCGAACATGCTGGCCAGTTCATTTTGTTAATGTCAACCTCCCGCGAAATATTGTGTAACACACACATTTCTGTATGTGGCCGTGCATTTTATTGTATTATGATAAAACCATCGCCGATATATCCACTGAAAGGTACAACGTGATTGTACAACTGAGTGCAGGCCTCCCGGGATATTCCTGCCCACACCATTACTAAACCTTCTCCATAGCTCAGACGTGCACTGAACGTACACTCTGCAAATCTTTCTCCGTTCCTTCTCCATACTCTTTTCGGTCCATCTGGAGAATATGAACATTATCTGGATTCGTTAATAAAAAGAACATTGTTCCATTACCCTGAGTTCCCAATTAAATGTTCAGTGGAAAATTGCAGTCAAGCTACTCAGTGACGCGGAAGGAATTTGGGTCCAGGTGCTGGTCTGCAAGCTCCTTCAATCTTCGGCGAACTGTCCATACACTTACATTTGTACCTCGAACCTCTTGGAGTTGATTTATTGACTGCACTGACGATACCGCAGATATTTAACGGGAAGAAATCTGTCATCAGTAGCAAATATTTTTTCGTTTTCTGCCACAACTTGCCATACGCTTATTCCGCCAGTTTGTCTAAAACGTTCGACTACTCTTTTGATGGCAGAACGATGAACATGAAGTATTCTTGCAACATATATATTAATAAACACGTCCATCTTCAACAAGACCAATAGCTTCTGCACAATTTTCCGCACTTAAAACCATTGCAGGAGTATAGGTCTTGCGTAAAAAACACTGTTAATTTGACATATGGACAACAACGATCAAAGACACCTCGTCAAAAATTAACATTTCTCAAAGTAAACTATTGTGACAAGTTCATTTCGCTCTTGAAAATGAACCAGTGATCTTGAAGACACGGATTTGAAGTCGAAATGTAGAAAAGGAAAGGTTCCATAAAAAAATGAAATTTTGAAAGAATTTGGCAACGAAATTATTCCACAGTGTGTTTTGAAATTAGGGTTATACAACAACCTCTCAATTAACCCTGTATAATGATTAATCCGCCAGCATTTAACAGAAGACTGGATATACAAGTTGATATTAGTCAGTTTATCTACAGTTTGTTGAAAAAATTATGAAAATCGAACCGAAAATTAAAAAGGTATGAGACTTTGAATTTGACCGAATATTAACTTGTTGCGTCTTTTTGCATTTGATTGTAGATGGTCTGCATATTGACTGATATAAATATAATCAATAATAAAAACTGCTGGGCTGAAATACGTAGGTATATATGTTTCAAGTTAAAACATACATATTTTCGAAGGTAAAGAATTATTTAAATAACAAATGCAAAAGAATTCAAATGTTACCAAAGTATTCAAATATCTCCATATACTTTGGAAGTATTCGAATATTTGAATACCTCAAATACTTTAGGAAAAAAACATGTAACAGAAAGTATTCAAATATTGAAATGAATTTGTAAATACAAATAATGCCAACTCTGATAACTTGCAGAGTATGTATAAGTGCCCACTTGAACTGATAAGTGAACATTAGCATATCATGCGATTTAACTGAAAAATATTGTTGGTAGAAGGGGTTTACAATTAAAGTTCAAATTAAAGAAAAACGCTATATTTTTTATTCGATTAACAATAATAGAAAAATAAAATATAAAACAAAGTGCTAACAATAAATATTCAGAGCAGATATTAAAATTTGCTTATGTTTATGTTTGAATTATATCAATTTCATGTTGGTTATTTCATTGAATATAGTAGCCTCATGACACATATTTTTCTGGTGTTTACGGCAATTTCGTCCATGAGAAAATAGAATAAAACAGTAACTAATGATAAAGCTACAATAGAAATTATCACAAGAATATTAGATATTATGTAAATCACAAAATTAATTTCAACAACCGATTTCTTTTGCAATATACAGGATGATTGAGGTTTCAAGGTACAAACTGAGATAGATGATAGATCTCATCATTTCGATCAAAAAAGTATTTATAAATGTGTCCGATCTCGATCATAAGCGGAGATACAGGGGATCAAAGTTAAATTATTTTTTTCTATTAATTGAAATATCTCGCTCACTCACTTCTGAAGATATCAATTTGAAATTTAGTGTGGCCAATAATTTCTAGAAAGTAATGATATGAAGCATTTAAAAGATTTTCAAAATCCACAGGGTGATACGGTTTTGAGGGTAGAGGCTTCTTTATTCCCCTCGAAATTTTTCGTAGTACGCCTCTGGCATCTTCCAGTTACCAGATAGAGTGGATCGTTCAATAAAAAAAAATCTCAAATTTTTTTGAGAAACACACCATTTTCGAGATGAATAAGCATATCCGTGCAATAACATGTTAATTTTGCCTATTATGCTTAATGCAATAAAATATAGCAAATTTCAATCTGAATCAGTAGCGGGGATACAGAGGGTAGAAGGTCAGGTTGCTCTTATAACCGACCAATCCAACGACGACTCAGAAAATTGGTGTGAAGCCACTGGTTAAGCTCCCCCATCCAGTTGTATCCATATTAGTCATACAATATCTTTTTGAAAATATTAAAAAATAAAATAGCATTCAATGTCGAGAAGGATCTCCTTGCGGAATGTGATTATTTCTTTGCGTATTCCATTATTGTTAACTAATTTTGTCCAGAAATAAAATCCAACAGAAAAATATAGATAAAATTAACATGTTTAGGAACGGATATGCTTATTTATCTCTCTTAAAATGGTGAATTCCAAGAAACTATTACCCAGACCAAATTTCTAATTGATATATTCCAAAGTGAGTGAGATATTTTAATTAATAGAAAAAAATAATTAAACTTTGACCCCTTGTAGATCCGCTGCTGATCGAGATGAACTTTTTCAATTGAAACGATGATATCTATCAGCCATTTCAGTTTGTACCTCAAAACCTGAGAGAGAATAGTCAATAATAGTAAGAAAAGCAGAAAGCTATCAAGTACATTTTGCCAAACAAACATTTAGACATATAAATTATGGAAGAAATTGAAGTTATCCTCATCTTTTACACTGATAGCAAACACATCTTGATTATTGTACATCACATATTCAATACCCATTAACAATAACATTAAATAGTACATATATAATTTAGACTCTAGAGGGAGCTAGGATATTATGAAACGAGTATATATGGTGGTCCATAATTTATTATGGAAATGTCTGGCTTGCACAGAGTTATTCATCGAAAAGGCCCACCTATATTCTCGTTTTTTATTAAGTAGAGTTGAATACCGCGATATAAGCATGCAATATTATGAAAAAATTTAGAATGGAGTTACATAGTTTTACACTTTTTTGGAAAAACTGTTCTGGTTTAGAACATCTTACTTAGTTCATAATTTTATAGTGATGTAGAAAAGGTATTTTCAAAATTGGAGCGATCCTTAAAATGGGTAATAGCAGACGAAAAAACGAAATGGAATGAAAGAATACATTTTTGCAAAAAAGAAATTATTTTGAAAGATATTGAAATTTGAAGTTTTAGTCCAGTGACCCAACTCTTGAGAGCACTGATCAGACGCGTCGATAGAGTTCTTACCTTACCTCTTAGAGGACTTACCTTCAGAGGTTACTGACTTCGTCGACCATCGATGGTTGAAGGTAAACTTGAATATTTCTTTGCAAATGATGAATGTGAAAAATAGGGGATATTATGGGTACATTCAAATTGAAAATGAATGGAGTCGATGTTGAAGTGAGAGATACATAGGTAAACTATGGTAGTGGGTAAAGTGAGAGAAATAGGTTTTCAAAAATAGCTTATGTTGACGTCATTATGACATAGTTCTCTCCCACCACCTTCACCGATATACTCTAAGCGGGTTTAACAGGGAATGTGAATGAAATATCCCTCAAGTTTTCTTCATCGTAAAAGAAAAGTCGACGGAAAAATGTTGTAACCAACTCGTAATGATCTCGAACATCAACGCGCTCGCTTTGCTCGCACGTTAAAATATCTCGATCGATAATAGCCCTCATTAATACACTACTTGGTTAAATAACTATTTCTATTTTCGACATGTAATTTGGCACTTTTCAAAACTGACGGAAGTTTTGAAACGTCTTACTTCACGAATGCAATTGCGTGAAGTGAAATATTAATATGTTCATTTCAACACCAGTTACGAATCAAAACTATAGATGGACAAAGAGAATAGTGCGTTTTGTGGTGCTTCCTCGATATCACTTGGGACCTTGAAGCAGCCATTTTTCACTAATTTAAATATCAATCGAGTCTATTTTGTGAATTTCGTCGCTGATTAGTACCATATGATTGTTTGACTGACACTTCAAAGTGACGGGCGAAGTCACTTATCTACTACATTTTGCACATAATCATGTAGAACTAGTCATTATTTCTGTACAAGAGAAATTTTTGATCAAAATTAGAAAACATATTGTGCGTAACTAGTTAGGAAACGCATTTTGGGTAACTCTGTGTTCCTGAAAGTCAACTTCATCAATGTAGTGACATCTCAAGACAGAATCAACTGACCCGCTCCGTTCGTCCCTCAAAATCCCGTCGTTACACAAAACAAAGCGTTTCCTAATTGGTTACGTAAATATCTATGACCGAATCTAGAAATTCTCAAGAATAATAAAGTTGTTAGATTTTTTTTCCAATTGAACTGCTCTGTGAGGTGCAGTGAGTTACTAATGGAATTATCTGAAACGCCACGGATTTCCCAACTTCTTTTCTACCTCATTTAATTACCGAGATAATAAATCCATTACCAATTTGAGACATACTGTATATGAAGGGAAGGGATGATTTAAGTCCAGTCGAGAGCGGATCCAACCTTTGAGTCACGGAGGCGTGACAGTCATAGGTAACAGAAAGAAGCAAGATTTCGAAGATTAAAATAAAAATGCGTAGCAGGCAAAATTTTCAAGGATTTCAAGGACAATAATTGCTTCGAATGATAGGTAGGCCACTGACCTCTATTAGTATGTTTCATGAATTATCTGTGAATTGATGAATTGTAGGTATGTTGAGTGTTTGAGTTTAGAGGCCAAGAGCAGGAATTATGTCCATTTTATGAGGGATGTGCCAATAAGAACTTCTCATCAGTCATTAATATCTACAACATACTGAATATTCCGCGATTTCCAGACTTATTTCAAAACAGGATATTTGAAGATAAGGTTAACTGGAACTTTTGGTCAGTCCAACAAGAGTTATTTTCCTGTTATGTAGTGCAGAGTACAAATAAGTGAAAATTAGGTTTCATATTTCGAGATCATATGCTGAGATAGATGGAAATGTGTAAATGTAAAAATGGGAAATACATATTACAAAAAATAAATTAAAAACTTTTTGCAATGAACATGAGATGATTATATTATAAAAACAGAATTATATTTGAGTATTTTTTTTACTGTTGAGCCAACTGGTGTAGAAGAAAATTCGGAGAAAAATTACTAGTAGCCAGCCCTAGACCATCGTTTATATTAGAGAGGAAGGTGAGTACATAATCCCCACAAAATATTCTGCATTTCTTAAATAAAAACATGTAAATTTATTGAATTATTAAACTGATATCAATAAAAACGTTCAGAGTTTAGTAGGCTAAAATCAAATTATCCAAAAATCAGCCATAATTTTTTATCCTTGCCGCAATAATATAAGGTAGCTGTTTTTGATCTTCAACGAAATAAATATCGTCAAGCTCTGCGCGATAATGATGCAAACATCAAAGTCAAAAATTCAACATGTACTTGAATCTGGTGAGGGCCGGCATGTGCTAGATAGCCTCGTATCCTGTCTCGATAGGGGGACTCGAGCTGCCGTTGAGGAACTCTTCGAGTTCATCGTGGTGGGAGGCGGTCTCGTCTCTGGAGCGTCTTTTGTGCTTCTTCTCCAGTTTGGCCGAGTCTTTTTTCTCTTTGTCTTTGGGCTTCTTCTTGTTCTTCTTCTCAGTCTGAAACGAATGGAGGGGATGTGGGATGTATACACACATTAATCTCTTCAACGTGTGTTTTTTATGAATGCCCTCACAAATGCAATTATTGAATAATTGGACATTGCTGTGTAGTAAAACTATGTAATAGAGACTTGAACAATATTTATTATACAAGGAAGAAAAGTATCACATTTTATACTTGCTCTGATATTTTTCCCGTGCATAATACACTATTTTTTTCTGTGACAGGAAAAACGACGATTCAATATTGAAATGATATTACATTATATTAAAATGTAAAAATTATCAATGTGAAATTTTCAGTTTTCAACTGGTAGGCTGAGACAATTAAAACTGCGTTGCAAACATCTTTTTGTAGACATCTTTGTTGCTATGGTAACCTTTTGAAGTAATCAAATATCTGTCAATTTAATTCTGAGATTTTATTTTAAAAAATTGCAACATCTCACATCTCATATATCTGGCATATACCTGATTTGCCCCAATGATTCCATGAAGATGACAATATAAGAAACATCACATCATAGACCTCTTTGTCAAAGAGATATACTCACCTTATACTCGTTACGTATCAGGAACGCCTTAATATTATTGTGGATATGACAAACAAAAAGGTATTCTGCCAAAGATGCAGTCTGAATTGAGTTCTACACATCAGTCGAATTAACGCCTTATATCTATTTTATTTGGATAATTCCATATTATCATAGTATTAAATTTGATAGTCATTTATTATTAAAAATCATCACAAATATGTTTTTAATAATCATAATAATCACCTATCAGAAACGTTAGCTTTCGACAGTGAACAAGTTCGAGTTAGTACTTCAAAATATTGAAATACAATTTTTCCAGGCATACACCGACTTCCACAAATAACTGACAATAAGTTTTTAATTGAACGATTTGAATTTGTTGCTTACAGAAGAGCCAAAAGATAGTACAGACAGATGAAACTATACAACTGTTTTTTCTATCTCCTGCAATTGAAGCTGTAGATTAGGGTAAAAATATACCTCATTTGTTCATTTGTTCCTTTGATGGTCCAATCAATTGTTCAATTATAGAAAGAAATTAGATGAAGGATTTTAGATGACATTTGTGTGGTTGATAAATTCAATATGTCATTCATTCAATGACTCACCTCACTCTAACTCACCTTATCTTTATCTTTTTTCTTCTTGTCATTTTTCACAGAACTAGAAGTTTGCAGATCTTCACTGTCACTATTGACACTGGGATTATTAGGACTATGGGTTTGCCTTGAAGACAGTAGTTCCATGTGAACATTAGAAGATGTTACACTATTACTATCATCATAGGCGGTACTGTTGCTGCCATCAAGTGTTTGACTCACAACTGAATTGTCTTCTCCTCCTAAAAAAATAATACAAACAATGTTCCAAATAGTACTGAGAGCAGGAATTCTATTTTAGGAACACTTGCTTTTCTTTAACAAATAATTGGATACAGGATGTTCACAATGTTGAGCCATATTCATTTCAAGATATTGTAGAATCCTGAAATCGTTTCACAAAATGTCTTGTAATGAGAATAAATGACCGAGTACAACCCTTACAGATATATAAATGTTACCATTACAATCCTGGTATATTCCCAGAAATTATCAAAATGTACAACATGCTGTAGACATTGTGAAGATTTCATATTAGATTTTTCATGGATACCTACTTACCCTCTCTGAGTGTATGTTCCAGATGAATGCGGATATCCGAATGAAAGGGTATATTATAATTTCAAACTTGAAAGTACTAGACCGAGAGGCGAGTGGCAAGAAAATTAAACAGTTTGGGAAACCGACGCATGGAATCCCTTCTTCATACAACATTAGGCGAGTGGACATTTTTTTTAGATTTCTTAAATAGAATCATCACTCAAATACCTTCTGACTTCATATTTTTTTAGAAATTTTCGGTCGATTTCAAGGTGCTAAAATCATCAATAATGACATGGTAATTTTCAAACGGTTAGAAATTTACCGCGAGTAAAAACGAGGTCACGATTTCGTAATTAGGGACGGAACATAGAACAGTTGCCATATGTTGAGATACGATTGGGAACTTCAGAAATATAAGTTATTCAATAATTCATGAATTCTCGATTATGTACTATGTATATTGAATATGCCCTCGGGTAAAGGTACGTATCCTTCTGAAAACGGATATGTACCTCTGCCCTTTTTCGGAGGTCCATTAGGGGGTCGTGTGGACCCTATATGTGCCGTCGGTTTATTATCAAATTATGTTATGCCTATATTGTAATTACATCAAATCATAATCTATTTGCATACAGAAATAGAGAGAGAGCGAGAGAAAGAGAGGGAGGGAGAAAGAAGAAATACGATAAAGATCATTTTTGTATGAATAATAATTATATTAATTCACACTAGAGGACATTCGAACAGGTAAACGTGTCAACATACGGAGCACGAATTGTGGGCGGAGTCTTGTCAGTTCATTCAGCACAATGTTGAAAAGTCTCCAAAATTCACATGATATTTTGTTATGGGGTATTAAGACATATTTGGACATGCTGATTGCTCGAAAATGTCAAGAATGAACTATAATATCATCACTTCCTCTTATTATGTTTTATTCAACGACAGGACTTCAACATCTTTTTGATAAATTGATTATAATTGATGTGTCAAGTCATCCTTGCTTCATGAGTGGGAATGGAAAATTATCTGACCAATAACGGCATAGCATGAAAACTAACGTCACTATTTATTCGACGTATCGTCAAATGGCGGCAATGACGGTACGTTTGAAATGAGCTCTGAAATTCAACGATTTTGAACAACGTATAGACTCATTATTTACATAAAAAATGCGTGAGAAGTGTTGCAAAAATTAAATTAGGTCCTCAACGACACAGTGGTGTGAGTGAATGCCAATAATTCATTATCAGTCCACTCGGCCATTTGCAAGCATCTCTATGGCACAGTGGTTGTGAATCCATGCGGCACGACGGCAGAACAAAGTACTTCGTATTATCCCCAATGGTGATAGATACTCTCGAGTGGCAGATTCCCACGAGAGATGTGGTAATTTTCCAAAGATCAGATAACTCATCATAAATACAGCCAACAAATTCTACAAATACCACCTCCCGGAAAGTGACCTTACCCGCACGATTACTCAAACAAGAGCACATCTTAACATCCATAAAAAACACGGGCTGATATATGCATCTACTGATGTTTTTACGGAGCCTGGCAATCTATAACAGGTTTTTCCCCAAAGTTCGGAGGTTTTCCGAGGTTTGGGGAAACAACAGGTAACATGAAAACACCGCTATCTCCCGAGCGCGAAAATAACATAGTGCCGCGCTATAGTACCAAACGTGATAAGCGGCACCAGAGATTATACAATAATCTCTGCCGGCACTGAAACTCGGCTGGGTATATCGGGTGGTCACAAAAAAAAAGGAAGTTATTATTTCCCTCGTAGTTTCATCATTCTTCAACCGAATTTGAATTTCTTGACGTCATTTTGTAGCTAAAGGGCTAAAGTATACAGTGCAATATTTGAATGGTGGAGCATCTCAAACATTTGTGATTTACTAAAACCGCTTGCGAATAAGAAAATCAGTTTTTTTTCAACCTGTACCGATGTTATTTCATAACATTCATTTCTGAAGAGAGAACATCGAAATCGAACAAATAGTCCAGGAGGTACACTCACTTTCTCGCAGTTTGCTATGGAATGAATGTGCTATTCTCGTAATAACGAATCAATATTTTGCTACTGGCTTCATCAAATTTCAATCGATTATGGATTTCTCAAAGCCATTTCAAAGATAAAAAGCTGTATTACACAGTGGAACATCAACATTTCTGATTTACAAAAACCGCTGGCGAATGGGAAAATGTTAATTCTTATTATGAGATTGGCACATTCAGTCCATAACACATTGCCAAAAAGAACGTGTATCTCCTGGAGTATTTGTTTAATTCAGATATTCGAGCGCTTATTTTTTCATTTTTCATGTTGTCAACAATGTGTATATACCTAATTCAACATTTTAAAAGACAGTTTTACCATACTTTCTTCATGACTTTGACGCGTCCCGTTACGAAATTTAGAAGACTGACTGTGTCCACATCATTTTTTAGTTAATACACCATAAAAAACCAATCGCTAACGAAACTGGCTGACTGGCGGCAGGCTATTACTATACATTCTGAATACTACAAAATATCGAAATTTCAGCCTTTAGAAAACTGTTGCATTGTTTGCCACTGACTTCTTCGTCTATACATTTGAGAACGTCGAAACCGCAAAACTTTATAGTCAGAGTTAATTGTGTCTTCCCGTCTTGAAACAACCGGGATGCAGACGAAGTTAATGTACCCTCAGTATCATCATTTGAAAGTCTGATAGATCAGTACCATGTTTTTCATTTCAAACATAGTCATTTCATTTTGAAATGCTCAGTTTTTGATTCAACAGTTTAATTGTTTTTTGAATCTATTGTAATATGATTGTTTTTCTGCTAGCTATTCATCTTATTATTGGTCTGTAATGACTTGATACCTATATATACTTGCTAAGCCTGGCAACCCTGTGCTGAAATATAGTTGTCTACTGTCAGTCATGTAAAAGTGAGTTGATGTCTCACGTTAGGCGCGTCGCCAGTCCATGAAGTAGTTTCAACTATGATAAAGTATGAATTGTCTTCTAGAACATCATTAAGAGAACCCTAAACAAGATAAGGGAATAATTATATTATACATAATATATGGAATATATTTTCTTCATGATCAACATAGCTCAGCTTCTATATATTGGGTAATGTTTTTTATCTCTCGGAGCGCACGAAAGGAAATTCCTATAATGTTCACCGATTATCGTGAGTATCTAGGGAGGATAGGGAGAGGAAGTAGGTATTGGATTTTTTCAAAGTGTTGTTCCACATATCTCGAGGTTGACAATGTAAAGTGTGCTGACTGAAATTCGAGCAATAAATGAGGCATAATAATACAAAAATAGGATTGAGCTTGAGAATATATTCTCCGATCATCTTCTTGAAAATATATGCTTTTATCATAAAACATCACACGTCTTACTGTGTTATAATTATTATTGAACATTCAGAATTATTATTGATACTTTTGCTGCTTCTGACTGTGCAGGTCAATTTCTTTCTGTTTTTTGTGTTTTATTACCCACTTCATTTACTGCTCCAATTTCGGAAACACCCTGTAATATATGTGAATATGAATTCAATGAACCTTCTGGGGATCTTCTCCATTTAGTATCAGCTCCCATCCACCCATCATAGGCATCAGAAGTGAGCTCGGAAATTTCTGAATTGATGGTTACATCAAACTCATCATTGGTTTGCTTCATATCATAGTCTTCTGGCATTGTTTTCTCTATTTCAATTTCACTACTGGCCGATCTCATTATCCTTGAATGGGGATCCAGCCTTTTGGCATGTTTTGGTGGTTTTGAAATGGATACTTCTTCAGGATCAAAGTCTTCTTGGAATTCAGAGACCAGAGGATTTCCTGTGTCAGTATCACTAAAATTCCAGTCCAGTGATTTTTCATTCTCAAAAATTGAATTTTTTTGAATAGGTATACTGGGTGACACAGGGTATCGGGCCACAGGGGTGCATTTGTAAACGGATTTTTCTGAAATTTGGTACTGTTATATAAATTGATCACATTATACAATCCCCAACTTGCCAGCAACTTTGTTTCTTCAAATGAAACACCCTGTATATTTTTACATATTCAAGTTCAACAGGTCAAAGCAAGTGCAATCTTTATGTCAAATGTAATTTTTTGAAAAAAATTTGAATTCGTATTGTTTTTTCATTTTATCTGGTGGATAAATGAGATGTGGCCAAGGCTATACAGGGTGTTAACAAATAAGTGTCACAACAGAAAACTGTAGATTCCTCATGAAAAAAAAAAAAAAATTATTTCCCTTTCGAAATTTTTCTCCGGGCTTCCGTTTTCCAGATACAGGGCGTCCAAATAATACAAAAAAATCTGTTTTTTGCTACTATCTTAGGAACCGTTAGAGCCACGGAGTTTAGCTTTCGTACACACTTCATCATCAATAATGACTACTTTTAGGGCTCTTGCTCTATTTCCTTGGACATGTCAGTGGAGGAGAATTCAACGCCTTGTAAGGGTTTAACCCCCCAAACATTTATGCCACTGGAGAAATTGTAATTTTCAAAGTACATTCTGAAGAGCCAATATCTTTCAAACAAAAAACGTCCTCTTGTCTCAATGCTCTAAAGTGAATAGTTTCTGCGAAAAATGGCTCTTTATGAATAAGAACATACAAAATCCTGATGGTATCTCCTAAAATCGTCTAAAAATCCACTGGAAATAAACACCTCAGAACTGTCTAAGAATATGTTCAATCAAATGTCAAGTTCTTGAGTATGCTGGTCTGGATGCTGGTTTTCAAATAGTCAAGTTTATTAGGTGTTGTAAAGTGTGTTGAATTAAACTGAACATTTTTTATTTTTTTATGCCCTGTATCTTGAAAAAGGAAGCCTGGAGGAAAATTTTGAAGAGGAAAGAAATGTTTCTTTTATTATGAGGAATCTACAGTTTTCCGTTGTGACACTTATTTGTTAACACCCTGTATAAGTGGCATATAACAGAGAAGAGAAACATAATTTTCTCACAATTAGTTGAAAAGTGTCAGAAATCTTGTTTTCCACAGCTCACTTAGTTGAAAAATTATTTGAACTGCAAGAAAATTTATACAACTTGTTATTGCACTGAAATACAAAAATTATGACATTATTTTCCTTAATATTTATGTTCTCTAGAGGGTCAAGTCAAATCAATTTTTGATCAAAATCTGGTGTGACTTAATTGATTCATCAATAAGTGATACAAAATAATATTTCTGAAAAATTCAGAGAAAATTCTCTGTTATGTGTGACTTATTGTCAATAGCCTTGACCACATCTCATTTATCCAGGAGGTAAAATGAAAAAATTAATTTTCAATATTTTCAAAAAAATTAGATTTAACATACATTTTGCACTTGTTTTGACCTGTTGAACTTGAATATGTGAAATATACAGGGTGTTCCATTTGAAAAAACATAGTTGCTGGCATTTCCAGAAAAACTGGGAGTCTGCCATATTGGATTGTAATATTATCAAATCTGAAATGGTTGCTTATATAACTGTACCAAATTTCAGAAATATCCGTTTATGAATGCAGAAGTTACAGGGGTGGCCCAATACCATGCTGTGTCACCTGTTATATCTCACAAAGGTGGACCAATTCATTACTATAAAATTCCTTAGTGCTACTTTGTTTCACTTATTGTTCTACTACTATTATACCTACTGAATCAAATTGATCAAGCTTTTCTACAGAAACACCAGAATAAAGATTAATGTACAAGATCAAAATGGTTACACACATCTTTTTATGATAAATCCTCAACTTGAGCATTTGCTTTGATTCTCCATTAATTTTTTCCTAACCTTTTTTCATTCTCATTATATCTCCTCATGTCCAATAGATGTCACCAACTATTGGCAAAACATTTCTGAGGCAGAAGAAATAATAAAGAACATTTATCTATCAGAAGGCTCCAGCAATATTTCCTCTCTACATGGGTAATTATGACATCATTGATTTTTCATCTACAGATGGCTTCATTTTGCCAAACAAACAATTTTAACTGAGTGATTGAGACCTAGTCAATAACATTGGAGAGATTGATGGAATTCACTGAGATGCTTGAAAAACTATGCTAATATACATTGCATTCCATTTGAGAAAACTGCCTTCAACTATCTTAATTTTTTAGGTGAACCTTGAACATGGGACAATTTAAGTTATAGACCTTGTTGTCTCATTCATATTCACTTTTGAATCATGTTTCTGATTATATGATTGGAGCAATCAGACTCTGTTGCATTATTGTCCTACCCTGTATTATACAGGGTTACTGGTAATTCAATGCATTCCTCTGGAGATGTGATAGAGGAGATGATAAGGAGTGAATGGTTCAAAAGTTAGTTCCAAAAATCTGATCTACATTCTGTCAACCATTCAACTAGAATACATGATCAACACTATGGTCTTATATTTGGAATGAAAAAATTCCAGAAATAGTTTTGATCAAAGATAAATTGTGATCACAGTTATTTTTGTTAGTGAATAAATAAACAAATGAACAGAAAAATGTAAATATCTCAAAAACTATTTACTTTTGCATATTGCATATTAGGGTTAAATTCACTCTCTACCACCTCCCCTATCTCATCTCCAAAGGAATGTATCAAATTACCAATAATCCTGTATAATCAATATTACAAAGTGGAAAAAAAGAGTTGCAAAAATTCACTCACGATTCAGAATGATCATCATCTTTTGCATTGTTCTGGTTATTGAATTGCACATCATCCAAAAATCCAGTAAGTTGTCCTCCATCAGGAATGAATTCCTCAACAGATGTTATAGGACTGACTTGCAACCTCCTCAAGTCTGGCACACCATCAGTGACATTTGTAGTGCCCCCCAGCTTTGACACAAATCCAGAACTCATGCTGGAACTCTTTGAAATCTGAGTACCAGGAGTTTCTTTTTTGACAGTGAGGGCTGTATTACCATAAGGAATAGGCTTTCCTCCCCCAATTATAATAGATGCACTCTGTGATCTTTTGATGTCAGATTGTCCAGCAGCAAGCTGCAATTTCACCTGGGGTCCAGGAATATTAGCATTAGAATCTGCCACTTCTCTACGTTTCTTCACCAGACCTTCTAAAAATTTGTTGTAGTTGGCTTCATCAGATTCACAGAAGATATCTAGTTCTTGTATTGTGGTATTAGTTTCAAATTCATTGCGTTCTAATTGTCTTAGAAGGGTTTCCCTTTGGAGCTGAAGAAAGGGCAGGTTGAAGAATTTATGGAGGAGTTTTAGCCCAAAACCATTCCTCATTGAAGATTCTGAGTGGCGTACTTGAGCAGATCGGCTTCTAGGAACATAAAATTAGAAACTACAATGAAGGATTGAAAGAATACTAATAAGTTACCCAGCAATAGATTCTATGTAATAATTGATATGATCTGGAGTAACAGTCCTATGATGTGACATATCACAGTGATTTGATAAAATGATGACAGGAATGTGTTCTGGGACTTTGGGAAGTTCTCTCTGAACATAATCAAAAGTCCATGTTTTTGTTAGATCAAGTATCATTATGACTCCATTAGTGCCTTTATAGACATCTAAAAATTCAGCATCTAGAGCATGTTCTTCAGACACTTCTTGTTGGGTGTTATCCAATTTCAACCCCTCAAAATGCTTCTTTTTTCTTCCTTTATCAACTACATCCCATACTTCTACTTTGACAATATCATCTGTAGCTTTATAGTTCCACTGAATGGATGTTACCTGAATTTCATCAGTGGGTATATACTCTTCAACAAATTTTTTACCTTGCAATCTGTGGAACAAGCATGTCTTACCTACATTTCTGTCCCCCTTTATTACAATTTTCACTGCAAAAATATCAATGTCATGATTTATTTACATGGCATACAATAGGACTACTCACTGTTATACTGAACTCCCCTTGCAAATTTTTTTTGCAAAGTTGTTGACATTGTCTGATGGCTAGGTGGTCGACTACCATTGTTGGAACAATTAGGGTTGCTATCACCTTTACCTTTGCCAAATCTTTTAATAGCAGAAAACATGTTTCTTTCGAGTCCTCATAAGTTCTACCAAGAACCTAATAATACTTTACTGTAAACAGTAATATGGAATATGGGTTTCTACTTTCACAGGTTCTAGTTGGCATATGGAAACATTCTGGAGAACTGAAGAACGTAAACCACATTCAGCAATTATTGTTTTAATTTCAATTTCGTTATTCATGCATGTAATCACTACTCTCGATTAGTCATTATATCATGTAAATTTGAATGAAGTATTAACGTGATAGTAACATCAAAAAATGATCAAAACAATGTTATGTTGATAAATGATAATCGAAATGATGGATGATCATCGCCACCATAATCATGTCAATCATGACATTGACACTAATGAATGACAGTGACAATGATTGACTGTGACATTGTCTCAACGTTGACAATGTTGATTCGTATTTCTGGTTCCATCATTTCCATTCTATTCCATGTCCATGTGGTTTCATCGTTCCATGTCATTTCCAGCTGTGCCTAATGTGAAATGACTGAAATGTGAATAATAAACGAATAATAATAAATAATAATTGGATTATTTGATCTATTCTGAAATAATTCTGAATTATTGTCCCATAAGTAATACCAAGTGCTTTTTGAAATACTAAAGTAATAATAATAGGCACTGATACACGTACGGGTAAGTTTTTTATATGTTCTACATTGAACCTATACTTGCATGTCACCATGTACCTAGAAAATATACTACTTCCTATTCGGATTATGGCAATGTATTCAGGGTGATTCAACTCTCTTATACAATCATAAATCAGCTTCTCTGGAGTCTACTGATTATTATGCATAATTCCTTCCTTGACATTCCTATCAAGGAATATTATGTACCTAATCTTAACCTAATGAATTTAGTTGTCCATGTTGATTGTCAGGTTCACATTCTGAGTGTACCTGCATGTATTTATGAATATTAATCCACCTAAAGCAAGAGGTACCATAATAAGATACTTACTGAGGTAGCAACCATGTCAGAGATTTATTGTACATAGTGTGTACTCAATCACTACTCATAATGTACATAGTAAATACACTCCAAAGGAATCCTAGTTTCCTAGTTACATCTACAATAACCTACCTCAATAAATAAAGAAAACATGGGCGCCGGGAGCTGAGTGCAAGGGGGTGCACTGTGAACTTGTACCCCTGACACCAGAGGGAGAAGAAAATACATAGAGAAGATTAGAAATTTGTTTAATTAAGTTACTGTTTGAATGAAAACTTGGAAGGTCTTGGTTATTGTACATTTTTGCACTAGAATATTCTAGTGACAATTCCACATGAATTATCTGGGGAAGTTCTAGTTTATAGTACATTTTTACACTAGAATATTCTAGTGACAATTTCACATATTATCTGGATGCATTTTCCTTCATTTTGAAGGTAAATTCATATATAGATATGACTTCTATACCACAGAAACTAGACCGCCGCTGATGAATATCCATGTGACATCTAGTTATACAGGGAGACCCTTGGGGAGAACTTGATGCTTGATGAAAAAATTATTGGATTTTTTTTAGATAAAAAAAAAATCATGTAAAAATGTGAGATTTTCCTATATATCTGAGGAGAAATATTTTTCATTGCCGTGCTATTTTCAGAGATAATCTCTTGGCTCATCTCAACTCATATAGTGTTGAATGACAAGAATGTTTCTAGAGATTCCAGAATAAACGGGAAAAATTGAGATACAGGGTGATATATCAAGATCAATGGAAGTTGTATATTCAGAGAAGATATACCCCACAAGGCCATTGACCTTTGTCTCTGCCAAAGTATTATTGAATTCATGTTCTTATTTTCATTCCAATCACAAATAAATTAGTACCAACAGAATCGTCATTTTTCAAAAAGTGCTTTCCAAAAAATGGTTTGCCATTTGAAAAATAATAGTTAGACATGGAAATGTAATTTTGTCACCTTATCTCGCCTTGTCTTCTTCCCATCTATCATACTAGTCACTGAAACTTTGGGATTATAATTTTCTGACTTTAAAAAAATTTGGTAGACGTAAAACCTTCTGAAAATGACATATTCTGGTCCAGAATTGTCTCAGAAATTAAACAATGTTATAATATACAGAGTGTTTCAATAAAAAATTCAAATCTGGAGCCATTTCCGGGAAGTGAAAAATATGCTAAAACTTTCCTCTTCACATCAAATTTCATCTTGATACACCGGATATTCTAGAAGTTATTGCTTGTCTAATTGATTCGTTGACACCCTGTATATTCTATGGAGTAATTCAGGGTGTACCTATGGAAGAAATAAACCTTTAGATTAATGGAAATTATAGGGCTGTCAATTCATCTGATTGCTCCAAGTTTGCTGTGGTGATGATTTCATGAAAAAAAAAAATGACAAAAAAAATCAAGTTTCAATTTTTGAAAGTTGATTGAAAATTTCTCCAGATTTTAAATCGGGATATCGAATTCACTACTGCTACAACTTTTCCTTGATATTTTTTCACCCAAATTATTTTGCTCAAGAACAATATCTCAATTTCAGAATCTTACCTTGATAAATTAAATTTTCCAGAAAAAAGTTGTATTGCTATTGAATGTGATTGCCGATTCGGAATCCGAAGAAACAAACTGTTGTATATAGGTATATAAAAAATTGAATTTGATCTGAATCAGAAAAAGTATTGTCCTTTTGTGGTTTATACATATCATTAGTACCTATATGTAAATTTATTACTCATTTCGTAGATTTAATTTAAACAGAGCGTGCCAAATATCATGCAATTTATTAGTGTACATGATTAACTAAAGATTAATAATAATATAAGTAATAATAATACTCATTGAGTGTCAACATATTTTTCAGTAGTTAAAGAAACGTTTCAGTAGATCAATATGCAAATTTGGAGATCTACTGAAAATTCAGTTGAACTGGCAACCTTGCAGGGTACGAAAAGTGTTTGCGGACTTACAGTACTTCCCTTCGGAAATAGTCGGTTTCTCGTTCGGAAATTAGAACGTAAAAACTGATTTTTTGTAGAGGTCCAGTCGGGTCCAGTAAAAATTAGTTATCAGGTCCTGAAGATATCAGATGGCCCATATGAATGTCTAATAATAAATGATTCCAGATAGAATATACATTCAACTGATTGCGCCTTTGATAATATGTGTTTCAAAAAAATACACAGGTTGATTCAAAAAGCTTTTCATGTATAATTTCAATTCACATGGAGGTTTACATGTTAATAAACGAATACCACAACACTGCACTTTATGAACGCTGGCGAACGTGAATTATTGTCAACTAGAAATGTCTTGTTTATTGTTTTCAAAGTATCATTTTTACCCACCAAAGTTTTCAAACTTCCGAACATTTTCGAAAGGTAATGAAATGAGAAAAATTCAGCCAGTCCCCGTAATTCAATTATATTAAAATCTTGAAGATGTGAAGGAATAGAGAAAGTGAAATTATTTATTGCTGACTTGATTCTTTTCAGTATGGCTGCCATCAAGATGGAGAATGAAGATAAGTTGAAACGTCTTATTTATTTATGTAATATAGAACCAAAATACTACTGTGGAGGCCCTGATAAGTATGTGAAAGTTTCGAAATCTAAATGGGACTTACTTATTGAAATGCTTAGAGATAACCACGAAGAATTGTTGAAAATAATATTGGCAGCTAGTGAAGATAAGCTTGTACCATATCGTTCATACATATTAAAGATTTTGGCGTATGCAATCAAAATGGAAACTGCCACAAAAGAAATCAAGCCTCAAATATGTTCTACAGCACTTAACATCTGTAAATCAGACAAAGAATTCTTTGATTTCATTAAATATGCCACATCATTTAACAGGAGTAAAATTTCAAAGACAGTAAGGAAAACTGTTCAGAATTTTTACAAAAATAAGACGGCCTTTGAGTTGGCTCAATCTTATGCTAATAGCAGGAGTTTTCATGGGTGGTCTCACAAAGATCTAATCAAGTTAGCTCACATAAAAGCTGAAAATCCTGGTGAGTTTTTACCCCTGACATGATATCTAAACCACTATATGTCATATCCCAGCAACCCTAAAATCTCATCCAACTTGCTCGCCTGAAATTGCTTCTGCTCAAAGCGCAGGAACTCCCAAACGGTCGTTCATGACATGGAGTCATGTATCTTATACATAAGTAAGAGTGAGTAAGATATATGACAGGTCCTGATTGAGCACTATAAATTAAATCCAAGTTCGGTCCCATGAATGAATTCAGTTTCAGTTTATTCAGCAGTAGATTAGTATACATATGTAACATTTTTTTAATTCGATTTGTATACAGGGTGGCCTACGGTCGATGGTACCTTAGACGTATACGGAAAACGGTACATTGGATTATCCTGAAAATTTGGTTACTCTAATAAGCGTTTGTGATCTAACGATTCAAAATATTTTCAGCGAAGCAGCGTTGCCACTTTTACCAAAAAGTAGCATCATCTTTGTTATTTCAAGTGGAACACCCTGAATTTTATTGCGTTTTTAGATTCTTCTCGAAGAGCTGATTTCATCAATGCATCACACTTGGGGTCTAGCAGGAATTATTACAGAGATATAGGGTGTTCAAAATCGAGATGTTTCAACTTTAGTATTTTTTTGTGTCGAAACTATTCATCATTGGTCAAAACGGCTAACATTGAACCTTAATGACCCGAATTCCCTACTCTATGGTTTTCAGACAGCCACCACAAAAATAATAATTGATTCCATGTTGCCTATAAATTACTAATATACAGACACTGACTAACTATAAACGCCTCAAGCCATATTGCCGTTATTCATTATCCGATTCTGATGAGCAAAATAACAAAGGACATTATTTTTCAAATACTACTGGAAGCACTAATAATTATTAGTTTCCACAATTTCTTTTGTCAGCGACAGTCCCTTTTCCGGATGGAAGTATTTATTTCTGGTGGAAATATTTTCGAATTACGCGATGTACAAGTTTGCTTTTACGAATCATTAATGAAGACAAAAGAACGCTCCGCCGACAATAAAATGGACTTTTTAAACATTTTCATCATGAAGTGTGGCAGTGAATGGCTTTGAATCAACTCACGGAATGCCACGGTATTTCAAGTGCTGTGAAAACAAAGTTTTGTTGAAGAATACTGTTTAATTGAAAACAGATGTCTTCAAATGTATCATCTAAGAAAATATATTATTTAAATAACAATGATTTGTGACACTATTTTGAATTTGGTATGCATTATGATAAACATGAAACTCCCATGTGTCATAATTCCATATTGACTTGGTTTTAGTTAAAAATATGGTGATAAACTACATATTGTTTCAAAAACTCAATGAAAAAAGTAATGACGAGGAAACAGCAATAATTGATGTTATGCAGAAAGCAGAAACTTTAAGAAAAACCAGAGATCATAAGGTTGCAGTCCCTATAATAAAAGAGCTGAAAGCAACAATTGAGCATGTTGAACCAAGTCTTCGTAAATCTGCTGAAGTAAGTATGCTATGAATGTTGTGCAACAAAAATCTGCCAAGGTTCTACAACTAGTGCATGATTTTTTTATTTTCTACGAAAATTCGTTTTTTTGGCAAAAATATGAAAGCAAACCGATTGATGAAATCACGAGTCCATCAGGATATTCATCTTTTATAATAAGAGTGCACGATTTTTCTATTTTCAACTTAAATTTGTTTATTTGGCAAAAATATTCGGTTTGTTTGAATGCTTTTGCTTCAATTAGAGAAGTTTCAGTGATGTAAAAAATTATCTGATGAAATTTGAAGAATGAGTTGTATCTGGAAAGATTACTTCATCACTATGTTAAATGACAATTGAAAAAGTTCACATTTTATTTTCTCGGGAAATTGAAAAGTGATCCATTTGTTACACATATAAGATAAAGGAAAAAGAAATCAAGATATAATAAGCAGGAAAATCTATTTATAATTTTGACAGTTCTATATGTCCACAAGATTTTATCATGACATGTATCATAAGTGATACTATTTAGCTAGAAATATTCGGCAATTGTTAGGACACCTTATTGTAACCAACTTTTTTCGTGAATGACGAACCGTAGGCGAGTAGTAGTTCAGTCGAACCGCAACTCAGATGGGGTCATGGATACAAAAGGTCGGGTAGTTTGAATGGTGGGACATTTACTGTTCTTCAAAAAAGGACTGATTTATTTTTATCATCAAACCAGTCCTTCATGCTGAAACTTAAAAAATTTCGCGGTTTTTCGGCGCTGGTGGCACTTCCGGCCCATTGTCGAGGTCGAAAACTTTGGCTTTCCATCAGTACCTCTATAGATAAAACAAACCTAAAAATCAGAACTACCCGACCTTTCGCATCCATGAATGTACAGATCCATTGGACTATAGTTTGAATCAATGTCACGAATGAAATTGAAGCAGAAAGCTGGAGTATTTCAATCGACGAATATTTCCAGGAAAAATAGTACCACGAGTTGTATTCGTATGATTATTTCAGGATTATACAATAAATGATAATAATAGAGAAACCCGTGCCGTCACATGAGATTCAGTGGGAATCTACTAATGGGGGCTGAAATCGTTCGATTTTTTTTGTTTTTCTTCTTGCTACGATGAGTGTTATAAGCAGTGATCAAACCTTTTTGACAGCTTAGTGAGCCGTGGGTTCAAGTTTGTTCAAGGTTTTCTAGGTTCGACTTTTAATTTGATAATATTTTGTAGGTGTGGAACAGTGTATTACCTAATATGTCATTATCTGAGATATTACAAGTGTTACCAAAACTTTACAAGCTAGGATTTTTGAAAAAAGATGCTCCTACACAAACGATAGTTAACGAATCTTTGACGAATGTCGCTAAAGTTAAAGACAGTGGAATTCATCCAATAGAAGTTTTCATTCATATGAAAAATTTCGAGAAAGGAGGAAAGTGAGTAGAAAGTTTTGTTTCATATTAAGTTCTTGGTTCGAAATTTCCTCTGTACAATAGATTCATTTGACATTGTTTATATAGGTCTTGTGCACATTTGACAGATGACCGACTCTGGAGGTAAAATAACCTCCACTTTTCTTATTTTGGCATATTTATTTATTCAAGCATGATGTTATGCGCAGAAAAGACGAATTCAAGATAGAGTAGCACACCATTTTATATTTCCACTATGGTTTTGATTGGTCAAAAAATTTGTCCATACCAAAAGTAATGGTTATTTGAATTCTTGGTCTAATTCACATATGACAGTGACAGCTCAAGTATGATTTTTGTTTTGTGTTGTGACATTTTCAGAATTAATAATAACCAAATTATTCCAAACATTTTTCATACTTCAAAAATTGCTTTCAGCTGTAATGAGTAATGAGATTAGTAATTTCAACTATATAATATGGTTTTCACAATGTTTCATTTTTATTGGTTGCATGTACGCATCGGTATCTATGTTTTTACTTATATTATTGCATATCTTCGACACTATTGACAGTGTTATCTACCTTGGTAGAATTTGTATATCAATTTATCAGAATTTACCTAGGTTTAAAAAGTATTATTTCTCATTAGAGAATATCCTCGAATAATACTGATTTCTCAGGTTAGTGGTGGAAAAAAACTTATTCCTTAGACTCTCGCTGCATTTTTGCGTTATACAACAGCACAATGTGTTGGCATGCTTGAATAAATGAATATGCCAAGAAACACGATTCCTATGCCAAAATAATTGTTAAACACTATTTCAATCATATGATTACTATGTAAACAAATAATAAGAGTGAGGTTATTTTACCTCCAGGGTCGGTCTGGGAAATGAATTGACTCGATTCGGTCTGGCCCATGTCTGGTCGGTCTAAGCCGACCGTACCGATTCAGTACACGGCGATGTCGACCGATCCGAATCGACTCTGATCGGAATGGTCGGCACGTCAACTTATACCGCGCACTGTATCAGCACTATCGACACATTCAGCATGTCTTCAGAGCAGTCCAGCAGCTATGTAGTACAAAAAAATTTTTATGCCAGAGAAAATGAGTTCAACTGAGTCCTAAAAGGATATTAGGATACATGCGGAGAAATAGAAAAACGGAAACCAAGGTTCTGATCCTTAACATCAACCTCAGAAGAGAAACCTATGGAACTTATATGAATGTTGTACTAGTAGTACCTTCTTTTGGGGATCATACAACTTGATAAATTCCCGCACATTTTCAATCAACAGTTCGTCCGAGATAAATTTGAATTTGCAGCTTCGTTCACAGTTCATATATCCCTTTGTCTCAAAAACCGTACAAGCAGTGAGAGCAATCGGCACTATCGGCAGTTTTTGCCCCTTCAAGAATTCTCTGCCGATGCCGAGACGATCTGGCCGATCTAAGCCGACCGAACCTCTATCCGAGTCGATTCAGTGCGCGTTCTCCTTAATAAACTAGCTAGTCATGTTCACTTCAAGACAAGGATAGAGAAGCCATATCTATATTTCTCTATTGCTTTGAGTTGGTACCTAATTTTGTGGAAATATAATGACATGATTTTTTTTTCAATTCTTAATGACTATTATATTTCGGAAGCATTTTAACTTGGTAATATTAATGAAGAGTCCAAATTGGCTTATTGAAATATTGTTGAGGTAACATATCATGTCATGGTGATTGAAAAAATTATTCCTTATTCTTCAGACCTCTAGACCCAAAATTGCTGCAACATCTAACGGTAGAAAAGAAACTCACAGATGATGAACTCCAGAAAGTTAAAACACGAAATGAGGCAAAATGTCCCATTGTCCTCAATAATCTGCAGAAATGCATGAACATTTCTTGTAGTAATGTGCAAGGTATTGGGAAGAGATATTTCGTCACTATCGATACAACAGATAAAATGGACACTCCGTGTTTGTCAAACAAAAATATCACCGGAGTGGAGGCGGCAGCTGCATTTGCTTGGTACTTGTTGAAAGTAGAGAAGGACGTTACTGTGGCAGTTTTCAAGGAAAAGGAAATCTCAGTGGTTCAACTAGACAAGAGTGAGTATTTATTATACAGTGCGGACAGGAGTTTTGAATAAATTTCAGCAGTTTCAGAACATGGGTATTCTTCGATTTTGTTTTTGAACTTTTGAACCGAAGTGTGTGGCTGCAGAATTTTCGTTTTCGCTAGCCACACACCACACCCTTCGGTTTTGCGTCATTTTTGTTCGAACATACTTGTTTGACGAACAAAACAGCCCACCATCAACGCAGTCTATACGCTCCTTTACGGGATTCAGCAAGGCAGCAAGCGAACGAATCTAGGCGTCTGACTTCGTATTTCCTATGGAGTCCCAGTGAAATAGAGATGGGAGCGGGAAGCAGGCGCCACGATATCCTCGCGTATTAGATAATAATATATGCTCACATCTCATGTATGATTTGATGAGCGAGCAGGATGAGCGATTTATTAGAATTAGCCAAAGGTGGCTCTGGCTATTTCATCCTTAGAATGTTGGTGTTATCAATGAAGTGACATGAAATGAGTAAATGTAGCGATTGCTAAATATCATTTCATCATTCACATCATAAGTTGAATGAGGTTGTCCTCTTTTTTGACAGTTGTAGGAAACATATTGTATTTAACACGTGCGTACAGTGTTTTATCACTCATAGGAATTTCTTACTTGTAAAGAAAGTACCACTTAACACACTTGTTACATAAATAACTGTTGATATGTCAAGAATAATTTCTCAGAAATTATTCAGAAAACAAGACTTTCATGATTATTCAACAAGAAATACCAAATCACTTAGTGATCAACCATTGAACTGCCACTACTTATATTTTGACGACATTTGTGTTTCCGAAGTTTTATGGATTGATAATATGAAATTGCATATTATTTTCTTTATTATTAAAGTACAATTTTTATAGAACTCAAGTTTTGATGCCGAGGTAATCATTTATTTTTGATTCCAGAGGGACACCTTTATGAACATGTTCAGAAATTAAGAGAAAACAAAAACAAGTATTTGCTGCTCTCAGCACCAATTGAGTGGGCTACATCTCATAAAAAGCATGTTGACATTTTCATGAATTTCGTTCATCATAAAGAATATTATACCACCATTCCAAAAGATGTGAGAGAGAAAATGACGAAACCGGCCGATGCTCTTCAGAAATACAAGAAAAAAGTCAATCTTCAAAACACAAGGTAAGTTATTTCATTTCTTTGAAGGGGCAAAAAAGTTCACTTTTTCAGGCAAGCTTGAACCATTGACATAAAATATATTTTGAAGGCCAATGTTTCAATAGGTTTAAAAATGATATGAATATTGACAATTGAATCATAACATAGGCGACTGGATTGGTATTGAGTTGTTCTCATTCAATAGTTGCACTGGGTAGTTATAGACATGAAAATATATTTCATCTCAATCAAATGTGTTTTTCTCTAAAAAAAAGTAGGCATCGGGAAAATTTCGGGTACAACGAAAGCATCTAGTCCTAGTGGTATAGATTCTGGGGTCAGATTACGAGTTTTGTCTTACAAAAGGATTCTGAATAGGTGTTTTTGATTTTTTTAACCATTCTTCTGATATACGCATACTTGCCAATTGCTAATAGGACGCACCGTTTTCTATAAAAACAAATGCACAACAAGTTACAAAAGATGAGCGTTGTCACCAATTATAGATAACTGAGTCTCCTACAGTGTGAATTGAAGCTATCATTTTATACCTGAAGGAAGGCAATATTGAGTTGTCATTAGAGACAGAATGTTATCGAGGACACTTACCTAAAATATGATAATTTCTATCATGATTTTAAGACTTGTAATGCAATTGGTATAAACGATTATTTAGCAATGGCAGATTGGAGTGCCCTATATAATACTAGGGACATTAATACAGCAGTTCACATATTTTATGACATAATTTACAATGCAATCGACTTATATGTACCTATAAAAACATTCAAATCATCAAACTTCCCAGTGTGGTTTACACCTGAACTAAAAAATCTTATATTCAAGAAAAAGATTGCTCATAAGAAATATAAAGATAGAAACTCATTTGATTATTATCAAGAATTCTGTACACTTCGTGCACAATGTAAAACATTAAATGAACAATGTTACCTCAGTTATCTGAGTTATACAGAAAGGAATATTCAAAATGACTCTAACAGTTTTTGGAAGTATATGAATAATTTACGTAAATCTAGTTCTTACCCAAACACTATGCATCTCAATAATACTACTTGTACAAATGGCTCTGATATCATAAATCTTTTTGCTGAATATTTCTCAACTGTCTATTCTGATAAGGATAGTAATGTGCCTACATTTCAAAACAAAAATCTAGTTGACATCAATACTCTCCATTTAAGCTTAATTGAGGTTTTTGAGGGTATTCAGAGTTTGAAGAATAAGTATTCCAGTGGCCCTGATGGTATCCCTCCAGTACTATTAAAAATATGTAATTGTACATTAGCTAATCCCATTCTATATTTATTTAACTTATCTCTGGATTCTTGTAATTTTCCAGATTTCTGGAAAAACAGTTTTGTCACCCCAATTTTTAAGTCAGGGGATCGTGAATCCATCAAAAATTACCGAGGTATTTGTATACAGTCTACTTTGCCAAAACTATTAGATAAACTCGTCACTGCCAAATTAACATGGTCCTGCAAGAATATTATAATACCTCAGCAACATGGTTTTTGTTCAGGAAGATCAACGGTAACCAACTTGCTGTCTTATCAGACATTTCTGTTACATGCCTTGGAGAAGGGTGAGCAAGTTGACGCAATTTACACAGACTTCTCCAAGGCATTTGATAGAGTGGACCACAAGATACTTTTAGAGAAACTTCACTCCCTTGGCTTTGCGGATAATATTGTGAAATGGCTGCGCTGCTTCCTCACTGGCCGCTCTCAAAGAGTTAAAATCAACAATTATATATCTAACGAAATTATGGTTACTTCGGGTGTCCCTCAGGGCTCTCACTGTGGACCTTTACTCTTCAATTTATTCATAAATGATATCTCTGATGTAATCAAAAGTGCAAACTTTTTATTATTTGCTGATGACTTGAAGTTGTTTCTCGTTGTTGATGATATCCTAGACAGTCAAACTCTTCAAAACGACCTTGATAACCTTCATTTATGGTGCGTTCAAAACAGTCTTGCTTTAAATACTGATAAATGTTTTACAATATCGTTCTCCCGCTCATTTAATGCTTCCTCATATAACTACAATATTAACAATACGATCCTTGAAAAAGTAACTGAAATTAAAGATCTTGGAATCATCTTTGATGAGCGTCTCACCTTCAAGAGTCAACTACTGAAAGTATCAGCATCTGCTAATAAAATGGTAGGTTTTCTAATGCGTAATACAAAACATTTTTCTTGTAACACAGTTAATACTTTATACTGCTCTCTTGTACGTTCCTTATTAGACTATGGTTGCATAATCTGGTCGCCACATTATAACTGTGATATCACACTAATTGAACAAGTCCAAATGAGATTTGCCAAGCACATTTCTTATAAAATGGGAACTTACAACAATTTCAATTATACAGATACTCTCAATGCCCTCAACTTAACCAACCTATCTATCAGACGCTTTCGGCTCGATAGTATCACCATGTTCAAGATTATCTCAGGTGTGATTGATTGTTGCGATCTTCTCAATATGATAAACTTCAATGTTCCATCATATTTCACTAGAAACACTGATCTTTTTACTATAAAAACTCATAGAACTAATTATGGGTTCTTCAGCCCATTATCACGTATTTTGCGTAATTTCAACATATTAAACATTGATCCATTTGTCCATTCCTTAACTGATTTTAAAAATAAAATTTGTATAGTTGATCCTGGCTCGATCCACAATTAATCTATACTTTAGTGTTAATTTCTAAAGGTTGGTTAATACAGGAATTTTGTTTTGTATCCTTCAAACCAAACCATATAGTTCAAATTTGAAATTTCAATCAATATCAATGCTATATTATTGTTCTTATGCCATCTTGTCAATCTGTAATAATTAACTATTGTAATGGTGAATCCGTTTATTAAATAAATAAATAAATAAAAATAAATAAAGCTACCATCTGTCCACATGGCACTATGTCATTCCATCATTAGAACCATTTTTCAGACAATCCTATCGTCATTGAAGATGTTATCAGAATTCCTCTTGAAGCTGTGACTTCATTCATTGTTTCAAGAACTTGAAAGGACTGTAAAATATATCGAGACATATTAAATCCAAAAACATAAGTCTGAAGATTCTCAATGACAAAAAATTAACAAAAATCAATCCATTCATTAATTATCTCAATCCCATATAAGAAAAACTGAAATGAGGATATCATTACTGCTTTCATTCATATGGGACAAATATTTTTTAGATTGATCAATTTTTGCCTGTCATCTCCCCACATTGAAGCTGCAGATGGTTCTGCGAATATTCTGGATATTGCTGGACTTGACTGTGCTGTGCCTAGAGTTGTAGAATCTTTTTGTCACAATAGATTTTGCTAGGTAATTTTTCATACCTTCATCAGCAACCTATTATATTTTTGCTATTTGTAGACAGTTATGACAGTAAATGGTTGTTCTTGATTGAAAAAAATCAATCACTCCAAGTTAACTCTATGGAAAGTCAGTTGGAACAACATTGCAACAGCGGGCCGTCGGTCCCTTTGAAAGTTCAAAGAGAACGACAGCGCAGCCCGACATTACTTTGATGATCTGTTTCAACTGACTCTGTATATACTATAAGTTCCATTTATTTTCATGAATAATAAAGATTGTTGCACTATCCAAGAAAAATGGGAAATCAAACAGGATTTCTTTCAGATTTTTTTTTATGGACAAATTTATCCAATGTGCTCCAAACTGTGACACTCAGTTTTAACACATCAGTGATTTCATTACTAGGTTACTAACTCATTAGCCTCGATAATGATAATTTCATAAAATATCACTGGTACAAGGTGGGCCAAAAGAAGTCATTCGATGTTGTTTGGCTCTCATTTTTTTTTCTAAATGAAAAGCTTCGATTCTGTTTATTGATTATTTTTATTTCAAGCTTTAGAATTTTATTGGTCAAGTCGAGATGATGATATAGGGGCTCGTTTTATACATTTTTCATCACTTCGGCGAGAACTTCGGGCGGCAGATTGTCGCACTCGTGTCGAATGTTGTGCTTGACGGCTTCCAGGGTCTCGGGCTTGTTCACGTAAACACGGAACTTCAAAAACAAACACCAAAAAGGTCTGGAACGGTTAAATCGGAAGATCTTGCGGGCCAGTGCAAATCGCCAAAACGAGAGATGAGGCGATCCGGGAACGCCGCTTTCATAATATCGGTTATGGCTCGCACCGTCCACTGTTGTCGTTTGAACAGCGGCGTCGTAAAAAAATGGCCCAATGACTCCTCCAGAGTGAACAGCGCACCATTTAGTCACTTTGAGCGGGTGTAATGGCTCCTTGTGCATCACTCATAGATTTTTGGTGCCCCAGAAGCGATAGTTCTGCTTTTCCACGTCCCCGCTGAGGTAGAAATGAGCCTCGTCGCTCAGGATGATTTTGGTCGAAAAATCGTCCACGAGATTGAGAATGGCTTGGCTTGGATTATTCCGCGTTCTTGGGGAGTGTACCGCTCCATGGCTTGTTCACTTGTATTCTACATCTGTCTAGTTCACGAATATCAAAACAGATTTGAAATTGACCGCCATTTGCTAGTAGCAAGAGCTACTTCCAATAGGGTGATTTCTTTTGGCCCACCAAGTATATGTAGAAGGAGAAGTTGAAACAAATTGACAATATCATTTCATCTATTCTTTTTGAGAATAATGGGTTGCTGAATAATTATAAAATCATTAACTTTTGTGTCCAGTCCGAATTGAACGAGCTCAAAAATATCTGTTGTGATACTTCACAAAACAATTTTTGAATAATTTATCAGTTAATAGATTACTTATTAATTTATTACTTATAATACTTACATATGTTATTATACAGACTGTTATAAATTCATTTCTGACTAAGGGTTCTCAGAAACGGGGTAGGATATAGATACATCATTAGTTGAATGATTGTAAAGTTTCAAATTCAGGTGGCCTGCAAAGATTCTCAAGTTGATTCTCCATTCGGAAATTAGTCATTTTTTGTAGAGGTCGACGAGAAAATGCAGTATGCATCGCGGCGAAAAACTGTCTATTGTCTCGCCGGTTACCAATTTGCAGGCTTGACTATAATAGACAGTTTTTCGTCCTTGGTACATGAATAACTAAAGTGCTCAAAGAAACAAGTGGACCACTGAAATTATTTGACAATCCTCAAACTGCCATATCTTTTTAGAAAATGAATGGATTTTCAATCGGAATGCAGTGCTTGGAAGATGCAATCTTCCTGTTCAAGATTCCTCGTTCAAAACTCGTCGGAACGTAAAACTCGTCGGAACGTTTTTTGTCATTATACACCAAGTGCTCGAAAAAAGTATCACAAATATGAAAAAATTCAAACGCTTCCGTATTTCAAGGATTTTTTTTACATTTTTACTCTGAACATTTCTAGAAACAAATTAATTCTTCTTCTGTTGAAGTTGTAGATGATTTCAAGGCAAAATACGTTGGATGTGGCTCGCATGATTTTAAAATCGGAAATGATGCGATAAAAACCTAAAAATGAAAAATCATCGATTTTCAACATCCTGTATGAGGAATATGGAAAATTACAAAACCGTTTCGAGATATTGGCTTGAACGTTCGGGAAAAACGCTTGATAGAAAAATAAAAAAAATTCCCTGGAATACGGAAGCGTTTGAATTTTTTCATTTTTGTAATACTTTTTTCGAACACTTGGTGTATAGTAACAGAAAAACTCCTGATGAGTGACTAAGGATTCTTGAACAGAAAGATCGCATCTTCCAAGCACTGCATTCCGATTGAAAAACCATTCATTTTTCAAAAAGTTATGACAGTTTGAAAATTGTCGAACATTTCAGTGGTCCACTTGTTTCTTTGAGCACTTTATTTTCTTTGACCTCCACAAAAAAATAACATTTTACGTAAGTACTTATTTCCGGATAAAAAAATCGACTAATTTTGAAGGCAAATATTTTTCGTCTGCAGACACTTTCCATTCGCAACTCTCAGTAACCACAGCGGACGAAAAGTCATAAAATACTTGCCTACAAAAATAGTCGATTCTTCATTCGGAAATTAGTAATTTTTTGTTAGAAGTCGACGAAAAAATTTAATATGCACCTCGACGAAAAACTGTCTATTGTCTGGCCTGCTTGCTAGCCTTGGATGCGCCTCGTCTATCAATTTGCAGTCTCGACTGTAACAGACAGTGTTTTCTCTTCCTTGGTACATGAATAACTATTACTAAAGTAATGAAAGTGACATAGTATGTTTTGGAAATCCTAATGGCATTTCTTATTAGCCACCTGATTTTCAACTTAGTCCTCATTTCCGTTGCTGAAAGTGAGTGAATTTGCAGTAGTCTGTATAATTGTGAGAATAATTAATGTTCAAGCACAGTAACTTCATGTGATATGGTTATTGTAATTGATGAATCCATAGTTGAGTATCTACTGCCAAATTATTGAATCGCCTAGTAATATTTGAATCGAATTCTTTTGGTGCTCTAGTCAGGTGCAAAATGTTTTTGGTGTTTTTTTTCAACAAACCCTCAGAAACACCAAACAAAACAAATACGCTTCACCATCTAAATTATATTTATTCATGATTTTTAATTGAAATTTTTTATTGAATCAAATACAATTATACTGCTGTGGATGTATTCAAAATTATTCCTTAGTAGGTGAATCCTAATGAACAGTTATTTTCATCTCTTTTTGGTATTTCAAGATTTTCATGACCAGCTTAATACATATTCTTGTTCTAATAGTATATTGATTGAGAAAGTATGATTTTTCTAATCACAAAAAAATGATACGTCGATTTTTCATTACATAATGTGCCTTGAAGAGTTGGAAAAGTCTGTTTTTGGTATTTATTGTAACTGCCTGTGAATGTAGTTTTAATGATTATTACTAACATGAGAATATTCGAACATTCTTTAAATCAAAACAAATGTGGTACTCAGAATGATCCGCTCAACTGATTGTTCTATTCAATAGGTCAAGAAGTAATTAATATTTATTCCGATATGGTCTCAGTTAATACTCAGTTGAATAGAATAATAAAAAAAAGCTTAACATAATTTTGAACATTTTGAGTGCTATGTTCAATTATATTGTACAACGTTCATTTTCATATTTGAACCATGATCTTAGCATGTTCAACTCTTTGAAATTCTGTGAATTGACCCAAGGCTGTTTCTCTGTTATCTTTTTTTATATATGTAATTATCAATATATGCCCACCGTAAATTATTTTTCGTTTATTCAGTAATCGCAAGTCCAAATGGTTATATTATTTCATCAATGTGGGAAGAATAATTTACGTGGTGTAGCTTATATTATTAATTTATACTTATATGTAGCTTACGAGCAGCTTGTTACAAATAATCTGTGGTTCATCAAATCATGAGAATATTATTTTAAATCACTCGGCTTGATGAATTGTCAGAATATTTTCTCATTTTTTTGTTTATTTAGGAAGCAATAAATAGTTTCAATAAGGTAATGAGAGTTATTTACATAAAACAAAAGAACATATTTGATAGATTGCGTTTATTGATACATTTTGTAAAGAATAGAGATGTCTTGCTGTATTTATTCGTACATTCAGTTAAAAACTAGTAGGCTTAAATTTATGAAGAAGTAGTAGTTTAATTTATGAAACACATGGCAAACATAGGCCTCAAGGCTTAAAACTTCAGGAATCGTACAAAATGGTTAAATATCCTGAATAATCACTCAGAGATATGTCAAACTTGAGAGTTAAAAAAGCTAAATTTATTTACAGCATACAATTCTCATTTTATCTTACATAGTAAGGAACTTAAAATCGTCAGTGCATTCACACAAATTAAAACAAATATATACAAAAAGTTTTAAGAACAAATATTTCCGAAGATTGTCTTGTCCATTTGGTAACAAATTCATTATCACTACACAAAATTTATAATGGTTTCTCAGACAACTTCATCTAATATCTGCACTTTTACAAGAGAACTATTTTTTTCAACAATATCACACTTTCAGCAAATCTTAGCAACTAATATTGACTATTCTATTTTATACGATATTACATGAATAAATAAGCTTTATTTTACACACAATCACATTGTAGCTGAAGCAATGACTTCCATTTGTTCAATGAAAAATGTATACAAAATTATCAAGCTTTGCTTTAAATATAAGTTGTGAAACATCTTTACAGTAACATTTCAAGATCTATAATTTTTACCAGATTTCGAAAAACTGGTCATTCTATTCCATACCACATTCAATAATACTGTGTTAATTATAATATCAAATCATCAAATTGACATCTGTATTGACATTGCAAAGATAGGAAAAAACAAATTTCATTAGTTGACGTTTTAAAATTCAAATATGAAGCAGGTTATTCAAACGATAGTGAGAAAAAATGCTGATGGTTGTCGTTAATTGCAAATTGGAATTTTTTTTGTGGACAAAGAATATTTGGTACAAGTAATACTAAAGATACTGTGAGAGACAGTATTTCATTGGTTCTTGAAAACATGAGTGGAACAATGGTCATTAAGTTATTTAGACTTTAGATAATTTTGAATTTTCAGTAGAGTTGACTAAAAAAAATCAATGAAACATTGGAAGTTTGCTTTTTAGTATCCACGAATAGGACTAAGCACAACTCTGGCTATGTTCTAATGTCAACCCACTTAGCTTACTCCCTTGTTCTACCCAGTTTTTAAGTCTTCCTCTTAGTTCTTCCAGACTTTTCGACTTTGCTTTATTTATTCTCTTATATTTAACGTCTTTTGGTTTGGTGACAGACCTATGATTGGACATTACACGATTATAAGTTTTCACCTGATTCTTCGGGCTCTCCTCCATGTGTTCTTCATTATTCTTCTCTCCGTTACTATATGGCCACGAAGGACACTCTGTGATTTTCTCCTCCAGCGATTTGTCTCGCACACTCAGGCTTTCTACGTTACAATGTGATTTTCCACGTGTAGCGAAAGTTTCCCGTTTTCTGTTAGCGTCGTTTTTGCTCTCCTGATCATTGTCTGCATCTTCTTCGACACTGTAAACCGTTTCAAGGATTTCAGGCCTCCTTAGGAAACCGTTATTTCGCCGTACTGAAGTGTATTTGAGGTTAGGATCGATGGCATCTGAGATGGATCGCATTATGGTCACGCCGTCCGTGTTTATCCTGAACTTCGGTGCATGATAGGTACTGTCAGAGTCGATGTCTTCTAGAACTACTGCGCTATCAGAGTCGTTGAGTGACTCTAGGTCGGGGAGGTTAGTTTCTAATTCATTTATCTCCGATTGCGGTACTTCTAGGCCGTTATCGATCAGTCGATTTGATAGTGTATCGATTATTCTTTGCTGGCGATGGATTATGTTTTCTCTGACGTTGAGCATCGTTGATATGTCTTTCTGCTTGCGGATCAGTCTTGATTCGAATAGGAGCAGTTTGGAGCTGAGGGCTTTCAGCTGGTCGCATTTTTCGCGTTGTAAGCGGGATATTAGGAGTTCCTGAGAAAAAAAAAATACATTAGATCATCAATAATGCGTTACCGTTAACTGGGGTGAAACGGATGTAGTGGGGTGAAGAGGATCGTGTTTTAGTTTCATGTGAGCGTGCAGGTTTCTGTAAACAACTTGTGTTCACCCAGTCAAGAAGTTTGTTTACACCACAGGTGAGTAGAAAAAAAATCGAATTTGTATTTAGAATTAGATCTGAATTGAAAGTTTGATAAAACCTACCTGGGAATTCATCCATAGAATACATACAAATAAAATACGTGAAATTAAAATAAAAAAGTCTGTTGTCAAACGTTTGAGCCGGATCTTAAATTGTTAGATCATATTTTCGGAAAATTATGAGGAAAAAACGAATAAGTTCACTTTTAGGGTGGAGCGGCTCACATGTAAAGTGAATAAAATATGCCGATAGTTTATTAAAGTTGAAAAAAATGGTGCCAGAAGGCAATCGCAATTATAAAGTGGAATATTCAAAGAGGGCTGTGAAAGCTGTCAAGAGGGGTCGGCTGAGTATATGGAGGGGGCGTCCCAATAGTTCGCAGTCCCGTTCACCACCTTGAGACGTTGATGCTATTTTTATGTACTTCTGTTCGTTTTTTAGTTAGTGATCAATTCATATTTTTTAAAATAAATTTCCCTGATCCTCTCCACCCATTGACATCTTTGAAGTGATTTTTCAGACATTTGAAAGCGGATTACACTTTGGAATTTAAAAAAAAATTCGTTCATGATAGTTGCATTTTTTATTTTTTCACTAAGCTCTAGAGGAAGGATGTATATGAATCATATATTTTTTTGTGACACTCAAGGAATGTTTTTTATTGGTTGCAGCGCTAAAAAAACTAGGATTTTCATTCGTTTTACCCCAGTGACGGTAAACACAGAGACTAAGACTATACAGGGAACTGAACCAGGAGTTTCCAGACCTTGCACCAAATACTTCTAATACGGGTATAAATCGCTAAGTATCAAGTGAAAATATACACTATTGAATGGTGTTAAACACGGGCATCAATAATGGCTGATAGTCCAGTAGCAGAACAGCGTTGAGCTAGAAGATGCTATGGAAATAGGTACCTGAAAAGAATCATCCTGCTGGCAGGGTAACGACAAAGATCTTTGGGTGTTAGGGCATGTCGGTGTAGGAGACAATAAACACGCATCAGTCAAATCAGAAAGAAAAGGATTCTTAATGCTACTAATGAGACCTGAATCATTTGGTGGCCTTGGTAATTTTTACTTTCAGAAGAAGCTCAACATAGAAAAAGAATCATTAAGATCAACACAATATCGGAAAAACTTCTGCCAGAAAAAACTAGAGAAACGCCATTACATATTGGAGGAATGTCATTATTTACATTCATCATGAAATAATGAAGAACCTGTGATAGTACCAGATGACGTAAAGATACCAGACATAAATCTTTATGAAATCCTTCCAAGGGTTTGTAGGCGGAGGACTGCTACATGAAGTTGACCGCGCAGAAGAAGGACAAACAAAATAAATTCACGATGCAATACCTATACACTATTGCCTGAGTACCTACGTTATGTAAGCTTTCAATAAATAGACACCTAATGTTTCTAGCATTCTGACTTGTGTTCATCCCATGTTATAACAGGGAAATTGAAGGAGCTTTTTTATCATTGATCAGCTACTACTTGAATAGACGTGATTCATTCATTTGGTGTTCTTGTGTGTGGTGTGTACCTGAAATACGATGCGAATTACTAAAATCTGTCTCCTATTCAATGACAGTATCGACTCATAGACGTTGGTGATGCCTCTTATGAGAAAACTGGACTCATACCGGACCGATGGTAATAAGCTCAGTAATAAGTATAATAAGTATAACCGTATAACGCTGAGCGTTTATTTGGTTCGCGTATTGGTGATGATGTACTAACGTAGACGCCGAGAACGGTAACATGAACAATATCAGAGAGTTTTTGGATGCCGACCGGCCTGACCGACCGGTAGTTTAATGTCACGTGACTGATCACAATGACAAATACGATTGGTTTCGACCGATCGCTTGTGTACAAAACCGGCAAAAACCTCAGAAACCGTGAAATTCACTGCTCAATCGATAATATACCGAAAATAACACATATCATGAGATCCTATATTAAAATCAGATATGTTAGGAATCATCTTTGATCAGTTATTGAATTCCTCGAGATAGATTATAAAGATATGGAATAATAATTTTGAACTGTCTACCAGAAATATTTCGCACATACAGTGATGTAACGCTATTTTTGTTAGATTATAAGCAATTTGAGTTACTCATTTTGAAGACCGTAGATACCTTTGCCACTTTTCAAGTAATTGGATTGTTTTGAGGTTATATTTTATGTCCTTGAACCACCATGAAAAAGACCGGGCGATGTGGTCTTGGATCGGTCGGTCCTGGTCTTCAATAAAAAACGTTATCATTTGGAGAACAGTCAATGCGGTAATCAATTAATAACCCTGCGGTCGAAGTGTGGTCCATGTGGTCGCAACCGGTCGGCAATCAAAAACTTCCTCTATGACAGATGGTGCTTAGTGTTATATCTGCGTAGATTTTGCCTACCTGCATTTTGTATGCCCGCCTCCAAGCCATGATCTGTTGCGCCTGCGTTCTGCTCTTCTGTCTGAGATCTCTCACTAGCCGCCTGGCGTCCTCTAGGTTATCCACATCTGAAGCTGAAGACATGTCTCCACAACTATGAGCAGCGGATGGTCCTTGCTCGATGTCCAGGATCGGCTTTGCTGAACCCAAACTTCCGGACCTGAAATAAAGGAAAACAAATATGGTATATCAAAGTTATTCTAGTCCATGAAATTGTCAACAAACATTAATTCGACATTCCAATTAAAATATTTTAATTTTAGAGAATTCCAAAACATAAAATGCGAAGTCAGTTCGATAATTTATTTTAACTGAAATTCCTAAAGGTCAAAGTTGATAGGCTCGTAGATAGGTCACAGAGGTACTTATAAGTTGAAACAGTTATAAATGCTAGGATCAGCGTCAATACTGTATATAGTAGATTCGAAATAAATCTGTCGATTCTTAAAATCGCAAATTTCTTGTGGCCTATATCGTCTCAAACGTATATTTTGTGTTATCAACTTTTTTTACTTGATTTGGGACGTATTTCCTTAATTCTACAGTTCGTTGGAGGGCGAACATTGTATTTTGTCATATGAAACCAAAAGTAGTGTGATCGTTTTCCTCAGAACCCGAGTTGGAACCCAAATGAATTTCATGATTTCGTTTGGTGAATCGATTGTATTCTGGATGTGGGCAGGGCTATTATGCTCATCAAAGGTAACCCAACAGCAACCGTGTCAAAATCACGTGTTCTAGAATGGTCAATTTCCGGGTGGATTTATATTGTTTTTTTCACAAAAAAACAAACAATAACCATTTTAAACCATTTTCTGATCATAAAACAACGAAATGAGGCAGAAATGTACCAACCTCTAAAGTAGAGGTACCTACCATGTTTTTTGCCATCCCTTCTGAGTTTCATGATTGATCACTAAACTTTGTTTTTGATAGAATTTCTGTGGAATTGTCTTAAATGTATTAGTGGAAACATTTGAAATTTTATAAAGTTGAGTCTGTAGAATGTTATTAACTATCTACAGGCTGATTCACCTGAAAGGTGGCCAATAAATAAAAATGGTGTACGTTTTCCATTCCAGGAAATGCTTATGAAATTTTAGAGCAATCCGACGTAATTTGTAATATCATTCTGAAACTTTCCGAAGATGAAACTGAATTAGGTATATCTACTCTGATGCCTACAGATGGGTTAATGTTGTAGTTCATGAAAATGTTTGGAAATTGTTTAGTCGGGTGTGGATGGACCGCGTATAACTGAACATCACATTGTTTTTTTTGAATGGTGCACCATTTCAACTTATTTTGTTGGGGATAACGCCTCTGAATAATTCTTTGCAACCTTGGGTGAAACCCTGTATATCGTATCAGATTATGAAGTCCATGAAAGTTGCGTAAGTTATTGTAAATAGTGAAGATTTTCTGAGAATTGGTTCATTATAGATATTTAGAAACGTGTAGCTTGGCAGTTTTCTCAGAATCCACGTGATATAATAACGGCAGTCTCATTACTTTCTATCACTCACGTTGGGTTCGAGCAGTGCAAATCGAACATTTTATTCAAAATTATGCACACATTATTCATTTATTCACTACGTGAGCTAATTGGTGATAAAACGGCGACCTTAACATTCATCTGAGTAGAAATAAAAATAGAGAACAGTTATTATATAAATATAACTAAAAAAATGTTATGAAACTCGGAAACAGCAAAAATTTCATTATCAAGGTGAACTTCATTCATATGCTTTCAAGATTAAATATTGCTGACGGCACCATCACTGATGGCTTCACCTTAATTATAGCTTCAGTCAGTGATGTTAGTTTCCCTTACATAAACTGAGATGTTATCGTATTACTAGACAAAATATCCCAAGAAATATCCAAAAGATCGTCATTATGTTTTAATGATATTGACTTTAATAATCATTTCAGAAGAAGAATCGTGAGAAAAGGAAAACTCAATGAAGTTCATGTTGGACATATCAATTTTCATCATCTATTAATTATTATAAAGTCGAACTCTTTTTTGTTCATGTAGTAGTAGGTATACATGTAGGCACTTTGATCACAAGAGAACCTATACAGTCTATATGTGTAGGCCTTTTATATATATCTCCTCATTTAGAAACAGCAGTATTATTTATAGGCAAAGTTAATGTTAGAAAATAAACTGATCAACGAAATGAATGTCGAGGTCCAAAATATAGGCCGATTTCATAATCGCATTACCTACTCATGGATCCCATAACTAATTTTTATTCGGATTTCACAGTTGGCTATAGCCCAAACACCCAGATGCCATTTTACTTCCTGAGTCTTTAGTAATCCTTTGAAAACTCAATGTAAGCATAAGTGAGTAGACGACACCTTCTTTTTTTAGTTTTAGGCATAATATATGTTTCTGTAAAACATGTTTGTTTTAGGTCGGGACTAGGGTGATAACGAATTCCTGGTGGTTGAGCAGAGAATTTTTGATTTGAATTGTGAGTTATAAATTCTGAGGTTTCGTATACTCGGCCGAGGATGGCTCCACACGATTCATTGTTGCGTTTTAATCAATACTGCCGCTCCTTAGGTAGCGCAGTAACAAATTCTTCACAAAACATACAAATGCTGAAAGGACCTCTTGTAAGTACATTATATAGATTTTTGTATTAGTAGTCATTACCACTCCTAGGTTGATTTTGACGGCACCCTGTATTTTTTATTCTTATTTATCTTATTTAATAAGGGTATTCCTAATACACATATTTCCCACCATATATATTAATGAAAATGCGTCAATTGCTGTGGATGTTCTCATATTCTGTTGAAGGGTAATTTTTATTTCATATGAATGTGTTGGAAATTTTATTATCGAGTCTACCTCAACCTGTCATAAATTTCTACACCAACTACATATATCTACATATAAGGCCTGTATGAAAACAACCAGTACCCAACATAGATAAACTTGATAAGTGGTCCAGACATAAAAACGTCCTAACAAGATTTGTACAATGAATGTTTCTGAAGTTGCTGTGTCTGGGTATTATAGTCAAGAATGGCACTCCTTTTTCGCCTTTTTCAGTACATATTAACGACTTAACAGCAGTAACTACCTACTTACATACAGGGGTCTCATTTCAAAACTCAAATAACGTTCTTCCTGCCAGTGTTTACTTTCGCAAAAACAATTGGTCGATCTAGAAATGTAGGTGGGGGAGAAGTACTAATATGAATCTCATATTGACACTAGTATTTATATATCACCACCATATTGAAACTGAAAATGTCTGAAAATGCAACGTAATTAAAAGAAGAGGTGCAGGGAGCTGTACCTCGAGCTGTACCCTATATACCTAGAACTACTCATCGCATATTCTAGAAGTTCGGGTAGAAACACGTATCAGAAGGATATTGTCTCAGATATTATACAATATTTTTGAAAACGGCTGTCGATCAAATCTAATTTTAACACTATAATGTTGAAAGTGAATTATATGCGTGAATCTGCTATGAATCACTCTCAACACTTTTGACACTGAAATTATAGGTTAGGTTGACAAGATTGTCGTAGTCTGAGGTCTAGGATTATTAACTCTCTGGTCTGAGGTCATCATTGGATTTTTCGTAAAACTCTCTTGAAACATATCCCCCCTCGCATTTCCCATTCTACCGACTTCATTATTTACATTAACGGAATTATATTAACTTATATATTATGTGCAGCATAAATTTGGGACACACTGTATTGTAAATAGAACAGTACATTTTCTCAGGCTCGCAGAGTACATCCTTCATAGACGATATAAAAAACGACCAATAGCTTTTACAGGCTTTTAGAATTATTCTTCATTCTAGTGCTATCCTTTTGTGGAAAATGGGTGGAGCAGATCCGAGCAGATCAGACATAGGATGGACAGATGAATAGGTATCACCCACACAAAGTTAGATGAACATGGTAGGTTAAATCATTTATTTATTATTTATTGTTATAGATTTTCCACGATTCAGAGCCAATTCCTTCCAGGTCTATTCATAGAAATAATGTAGGAAGATATCGCGTGCTTAAGGGGTTTACATTGCAGTTCAACGATTTGAGGTTCTATAATCTGAGGTGCATTGAACTCATTTTTTTACCACCTCTGATTTTACCCGCATTCTATCGATTTCTTGGCTTGGCAATTACTATTTCTGGTACCATTTCGTATTATATATCTTTAACTGTTATCACCGACACCCACACGGATTTTTTTCAACATACAGGTAAATTACTGAATAGGAATATTATTGAATAGATAAAATGAAAGGATAATATAGGTAGGTATTGAGAAAAACGCACGATTTAGTTCGTGTGATAGTTATCGCAGTGCGTCTGTAGATTGATAGATCGATTTCCAGTGTAGTAGGGACACAATCATATTATACTCCACTTACTCCAGTGTTAGGACACATTTTGAAAATGTTAGGACATTTACGCGAACATGGCCAAATTCAGTAGGTATCGATCATTTATCGTCTATGATTTTTTCGGAATGGGCATTGTTTCTTTACCAAGAGAGAAGCTCAAAGTCTTTACCACAATAGTTCATAAAATGAACGAAAATGGTAGATAACGAGAGAAAAACAACTACTTTTCTGGCTATATGCCACGCAACGTAGATCCGACTTTTTGAAAAAAAAAAAAAGATCTAGACAGAGTAGACAAAATATTTTGAATAAAAAATTAGAACAAAAATGCGCTCTTATACCGGGAATAGATCCCGCGACCTTTAGAGATGGCAGATGCTCTACCTATTATTCTACAGAGCACTTATTGGTATGTCAGTTTACAACAAGAGATTATGTCCTAATGTCGATTGACCCTTCACATCGATACTTTCATAGAATTAGATGATCACGACAGAAAATTACTAAACATATGTTTTGTGATTAGGTACGGCCAGTAAAAAATGACATGTGATAATTGTATTATGTTCATGTTTGCCATAGATATCAGAGATCGATATACAATGTATTCAATTCCATCCACAAAAAGTCGATAACGTCCAGAATTGGACGTACTCAGTCGTACATCTAAATCGTACGTACCCAGTACGTCTAGAAATGGATATGTTTTCAGTACGTTCAGACCTAAATCGGACCTGAAATGGACGTCCCCAAGACGTCGAGTACTATATGGGTGGTCATGGTTTTCTCACATAACACCTCTTGATTCATCAACTATACATGAATCAAAACTTTATGTACCTATATTTTGTAAATCGACATTGAAATGAATTATATTTATTATCTCGCATTTTATTATGTTCAATATAAACGTTTTAATAAAAGTAAATTTGAATATGAATTCTCAGAGGGTGTGCTCTGGTGTGATCTCTGATCGACAGGTTTTAACAAGATTGGTATAGATAGAGGATACAAGTACACTAATCTTAAAAATCTTCATTTCATGATTTTTTTACTGATTCATGTTAGGATGCAGTTTATATATTTTCCGTTGATGCTACGTTTCTAGTTATTTTGTTATTATCATTTGAAAGCATTATATATAGGTTCCTAGGTATTAGAGGTAGGTCGGTAAGTACTCACTCTAATAAACCACGAGTCATGTCTTTAGAGCAATGTGAATGTTCACTAGAAGTAATCCCAAAACGGCAAACAACGCGTACACACCTTCAAAATTAGTAGGTACCTATAGTTCCTGCCATGTAGTACCTAGTGGAGGTACCGTCGATAGCCCGTCCGAGCACCACAACGCAAAAACATTGAATAACTCGATCAGCACAATCGGTTCACGTTTAGCGCTCCGACACGATTCCACTGCTAAACAACAAAATATAAACACAGCGAGTAAATCAGTTTTACTATGGTGTAAGGTAGGTAAGAAGACTTTGGTGGGCAACGGCCTTGCGGTAATAATGCAAGGTCGGCAATGGTAAAGAGCAGTGGTGTACCTGTACCATCCGATATAACGAGGCCAGCAGGAAAAAAATTGCATGCCAACTGGCCACTACGTAGCTTATTGCAACTTATCCGGTGTTCCTTATTGGTATTTAGCAAAAAATCAACAAAACTTCCTCTGATCTTGCCAAACAAAGTATTAGGTATCGTCTTTTTCGCCTTAGGGTGCCTTAGACTTTGACACATATTGCCTATTGCATGAGCCATCATGGGGTGCCAGGAAGTCAATTTCTGACGATACGGTCCTCGCAGGGCCTCACAATACCTATAATAGATATTATAATGATATCGAAGGCCTCTAATTCACTAATTTACTATTAGTTGATCATACATTAAGATATCCGTTCAGGGCAGTTGCTTACTTTGAGGGCAGTGCATGATTGCCTCAGCATGTTTATATGAGCTTTATTCAAATTAGCTAGATTCAACGTACTTTGTTTATACGAAAATTGTAAATTATAGGAGATCTAGGATTGAGACATGATATTACGTCAGATTAACTGTGTAGCTGGTCCAATTGATTTCAGAAAAAGTATACCTATCTAAGCTGGGTCCTATTCAACTTGAGGATATCAGCAGTGAGATCTGGTGATTGTTTGCCCATCATCATTCTGATGTGTCACTGTTACCTTTTATGTGACTCCAATATAACTGATGTCATTGTTGATCCCACTCAGTGATGATTTCACGTGGTCATTAGGGCATTGTTAGTTGTTTCTCCTCTTTGTTTTCATCCTGAGAGTTGGGTTTTGATAAAATGCTTTGAGTTGGTTCATCAATAAGTAGGGTTATTGTTGTTGATTTGGAATTTAATGAAATGGGTACGTTTGAGACTGCTTAGAAGATATATGAAGTGGTTGAGTCACCTATTGTGAATGTGACATCATTTAAGAGTGTGGTGTTGATAAAATGCGAAATTGTCATATTCTCTGTATATCTGGGTAGATCAGATCTTCTAGATTCGATCTCATTTCCTGACATATTTCCAGTGGTTTGCAGGACGATAATAGTCGATGCAGATGATATCCCTTCTCCCTATGAGTTATTGTTGAAAACGCACTTCTGAATGGAACTTGGAGTTTCATAAACTTCACATGGTTGGTTTCGAATATCCAATAAGAGTTGCTTTATCTTATATATAAGATCTTCGATCTGGGACAGTAACAGATTGAAGTTATTTTTTGTTCACCATCTAATTATAGTCCAGGAATTGTGTGAATACAAAGTTATAGATGCATTAGAAGATCCCTGATTCACATGGTCACATTCATTTCATACCCTCAAGTTATATTCGATTCGCGATTATTTTTTTTCTCTTGAGGAATATAAGGAAATAAGCGGTTGTGAAAAACCCTGTAGTGTTATTATTACACCATTTGAACCGTATGAACACATTCGGAAAATCCGCCACTGGTTGTTAGCGGGATGAAGATTTATCGGCCGGTGGTCCCACATTAGCAACCGGCAGAGCCGACAGATGGATTTGGGTTTATGGAGGTTTGTGGCAGATTTCGAGAGGATAAAGAGATAAGGGATGAATGCTTTTCAATGTGCCATGCGACAACCTATCATTGATAGTAATTTATTGTTGCCATGTTGTGAGAGGCGGGCTAAATGAACAACAATGAAATTCTAAATTTGTAAATCTAATACCTATTTCAGTTTGAATATGTCGGTATTGGATGGTATTGCTATTATTATTTCGGTCTTGAGATCATTATTTGTCTTTATCTTTAACCCGGTATTCTGTATTAATTATGTCATTTAGTGTAAACTTATATTATTATGCCGTTGTCTGCTCGTAGTGAGATTAGTGAGAATCTGTCATTTATATCATGAAATTCGTGGAAATCATCGATATTTTTCTCCAATGGTCTAATTTTTTGATTATTCATCAAATTCTAGAAGTATATTTCATGTACAAGGTCCTATACCCATCTTCAATTGTTTCGGAAATATTAAGGTACACAAATGCCTTTTGAGGCACTTCTGAAGCCTTCACAATAATGTCCTTAGGACGTCGAGGGCGAGCCTGAGAACGTTCCTGTAGGCCGTCCTCCTGTTACTATATAATATCCGTCCAAATAATAACGTTCCAGGACATCCCTTTATATGGTCTTCTGGGACATGCATAAGAAAAACTTTTAGCAGAATCCAACATTGTCTCCTGGGCATCTTTTGATGACTTTTTAGGGATATTCAGGGTAAATGAAAGATAGGTTGATACGAATAAAATTTTTTCGAAAAAATAATGAAAAACTTACATTCTATTATTTATCAATTATTCAGAAGAATTTCGAGTTTCTTTTTGAAAAAATGTATTTTAGCTTCTTGTGGACCACTACTAGAAGTCATATTGCCTTCTGGTAGTTATATTTCTTCATGTTGTTTTAGATTTCTGATTTTCTGATCCCTGGATATACTTCCTTATGCTGAATCTACTGAAAGTTGAAGTCTTCATACAATATAGTGTTTTCAGCCGAATGGAATGTATATTCGATAATGAAATAAACGGGGGCGTGTTCGAAAAAAACTTTCTGACATATCGATTGGTATTTTAAGGAGCACATCCTTTTCAATGAAAACATTCTATAAAGGGTGAGTTATCTAACAGCGGCAAATAAATACCAATTTCCTTATTTCAAAGCAACACCTCTCATTTCAATTTTGCACATTATGGAACATTTGAACGTTCTCAACATTTGTTGTATCTTCACAGCAATTGTGGTTCGATAATTAAGCGCTTAAAATCCTATAATTAGTGCAACCGCCGGTGAATTTTCCTTAGAGACCATCAGCAACATCATCAGTGGGGCCACAGAGAAAAGAGCAAGAATATCGTGGATCATCTAGGTAGGAACTGTGCAAGTTTCGGATCTTTTCTCTGGTTTATTAATGTGTTACCAAACAGTCCACTGAAAACTCATTCAAAAGCTTTGTCACCTCAATGAGTGGACACCATGCAGAGTGGATTGAATTTTACATTCTCTCAGAATTTTTGCAATATACTCGAGGATTATTTTATATTTTACATAATCAAAATATAGAAATACAGAATATTGATAAGCTGAAAAAAGTTTATAATGATAATATTAATGATTTGTCGTTATTCATCATTAGAAGAAGAAAAATCGCACAAAACAAAATATGAAACAAAAATGTACATAACCATATATCTGCAATGGTCAGTAAAAAACTGTTTTCAACTCAACCCAAGTGATAAGATTTGAACCCAGAACATCTGGAGATTCAAGCCCGTTAGCTAACCTTCATGCCATAATTATGAGATAACAGTCATGTAGGTATTATTCAATAAACATTTTGCAATATTCCATTTCACAAACTGACAGCCCTTAGAAATGTTTAAAAATTATTAAAAAATTCGTATATATGATAATCCATAAATAGTCGCAACAATATCTCAGAATATTATAAATTTTCCTTGAAATATATTTAACAAGAATGAATATTCTGAGACAATTTTCGTGCTATATATTTTTTTTATCGCTTGGAGCGCACGAAAGGGAATCCCTATAATGCTCGAAGAACATCGTGCGTTTCTAGGGAGGATAGGGACAGGAGGTAGGTATTGGAATTTTTTTTGAACTTTTGGAGATTATATGTTGTTGGGAATACTTCCACGGGCAATGAATTCCAGAGCCTAGCCGTTCTATGGATGAAGGAGTCTTGATAAAGTGCTGTTCGACATCTTTCGAGGTTGACAACGAAAGGATGTGCTGACTGGGCTTGTCTAGTTTGTCTGATTGGTATTGCTAGTGAAGGGATGATAGCAGAGATTTCCGAAGAACATTTCCCGTGGTGATGGATATATTCCAATTGAGACGTATTCATCTACATACTAAAGTTAACATTGATTGGCACCATCCTGCGCAGGACTCCCTGATGTTAGCATATTAGCCTAGCCTAGATAACTGCAACTCGCACATACATTTAAAGCATATATTATTATTATCATCGAAAAATAAAATTTCTGAGAATGTTGGCAGTAATCAAATAATTTCTAAACAGCATTAGGTATAAAGGATATTTTTTAATTAATAATGCGAATCTACGCTACTGGATCAACCGAACGGTGACCGGCAAAAACAAAACATTCACTTCTTTGGGCTTGTATCAGGATCTTGTGGCATGCTGCTGGCTCTCTGGCGTCGTGAATTCTCTATCCTTTTTTATAAAATTACCTATTGTTGTTGTAGCTGAGAGCGAAATTTTGAATTTCAATGAGTTTTTTGTGTAGAGGGTCTGATTAGGTCTGGCACTTTGGATGAAATACGATGGAATTCGTCCAGTTATTATAGTTTAGCTTAGCCAATAAATAGACGCTGCTCTTTCCACCAAATCTGTTAGACATTTTTTAATCCAAGTTCAGAAAATATATTTGACTCAATTGTTCACGTTTATTGAGGAATTTTAATAAAAAGAAATGTTCCGATTGTGGTCATTTCATTACGATATATTTTATATAGCTCGTGAGAAACAATGCATACCCATTAACTGAACTAGCTACGTCATAATATCATAACATCTTATTCGAGTCCACATTGTCCATGACTTCGCTGAGTGCAATATTGGACGTCATAATATGGACTTATAATACTTGGGGGCCATAATGACGTCATTTTCATTGTCATTGACAAGTTGAAGTCATGAATTTTAGACGTCTTCC